TCCAAAAACTCCATAAAATTTATCGAAACACTTTCACAATTCGTTGATATGGCTTAAAAAGACATGGAAAAAATACACTTAAATTTTGCGTATAAAATTTTTCATATTTAAATTGTTTCGAGAAACCCAGAAAAAAACTGGAGAAGTCTGGTTATCATATCAAATTAGCTTCAGAGGATAAAAAAAAGCTCACCTCCTCTCGAAGATCTAGTTCCAGACAATCATGTCAGAAATCTCGTCCTTTTTCATTTTTTTTTTTCTCTAGAAGAGAGTTGTTAGCCTTGAACGAAACCTGAGTTGGATGACCCATCGAAAAGGATCTGTTTTCGGAGGACCGTTTTCTGAAATGAAATGATGGGTTCTGAGAAGTGCGCGCCACGAAGGGGTCACCACATGTCGCAGACCTCTTCCGCCACTTTTTGCTCCCAATTTGTGCTCTTTTTTGTGGCGTTCGGCTCTGCGGCAACCAAAAACTCGGTGAAATTTTGCGTTTTTGAGCCCCTCCGCCGCTGGCTGTATACACGGCAAGATAAGTGTTTGTTGGAAACCCCGAAGCGACGGTTTCAATTTTTCATTGGCCGCGTTTTTTTTTCCTTCCTCCGAGCCTCCTGTCCGAAATTTCCTGGCAGTTGTCGTTTGCTCCAATCGCATGTACTCTATTCTACAAACTTTATTTTGCATTTGATAGTCACAAATAATCTTTTTTCTTCGTCTGTTTTGCAATCCACGTGTTCAAGCATCACAGAGTATGGTGCAACCTTTCTCAGGCTCTTTCTCAAATAACATCTCTTGCGTAAAATCAAATTTATGAAGACGGATGATATTCATTGAAATCGGCTTAAGAGTTGTAGCGCTTCACCGAACTCCCTCTAGTGGATCACAAGCCGCATTGAATCATCCGACGATTCCTTTTTTGTGATCTTCTAGAAATAATATTCTCTTCTGAAGCCAAACTCGTAGTTAAAAGTCTCGAGTAGCGAACAGATTGGAGGGCGGTTTTGCGGTTTTCGACATCTGATTCGTCCGCCAAATATTGTCATCTCCGCCGCTTCCAAATCTTCACCCATTAAGCCAAATAACACGTTTTCGCTCTCTTCATTTGGTGTGAGGCGTCCCCAGGAACTTTTTGACGATTGCTTTTCCGCTGCAAAAATATTTTAAGTCGCTTCAAATCGCTTTGTTCCGACTTTTTAGTACCACTACCGTAGGCATTTGAGATTTTTAGCTTCAAAAATTCTTTCAAATTTTATGATCTAGCCGTTTGAAATATTCACTCGGAACCATAAGGCTCTTTTTGTTTGTTTAGAGTTAGAAAGAGAAATAATTCGTATATTTTGTTTTTATTTCCGTTCTTCCATTCTCGACTCAGATTCTCTCCCAAGGTTCATTTTATGGCTCGGCTCTTGAAAGAATAACCAAAAGTGACCGACACCGTAGTCGAAGAAATTCGGATTCGTAGGTAAATCATTTGCAAATAGCGTTGGCAGCGTTGAAATGTAAGCCGTGCCTCTCGAAAGGCATGAATATTTTAACACGTAGCTTCACCGCCCCAATCCAATTAGTTCTATTTGCAATTTTTAGTTTGCGCCTCGAAATCTCGGATTGAGCACGCGACGGAATGCTCAAATGAGCTCTAACTCGGCTTCGAATTACCTGTGATATCTGAGATCTCCGCGTCTCAATTAAGCGAGTTCTTTCGACAGTCTCACCATGAAATTGGTTCAGTCAAAGTGTCCAGTTCGAGATTTTTTTTTTCGAAGGAAAAAAAAGCTTCTCGGAGAGCCATTTTTTCGGTGTTTCGGTGCGAAGCGGCATCGAGTGTTGTCTGATCAGCAGCACTTGAGAACCCTTGGGCAGGGCTTCACTGTCAATCGTCCTTTGATCACTTGAGGACTTTAAAAATTTTCCGAAAGACAATAACATTTAAAATTTTTTAAAATACACACCGCGCAATTCGGTTCATGTCGGTTGCGCTTTAGTTTTAACCGGTTTTTAAAAATATCCTCACTCGCTCAAATACTTAAAGAGGGATAAGATCTTGATTTAAAAAGTAGTGAGATCAGAATTTCGAAAAGATGTTTCATGTATTCACAAAATAGATTTTATTATCAGGAACAAGCCTCAAAAAATCGACAAAAAACATAGGTTTTTATTTACCTTTCGAAAAATTATTCAGAATAGTAACTCTTTATAGTTCGAAACGCGTAGAATAGGTTTCCGAAAACTAAATTTGCGGGAATCGGATAATGAACCAAGAATCAGAAAAAAAACACGACTAGAAATAAAAAGAAGTAGTCCAAGCCAAGTCCATTAACACTTCTCCAACTCCTCGTCACCCAATTTGAGGGTTCTCACCTGGGCGAACGGTCATTCGCAGTCGAAACTTTCGATTCCTCAGGTTTTAGCCAGACTTGCCGTGGCAGCCGCTTCGATTTGAATGGTTTCTCGCGCAGTTCCGGCCTGGATTACGGTAGCCGTCCTTCAGTTTTTGGCTATTGGTTATTTGGGCGCATTTCGATGAGATTTTCTGGCTTCTCTCTCTAGCCGAGCCGATTCTCTGAGCAATTGTTGTCTATTACTATTATGAAGACTCGTCAACCAGTGGTCAAACATTTCTTCACAATCTTCTTCCTTGTTTCCGTAGTGTCAATGCTCTCATTTTCTTGTCAATCAGTATTCATATGCAAAACAACCAAAATCATTGAAAAATAGTTAATTCACTTTTCTGACAATCAAATTTTGAAAAACTCCGAGATTATTGATGATTATGTCTTCTGGCAGAGTATTTCTCTCATTTAGATCTTCAGATCAGAAAGAGAGCCACGTTTTTTGAAAATCCTTAATCTTGATTAACAGTGTTTTGGACCGCTTCACAGCAAATCAAAGTAAAAGTTGAGAGGAACTTTCATGTTGCGTGAGTAGAAGAGGCCGGCAAACAGTAGAGAGGCTCCAAGGGCCTGATTGGAGGATTTCCGAAAGAAACAGCCGCCGGAGTTGCACACAGCCACTTGGCGCCAATCGCTGTTTGTATTTCCTATTTCCAACTTCATTCACTCCAAATCTTGTCAAACAACCACTTTTCGTCGCTTTTCTTTGCCTTTTTCTGCTCGCGTCGGGCCAAAATAGCACGAGGAAAATGGAAAGATAAAAAGGCAATGAATCGTTTTGGGAAGGAGTTCATATATCTTTTTTGATACCTGTCAATCCTTGAAAAGATCAGAAAACACTGACAGAACAGTCAAACTTAAAATTAGAAGATAAGCTCTTTCTAGATACGTTTCAAACTGTTTCGAAAAAGGAAGTTCGATTATATTTTGGCTCTTCCTAAATGAGAAAAAAGTTGGAGACCTTTTTTGAAAAAGCCGTAACAAGGAAAGTTTATGGTGTTCCAAAGATATGTTTTAAAGCGAAAACTCGGATTCAAGAACACTATGGAGGTTTTTCCTTTCAAAGCTAACTGAAAACACTATTGAGATGAAGCTTCAAATTTCTCTTTTCAAAACTTCTCTTATCTTACTTCTCTCTGATAGGAGACTGATTCGAAAGCTTGGCTGTACATTTTTAATGTTCGTCCATTTGGCCCCAAACGGATGTTTCTGTTCCAGTAGATCTCATCCGAAAATTGTTTTTGCATTAATTACTCAAACTCGTTCTGCTTTTGATGTTCCAAGTATTGCGAGACGCTTGATTTTACCCGTATTGACAGCATTGTCAACCCGTTTTTTTCGGTCGTCCGCAGAACTAATTCGTTAGCCGCGGGTTCCAGCTGGTCAAGAACTCCCGCGCACAAGCACTTGTAACCTGCCTTTCCTTTTCTCAAGGTGCAAATTGAAGCAACCAAAAAAATGTACGAATATACCAGGTGCTGGCGTCATAATTGCCTATCCTTCAGCCGGTCTAAACGCGTTTCTTCAGCTAATTTTTCGCGGGTTTTGCTGTCGGCAGACAAACCGAAGAGACAATAATCGCCTTGTTGACGCAATCAAATGAAGTTCCTCGCAAATGTTTTTTTTTTCACTGAAGAAGTAGTTTAGTGCGAAAAATCTTACAATAACAGCCCTACACCAGACAGCTGCTACATCGCCATTCGACGTGATAAATTATCTTTTAACATCTATGTTGCTTCCAAAAGGGAGAGTATGCAAGAGAGAAGATATCATGCAAAATGAAACTTGAAAATTTCGAGAGCAAAACTTTTAAGATCGAAATACTCTCTGTGGTCGATGTGACGTCATGAATGGTCAAGCAATTTTCTAATCTTTTTTTTTTCATTTTTCATTGTTTTCAAATTTTCCTTTTTGTTTATCCTTCTTTTTTCAATTTTAAAAGCTACATAGTGGATTTCTCGAACTCGTCGCATCCGTCTCAGGATAATGTACAAATGAAAGGATGTGAAATTTCAATTGAATAGGCTTTCAATAGGCGAAAAGAGAGATTATGACGTCTCCAGTGGTAACAAGAAGAAGATTTGCCAGCAGTAGAAATATTTTCTCTCAGGTTGCAATGAAAAAGACGTTTTTCTTGTTTTAAATCCAATCAATCCTAATCAATCACTTTTTTATACTCTTTTGTCACTTCGCAACTTTATCATTAATGAACTTCGTTTTTTTATCGCTTTTTATTTTTTTGCGAAAACGGGGGAACTCAGTACTCGTTTTTTATTTATATTTTTTATCAACGAAGAATTTTCAGTTTTCAAATCAAAATATCGAACCATCTCTAGAACGAAGTGCTAGAGGCGCGTTCAAATAATTTACAGTTCATCTCACTCTGATTCTCGAGTTGACACATTTGATCTATCCCTTTTAAATAGGTGTCGAAGTTGCTTCAGGGAAAGACTCTGATTTACCACGATAGGCGCGAAACCCTCGTCCCGACTAGTTCCCGCCTCTTTTGCTCATCGCTATTCAAAGTCTTGCTCTATTGAAACCGAGATTTGAAGCCGTCTCCGCGTCTCTGTTGAATTTTTTTTATTATTAATTATCGTTTGTTCGTATTTGATGCTGACTGCGGTTATTACTTCTTTTTTTTCAATGCGTCAATCTTGAGAAAACCTCTTTTTGCAGTCTTTCCTCTAACTTCGAAGCTCTTTATTATTTATCTATCATATCAGCTTCGTCCCATTTCCGACCGTGAATTTCTTTTTTCATTTTGAAAATTCATTTTCTTCAGGGTCTTTGCCGCGTTTCCTCATTTCTCTTTGCCGGTTTTCAACGTGCAGAACAAGGTATTTAACTTCATATCAACATTTTACGGGTTCTTATCTCAAATGAAATTACGATTGTCTTTCGAACTGCGATGAAAATGACAGTTCGAGAAGAAAAAAGCGCTGCAAGCCAGTGATAAAGGACATAATGAAAAGAGTACGTGGCTGAAAATGTACGAATGGAATGCCTCTAAAAGTTCGCCGATAGATAAGAATTTCTGGTTTTTAATATTTTCGCAAGCTTAACACTTGATAACTTAACTGGTCTCGAAGATTGAATTCTTTGTTTGATAGGGCCGTTTTCCGAAATTCGCTCTAATTTTGCCAATTTTCAAGCCTCTACAAAATTTTGCCAATTCCAATTGGAAAATTTCCATCATAGTTTGTGTTTTCAATATGAAATACAAAATATTTTTAGAAGTAAACGCATTAAGACTCATTATTTAATATGGCTTTTGTTCCCACGGATATCAAAAATCAGAAAAAAAAAAGTAGAAACATAATCACGAAGGATAGGTGAAACCGAGGCTTGAGATTAACTTCTTTTTCATGAAACATCTTCGTATAACCGGCTCTGACTGATTATTGTGGCTTTACGTGGTTTTAGAATTGGGTAGCATCCGGTTTATAGCTAATCATTTAAGAAAAAGTGGTCTATGCTCTTCGCAGCTACCAACTCTAGTATTAATGTTCAGGATTGTAGTTCCACTTTTCATTTTTGTGCCGCGTTTTGCTAAAACGCTGCGAAGTAATGTATCTGAATGAACCGCGTTACTGTTGGTTGACTTTTTGACGTGTTCAACTCGTTCGAGCGGCTTGCAAGAAGCGGATGAAGCTGGTTAACGAACTCGTAGTGGGAAACGAACGAAGTATGATGGTCTAAGGGAGGCGAGGGCTTGTCTGGTTTTGATAGGCAAACCACACGAATCGTCTTCACTGGTATTCTCGGCCTCGATCGTCTTCGCATTCCACGCACGCGGCTGTCTATTGTGAAACCACTTGGCGCAAATCCGTCCTTAGGTTCTTACTACTTCACGGCTTGGCTGCTTCTCATTCCAAACTTGGTGACCGAGCTTCTCATTCCAAACTTGGTGTAGTCCGTCAATCTTTCGAGAAACCTAGACATCACTGTCAAACATGGGCAAAATATTTTTTTGCTTTAGTCGTTACTTTGAAGTTTTCGATATTGTTCTTTTCGAGAAATTTTCACAGGAATCCCAAATCGAAATTTACTATCGTTATAAATAGACCCCTCAATGTTGTAATGTATCAATGAGTGACTGGAAACTTGTATCTTGCAAACTCCAACTTTTTCACTGTTGAGCTTCAAATAGCCACAGACACCTTTGAAGAGCTGAGCTGGTCTGCAGTTCGCCATGCTTCCTCAGCGACTCGAGATCTGAGATTTTGGCATGATCTCAGTTTCCACAGTCGAAAGAAGTTATAGACGACTTCACCGCAGTCGTATGTCAACGAAAGCACCGTACGCAGATGCGTTATATATGTACATGTTTTGCGAGTTTGTTGTAGCCTCCCACCAATCGCATTTTTCTCTTCACCAACGCTTTTTGCGATCCGGGGGTGGGGCCGGTTTCGTTTGAACATTTGTTTTTCGAGCATTCATCCGCCTGCTTCTATCCATCTATCTCTGTCCGTGATGTCTCTTCGGTGTGTGTATTCTCGGCCGTTCAACCGAAGAATAAGCGTGTGCCAACTGTTTTGATTAAGTTTCGAGCCCACTGACCACAATTCTCGGTTTTTTCTGGCTCCGCTGACCACCTGTCGTTTTTGAAATTGATTAGTCAAAAAAACTTCCTCTTTCCGTTTTAAAACGAAATTTCAATCTCAGTGGCCTCTAGGCATTACCAGAAAGATAACCTTTTTTCAATTCTATATCAGTTCTTTAGACGTCAACTTCTCATCAAAGTTAATTCAATACCGCAACAACATTCTGAAGCATTTTAGTGTGGGAACTGAAAAGTTTTCCCATAGCAAAACTTTGATTTCTACTTTATTTTCTTTTTAACACAGTCTTTCAAGTCTTTTCCAGAGCCGTGTGAGAATTTTCGGCTCACATGAAACTTAAACAGTCAAACCCACGCTGTTAAAATTTTTCATTTCAAGTCGCACGAAAATACTTACTTTTTTTTTTCAAAAATAAATGCTTGTACATATTTCACTATATGCATATCTCTGTTGCAGCCTTCGTTATCAGTTTGCTCCGCAATTCGCAAAATGATATGGCTTTTCATTAAAAGTATATTTGCACTTCTAATCTGCCGTTGAAGTAATAGGGAATCCGATTCGAAGGTGACTTTGCCGAACAGAATAGAATCCTTTTCGAGAGAATCTCTTTATGAAAATTCGCAACGGTGTCTGGTAGGAGAGGAGTACGCAATTGTCCCATGCAAGCTAATAATAAGCGTTAATCCGAGGACTATTGCCGAGGTATAATCTCCATCCCCATCAGTTCATCGCTCACATTCCTCATAATCATCTCCGTCTCACGTACAACAAGGCGCGTTTAAGTGAATTTCGCACAAATCCCTTTTTTCGTTGAGTTGCTCGCGTGGCCTACTGTAGGATCTACGAAAGGCGCCAATTTTGTCACAATTTTTCTTCAATTATGATGTGGGTTGATAGCATCGAGTACGGTCACGCCTACAACCCCAAACTTTTCCGCTCATCGCCTTCCATTTCCAGTTCCGTTTCTTCTTTTTTTTTGTTTGGTTCGTGTTTGTTGAATTTTGTCCCTGTTGGTCTCTAATCTAATATGTTGACCAGCAAAATTTACTTTCACTGAACCTCAAAATTTTGAAAAACGAACCACGTTTTTTTTGCGTGGCTCGAGTAATAAGTTCTTTTTTGAATTTCCAAAAGAAGATTGAATTTCAAGAAGCGGTTTTTTGAACCAATGATTGAAAAGCTGCAAAATTGGAATATAGTCTATTTTTTCTGTTTTTTCGTTTTTTTGTTTCGGAAATCTCAATTAGAATTTTTTAAAGTCAGTTCATTTTTCTTCTCTCTTCTCGTCACGACAGAAACTGTCTTCATGCGATATAAACTAATGATTTGTTTTGGAAGTGCTTAAATTTTGAAGCCTTTGAAGGTTACATCCGGAAAATCCAAATATAAGTGCGGCGTAATATTGAAATATTCTTTTTTTCATAGTTTCTAAGATAAAAGGTTTCAGACAGTCGACGAGAGGCGTTTGGCGGAGTTGATCGGTGCTTTTTGATGCAGTCGACGATCGCCATGTCCATCGACGCGGTAGGTTTCAGTGATTGGAAAAGAAAGTGTAAAGTGAACAAGTGGCTGGATTTCCAAAATTGGTCGGTTTCGCGCTGCGGATGTATTTAAAATTTCGCACTTGCGCCCGTTGCAAGCAAATCGCAGGAAGCGATTTACTCGATTAAACAGGCCGTTGCGACATGAAATTTCGGATTTGCGGCAGTTTTTCCAGTCTGAGATTGAAATAAAGCTGAGCTGCTTTTTTCTTACTTATTCCTTTTTCTCGGATTTCGAAGATAGATAATTCAATGAGCAACCATAGTACATGTTTATCGGACTTGGAGGAGATCGAAAAAAAAAGAAAATGAAAAATTGTTTTTGCAACGTCGGTGTGTAACAGGGTTAAGCGACAACCTGCAATTTTGATCAGTTTCTATTTTCTGTGAAATTCTTCATTTATTTCATTTTCTTCATCGGTAGTTTTCATATGAGACAATGAAACATATGTATAAAAGATCGGAGGCTTCTTTTTGAGAATATTTTGAAAAAATTTCGAAAGTTTACGAAGTTAACTTGGGGAAAGTTTTGCGAGGGAATTTAAGCATATAATTGGAAGTAAGCCTTGAAAGGCCAGAGTTTCTGGAATCCCATTTCCGCAAGTTCCGTTGTGTATGAAGTTGATGATTTAAGTGATTCAAAAAAGAGGTGCGAGAAAGTGACAAATGATTTGTGTATGCAAGACGAAATTCCGAGAGAGAGAATCAAAGTTTTCTTTTCTCAGGCAAACGGTCCTCAAGAACTGTTCAAGCAGCTGAGCAAGGGTGGCGCCCTTCTGGGAGGCGGAAGTCCGTCTTCGCTTGCCTCATCTGGAGCCCCGTCGTCGTCGAGTTGCGCCAACGACGCAAACTCGGCGGAAGACAAAAACTCGGCCGCCTCCGACAACGCCAATTCCTGGTTCAACGCCTTCACCATGCCCAGGACCAACCAGAGGTGTTCTATCGAAGAGTTTCCTGTTTTCAACTTTTCATTCCAGGCAGCCGCAGATGAACGACTTCATCGAGCAGCTTGGCCTTCAGAACGTCGGTTCTCAGTCGCAGATCATGGATGCTTTGGGCATCAATGGCAACTTCTTGAACGCGTTGGCTTCTTTCAGTTCGCAGGTAAGGATACATGAAATCTGAATTTTATGAGTAAACATTCTGGATACTCAAATACTCGAATTTATTGCTCATTTTTCTTTTTACTGCTACAAAATTTTTAAAAAGACATGAAAATGCGAAAAATTTTTAAATTTGGACTAAAAAATTTTTCCTTTCGCTTCTGCGTTGTTTTTTTTACGGTTTTGTGATTGCCAGTGCCTTCTAAAAATTGAATACTCAAGACGACTTACGGTTCAGACTCGCGGACTTCAAAAATAATCGATCTTTTTTTTTTTGAAAAGCCATTTTTGAACAAATTAAAGGTTTCAAAATTGTCCAAATAACTCAGAAAATCTTACAAGCTGTTCAAAAATAGAACGAGATTCAAAAAATTTGGCAAAAAGTTGAAAATATTCCAGTAGAAGGTCTGTTTGAGTGACCTCCAAATAAGAGGAAAGTTTTCAGAACGAGCCAGAATCAATAGAAGAGTCAACGAATCAGCTTTTGCGAATGATGAACTCGAAGCCCGAGTCAGCAGAACTGAGCCAACCGAAGTCGTCCGTACCCTCGTCACTGGCCTCACTTCTGACGCCGACGACGTCTTCTGCCGCTGCCGCCACGTCTTCTGAACGGACGACGCCGCCGACGCACGCCTCCGTCATCGTCAACACCCCGGCGAACCAACGAGAGTCGTCGGCTGGCACGCCACCTGCCAAGAAACACAAGAACTCTGAGGACTCCGATTTCATGAAGTGAGTTTGGTTTTTGATTTGGTTCGAGACTGTGTAATTAGTGGTGAAAAGGGTATTTGTTGAAACTTCTTCTCTTTCGCGCCACGATTGATAAGAAGCGACCGTCATTTCATAGCACGAGGAATTTGATATTTTCCGTTTTGGAAACGAATCGAAATGAAAAATTGGTTGGCGTGTCTTCGAGAGATGACCAGAGAGAACTGTAGTTCACGTATAGGCTTGTGCAGAAAGGAGACGTCGGTGGGTAGAAAGACGAGTTTCGAAATCGCGACTGTGGGTTTCGATTCGTGAATTGCGGCTGCAAAAGATCGAAAAGCGACTTGGTAGAAGTGAAACGTTCGTTTGGAGACGTCACTTGCCGCGCCAAATCTTCTCACGGACTATTTTTATTGGGTCTCTTGTCATGACAAATTATCTTTCCACTATCCGCACTTTTATGAGTTCAATCAATCTTTTTTTTGCTTCCGCCATAGGTCCAACCGAATGGAAGATGAAAAATGGCATTTTAGCTCTGCTGAGATTGCGAAGTGAAAGTCCAAACAAGTTGGCGAGTCAAAGGCATTTTTCGAATTTTGATTCAGCTTTGAAATAATAGAACTAGTTCAGGTTAGCTTTTGAAAGAGTGGATAAATAGGGAAATGAAACATAAGGCACTATTCAGTGAGTCTTGAGTAGATGGACATCATTCAATCTTGCAGAACTTTCAAAGTTTTGGAGCAGTTTCCGAAATTTTAATGGGAGGTTGACTGATTCAACAAATATCGTCCCACTTTCAGTTGAACCAGAATTGCTTAACTTAACATGCTCGGCTTCCAGAAAGCGTTAGAAAGTATTTTGTTGAAAATCTGCCAATCCGAATTGAAAATTCACACAGTTTATCTGCGCCAGTTCTAGAACTCTGCACTTTTTCCCAAACAATGTGAAAAATATGTATACGTTCAGCGATCACTACGCTTGACTTGACTATTTTAGCCTGCTCGTAAAAAAAAAGTCGGCGCGTGAGAGGCAATCTTCAAACAAAAAAAAAAGTCGCACGGGTTTTTAAGAACTCGATAAAAAGGCAAGGTTTTGTAGTTGTATTGGCTGTTCGAATTCGCAAATCTGAGTTGCGATTATAGAGAGGGAGAAAGGGGCGCATGGCAACATGAGGACGTCGTGGGAACACATTTTCCGTTTTGCAGGTCCGCTATCGATAACCTTTTCCGAGTGCAAATGACCGCGTTAAATGGAGCGATGCCGACGCCTGGCGAAGGCACGACGAATTGCGACGAATGCGGACGCGAGTTCCTCAACGCCCTCGCCATGCTCACCCACAAGGCCCAGGAACACACGACCGCCGGAGAAGTCGCGTACGTTTTGCTCTGCTGCGAGGCGAAAGCAAGTCTGAGCTTTGCAGAGGCGAAGAGAACGGCCAGATCAGATGCTCCGAGTGCGACAAAGACTTTGAAAACGTGGCCTACCTCGAGCAGCACCGCATCACTCATCACCTGTCTTCCCAGAGGTTTGTTCCAACTCCCGCCCTCTCTTCACACTCTCTTCAGTGCCACCGACTTCAGGATATTCAACGGTCTGTTCCCGCAGTCGCTCGGCCACTTGCCCTTCATGCTCCAGTCGCCGATTCATCAACAGTTCGGACTTCCGCCGGACCTCGACTCGCCTCTTTCCGCTCTTTCCACTGTTCGTTCCCACGTCTTGATGGCCTCATCTCTCTTTTTTTCAGCCCAAACAGGGCGGCGCAGTCAAACGGCAGTACTCATCCAATGGAAAGAACTACTGCGACCTTTGCAATAAGGAGGTTCGTCAATTTGCATCAATTTTCATTACATTAGGCTGTGAGTTCAGAAGAAAAAAAGCTGTCATGAAAGGCCAAAAAAATGTCTTTAGAGACAGAAATTTTATTTTTTTATTTATTACAGAATTGTTGGAAACTTTATGATAGACTCACGTGATCTGCTCCCAACTAAAACCCACGAAACAAAGTTTTAATTGAAACTCCAAGAAAAAAACGTTTTTGTTTTGTTTTTATTCTTCCACTTAAAAATTCGAAGACGCCTCGAAATTCGCAAAAGACGTTGTTGTTGAGTTCGCAAAAATTTGAATGTCTGATTTATCTTCCTCTCATTTTTTTTCTTGTCGACAAATTCATCAAAAAAGATGAAATAACGTGTAAAAACGAGCGCCGTTCATCACTTTTACAAGTCATTTTGGGATAAAAAATTTTGTTTGAAAAGTTTTCTCCAAAAAGACTCTCAGTTTTCCCCGAGTTCTCTCATGAACCAACTTCACAGGTGTGCAACAAATACTTCCTGCGGACACATATGCTCAAAATGCACGGAATCGTGATCGACGAGAACAAGACGGTCATCGCCAACATCGATACTCTCGAGCGCGAACGCATGGGCTCTCTTTCGTTCAGGTGAGGAGGCGAGTCCAAACCCCGATCTCAACACCGTTTCTAGATGCGACACCTGCTTCAACGAGTTCAAATCGCGTCAGCAACTGAGGCAGCACAAACAGGACGCCCATGGAGTGGCGCCGATCTCGACGCCGTCCAACCGAGGCTCCGCTCCGAAGTCGGTGCCCACGACTCCCAACATTCTGTCGACAAACGGCTCCTCCAACAACCTGACCAGCAACCTCATGGAGGTGCGACTTTCTTTCTTAGTGTCTGTTAAAACGGAACCAATCTGTTAAAATAAGTTTCATAAAGGGCGAATGATATATTTCAACGGAGAAATCTAATGATAATCAGAAAAGAGTAAAAAGTAATCTGGAGCAGGTGGTGTTAAATGCGCGAAGTAAACATGCAGCCTTGTTAAACTCTTTTTGAAAGAGAGAATTATGAAATTAAAAACCAAACGGGATCAGTAAAAACAACTTTTGAGAAGGTTGATGCTAATTGGTTCACAATATCAAATTCTGGTTCATTCGCAAAAGATGTTGTTGTGACTCGCCACTCAAACTTTAATGATTCACGCATTAGAGAAGATGATATCTGAAGTTTATCAATTATTCAGCCACGATCTGAATTTAAGAATTGAGTATTCTGAATTTCTTTTTCTTCAGGAAAAGTGTCACTTGTGCGACAAAAGAGTGCCTGCGATCATGCTGCCGATGCACATCCAGCAGGACCACATGAACGCCCTCACCACGGACCTCAACCAGGTCATGGCGCTCTTCAACCAGGCCTCTCGAACTCCCCGAGAGCCCGAGGAGCGCAAGAGCGAGTCCGAGCGCGGCGTCTACCGCTGCGGCTACTGCCAATACATCACCAAGGACCTCCGCAACTTCGAAATGCACCAGGAGCGTCATGAACGTATGAACGAGGTGAGGACTCCTGTTAACAACTTTCCGAAGAGAAACTTTTTCAGGCGAAGCGTAGATCAAGTGACGACGACGAAGACGAAGTTTTAAAACTAACGACGGAGGCAGCACTGAAGATGGTGGCCGGCAACCAGGTTCGTTCAGAGTGAAGAGAGAATAACCCACGACTCGGGCTGCAGATGGACAACGTCGACCATCCGATGGATGCGTCACAGGCCGTTCTCAACCTCAGTCTGCACAAGGTTCCGGAACTTTCCAAGAAAGAATCGACTAACGAAGAAGAGAAGGTCGTCGCACATGAGAGAAATAGCCACACGGTTGGTCTGGACAGCGGGAGTCTCATCCGAAGAAGTTTTCAGAGCGGCTCGATTTCTCCGTCTGGTGAATCTTTGCCCGAAGGCTTTGGCAAAGCGATCGGCACGGAAAAACCATACATGGTGCAGTCGTTCGTCATCCGCAGCAACGACGAGAAAGGTTCTTCGTCCATCTTTTTATAAGAAGAAAAACTTTTTGCCTGCCTTTCCTTTGTCAATTTTCCGAAATAACTTCTTTTTTTTCTATCTCAATCATACTGAAGTTCAAAAAGAGGATATCAAGTTATCAATAGAGAATTCGCAAATGATTTCCTAAAGTCTCCTATTTCCAGGAGCGTTCCTGGGAGAGTTCCTCGCGCATCTGCCAGTTAGAAATCTGGTGGACGGACCACGTCAAGTCGTCTTCGAGCTGCACCCGGCTCCTTCGGCCTCCATGTGAGCGCTCTTTCCGACGATGTGCCTTTCCCGACCTCGCTCCTTTCTTCCCTCTCATGTAATTCTGTACTATGGTGCGTCTCTTGAAATCTCAATTTGTATGATCTATCTCATGCTGATTTCTCACTGTTTTGCTCACCCTCTCAAAACTTTTCCATTTGCACTAGATTGCCAAAATTTATGTAAAATTTCTTGTCGAATTGTTTTACCTATTGTAAATTGTTCTCTTATAATATATCCTAATTTATCGATCGTATTTGATTCGCCAAAGATTTTCCATTATGCAATTTTCACTGGTTGATCTCGGTTTAATATCTTACTAAGCATTTTCTAATTTCTTCCCCACCAACACAATTGAACTAATTCTCGCGTACTACCTTTTTGTTTCGATTGCATTTTCTCTGTCAAATCGGACGGGAGCGATTCCTCTCAGAATTGTGTGAAAGCAAGCATAGTTGGGCTAGTGCTTGCCGCCTTAGGATTAGTTATTTTGTCGATCTCGCCGTCCTCGCGGCTCCCAAAGAAACATTGTACAAGTCCCACAATCCAAATGTGAATGTCCTGCCATACTTTCTCGATTATTCACTGTTGCCAACAGCGTCGTTCGCATTTCGCTTTCTTTTCAAACTTTGATTTTTTTTTTCCATTTGATTGTGAAATGTTGTGATTCCGTTCCCTTATGTACTTTTTTTTCCTTTCCTGCGCTTATTTTCGTTTCTTTGTTTAATTGATATTTCATAATAAAACTTGATATTGCTTGATCTGCGTTATAGTTTTATTGTAAATTTTCCTGACGAAGCGTTTATTTTTGAATGAGGCCAGAGAGCATTTGATACATCGCGAAGGAGCCATCGGGGTTTTGCTGAAAAGATTTTATCAGTAAAAATAGGGGAATCAGTTTTAAAAAAACTATTCTGCTCCGTTCTCCAATGAAATAGGAAAAAATAATTGAGAGACAATTTGAATTCAGAGTTTTTCGACGTTTGAATTTCATTGCTTTGGAATTTGTTTAGATTGAAACTGATCGCTGGAATGGTGCTTTGAAAATAAATTTCGAATCATTGAAATTTGATCCTCTCGAACCGAAAAAAAATCCGTTTACATTTAACTTAGTTGCGAAAAATTTTTACTGGGGATTCATGAAAATTGCTTTTTTTTAGGAAAGCCGATACTTTCTGTAAAAAAAAGGAGCATAAGCCAGGTTCTAAGTTTTCAGATGTAAAAAGTCAGAGGAAATGGAAAAGATTAGTCTGAACCTGAAAAATGCTCTTCTATGCATATCAGACCCCTGCCTGTAATATGTTATTTTTCAGTTTTGAATAACTTCAGTTTCTATCTTCTAAAAAAAAAGTCATAAATTATGTCTCTGTAGTATAAGCATTTTTTGAATTGAAGCTCGAAAAATTTGATTCTAAAGATGTCCAGAATACAATCCAACGGAAACCTTGTTGATGGTCTTCATGCAGAAGTTCGTGTCCTTGTGGACGTTGTCGCTGGCGATGATCGACGGCGGCGGTCCCATCTGCAAGGGAAAAGGTTTCTTTTCATTAAATATCATTTTGATATATGCTCCCGTTCACGTTTCAGTTTGATATTTGAAAATCTTTCCTATTAGACTGCCTTTCGACGATTTTTTTTTAATACTGCAGACACGAGGCAAAGCTATTTTCTCATTATACAGTTTTGTGAGAAAAGATACGAACAAAAATTTTTTTTGGACAAGACTTTTTTTATGATATTCAATTTTTTTAAATTCTACGTTTTTTTTTCAGCGAACTGAAGATTGACCAGGGTTGCAAATGACATTCATCAACGTTTCAGTAGTATCGGATCTCGTCCAGGAGCTTTGGGGTCAAAATAGCGTTTTTTTTCCGTACCTTTTCTGACGCTCCTGTTCTTGGGCATATTCGGAATGGTGAAAAATGGCCGTTAAAAGAGAGAGACTTAAAAAAAGGCCGCAAAGAGACTCCCTTTATCAAGCCTTCCATTTTTCTGGGATTTTAAAAGCTCGAGAAATGGTTAGAAAAGGGAGAGGCAGCAAAAATGGGACATAAGGGCTTAGAAAATGACGCAAAAAGACAGGAAAAAAGAAGCCTTCGTCACCATAAAAGGAAAATTTCTATGAAGTCTCTTTCCATCCTTTCTATGTATATTACTTTTCAATGAGTCAAACTATAGGTATATTTTTTTGATAAGTGAATGAGAACTAACGTCATAGACGAGGAAGGCCCATCCCGGCTTGTTGACGTAGTAGTTGAGAGCCTCCGAAATGTCTTCGATGTCGTTGTACTGAAAAATTCATTGTTTTTCAAAAAAAGTTCATTCCAAAGTTTTCTCTAAAAAGATCCAACTGATTTGGAACGTTTTTAGTAGCCCTACATCTTGAAACTGTCTTTTCTACCTGCTCCTATTTTCCGTCATCGGCTTGGTCAAAAAGAAAAGATATCAGCGCAAAAACAGGTCAGACTGCTTCGAATTTCGGATTTCGAATGAGCGAAGTATAAATTTTTCCGAAGTTCCAAAAAAAGACATGGCAGAATTGAGCGAAATACTCGATTTTAGAGAACCTGATTAAAAATTTGCGGAATCATATTAAAAATTTAACCTTCTTTCAATCGAAAACTGATTTTATTTTCATTAATTTTTCGCAATAGATCACTCTAACGACTGAAAATGTAAATTATTTTTTGAAACTGAAGAAAATTAAATCGGAATCTTATAATGAAATTTTGAAAAAAAAAACTAAATAAAAAATTAGTTTTTACAATTCAAACTCGCAGCCGAAAAATGGAGCACATTTTTTTTTGGATTTTTCACAGAAGTCGACTTTTCAAGACTCATGCAACATTTTTCAGCCCAATCACCTTGTCGAAGATGGCGTCGACAAGCGCGGAAAGTTCATCATCAACGCAAAAGTCTGAAACCACTGAAGTGACCAGACTTGAGAGAAGAAACTCACTGAACGGGTCGTCGTCGCGGTGAGTCGGCGTTCCTTTTTTCAACTCCGGCTCGACCATCACTTTCCTGTCGGACTTGACAGTAGTCCTCACCTTGTAGACGGCTGAAATGCTCATGTTAAGTAAGGATTATGATATTTTATAAGCTGAGGCTTTTCATATTTCGGGACAGCGTAATTCAGCCGCTACAACTTATGATCACTATTTGGAGTCCTCAGAGGTCACCCCGATCTTTTTCTCACTGCTAAAGTCGAAATTCGAAAATTGAAAGCATGGAAAGTTTGTTTCTTGTGTCAGACTTCGATTGCACCCCCCAGTTCATAATCTTACGAATTGTTTAGCAGTGTAAAACTGTTTCACAAAATAGATGAATAAATAAATACGAAAACAAAGTTTGTGTTTGAGTCTGCCCGTTGAATCTTCAAGAGGAAGGTAATTTTACTTTGCGGTTGATAATTCCTTCACAATCGCCCAGAACACTCGTTGATGTACCAGATTAAGACCCTGAAAGTCTCATCCTGCACGGCTTTCTAGTTTTTCATAAAGCACACCTCAAAGTCAAAAAAAACCCTCAAATCCCATTAAAATAGACCATTATGGGGCTTTGAACCCTTATTCTTTGAAAACTAGGAAGTTTAGCAGGTTTAGACTTTCAAAATTTCTTTTGATAGATTGAGGAGTATTCCGGTCGAGTTTCAGGCAATTCCCAGCCCCAAAGTAAAATGACCTGCATCAGTAAGCCTGGAAAAAAAGTTGCAGAGCCATGTTGTTAATGAGCCTCAAATATTCATGTTGATAAAAGTTTTCAACCGGAAGTGGCGTTAGCCGGCTGAAAGAGCATGGCGGCCTTGATGGACTTGCGATCCTGGCAGTGGGTGATGCACCATTGAGGCCTGTAATGAAGCGACTTCCGCGCTCTGACGGACACTTCTGAACTGACCTGATGAAGTCTTCTCCTGACGTGCGGAAAGTCGCGATCGGAACCGCGTTTTCTGTCGTCTCATCGCCTGTCGCCGGGTAGTTGCACACTAAAGCGCTATTTTTTTCGGAAAGTACAAAACACATAAAGGTTTTAAACTAAAAATCCAAGAAATCATTTTTTTAATTTTTTTAAATTTTTTTAAGAAAAAAATTGATAAACTTGAAAAATGGGAAGTTGCATACTTTCAAAACTAGAAGTTTTTTTCATTAAAAACCATTAAACCACGGTCAAAATTTCGAAAAATTAAAAAAACGTTTGGAAGAACGTGGAAATGGAAATGATACAAGTCTAATCTGTAGAAGTTTTTCTTTTTAAAACTATCTGAAAAGGAAAAACAAAAAAATATTTTAAAAACTATCATAAACTTGGCTTCAAAAATTTTTTTTATCAATGGTTTTATTTTTTTTCTTCTTTTTTTTTAAAAAAAATTAAAAAAAGCAGATATCGTTCTGCGACCTTTTTCAAGTTAGTTTACTTTTTTTTAAGAGCTTTTGTTAAGCTTTTTTTTAACCACTTTCCTATACTTTTTTTCATTTTTCTCATAGTTATCTCTTGTTGACAATTTGGATAATGCTAACCGACGCCTCCGGGAGCCGACGTCTGAGCACAGAATCCGACGGCGACCAACGTCGTCAGAGCCAAGATTCCCTTCATCCGCCTTCATAATTTTTCCTTTTTTTATTTTGAGAGAACCCAAACACTACATAAATTTGACAACCACAAATTTTTTTCATAACAAAAGGCCGTTTCGTTTTTTTGTGTTAGAAAAATTGGATGATTGAGGGTTTAAAATTGGTGGGTGAAGCGAGAAAAATGAAATAGAGCTATTTTTGGAAAATTTAGAATTTTTAGCTTTCAGTATTTTTTAGTCGATTGCGTATAATTTTTTTTTTTTTGGTGAATACTGGGACGATCAAAGCCCAAAACTTGGTGAAAGAAGAGCTTGAAAATAATAAAAAAAGGAAATAAGTTAGAGTAGTCTCCAAGAAACGGGCACGCGACGTGGAAGAAACTGCCGCTCGCTATCTCCATTTTGCTCTTTCTAATCGGCTCCTGATAACAATGATATCACCATTTGTTTCAAATAAATGAAATTTAGTTCTAAATATTACCTTTTGAATAAAAAAAAGTCGGGTATTGATCCATTCGAAAAAAACTATTTGATTCAACTTTTTATTAAACCTGACCAAAAGCTTCCATTTTATTGAAATAGGAACATTTGAAGAAAACTGAAGAAAACCTGATGAAAGATTTTTTTTTTCTTATTTCCAAATAACCTCGATTCTCTCTAAGATATTCTCTGAACGAGTTTTTTTCATCCTCTATTTTTTTGAACTTTTGAATAATAAAATGAACTATTTGCTGTGTTCATTTTTTAGATTTTCAACGAATTCTAATTCTTCCTTTTCCTTCTCACGTTTTATACTGGAAAACACGAAAAGCGCTCGGAATCCGATATGAAGGTTCCAAAATAGAAGTCATTTTTAGGGCTGCAAATTAATTTCGAACCCGTCTAGCTTGTCGGAACTTCCGTTATCCATGAATTATTCTCCCAGTTTTCAAAATGATTTTAAAAAAATTGAACAGTTCTTCCGAGGATCCAGCTGAAAGCTGGACAAACCGAGGGTTTCACAATCAGCTTCAAATTATTTAAAAAAATCCTCAAACTTGAACATTAGCAAGATTTTAGGATAATTTATTTTAAGTTGATAATCTATATATCACGAGCCAATCAAATTGTTTGCGTTATTTCTTTGACTAAACAAGCGGTCTGTTCAAAATCACTGGAATAAAAGTAGGTTGATCGAGATTTGGACGGGAAGCGAAGACTTTTTGCCGCAACATTCGATGAGCCGCCCGGCGTCTGCGGCTCTGCACTCTCCTGCTCTGTCTCAGTCTTTCGTCCTGCTCCAACTGGCTTTTCCTGCGAGCTTTTTCCGCCGCTCTTTTCCACTTTCCTTACAACCGCAGGTGTTCATCCCCTTTCCCACGCCTCCACTATGAATCGTCGCTGAAGACGTCCGTGACTGAAGACGTGGCAGTGGATGCCGAGCTCTTCCGGAGGTTTGTTCTCAACTATTTCAGCCGATCTGATCGCTCAGATATTGTTTTCGAACTGTAAATCTCGTTTTCCGGGGTACCTGGCTGCATGCAAACATCCTCGGATCAAGAGTTTTGATCAAAAATGTTTTAAAGGAGCCTGTGAGTAATCTCGAACACAAATAAAGTTGTCTGCTCAAATATTTTCATGTTTTTTTAAAAAAATTTAAATTGCTTTTTGAAAAATTTTTTTTTCCCTTAAAAATAGCAATCCCGCTTTTTTTGAAATTATGTTTTATGATACCGTCCTATATTTCATGAACAGTCTTGATTTTTGATTGAAATAACAACTTGAGAGAAAAAACTTTTTCTTCACAAATCCTACAATGTGTTCAACGTTTCCTGAAAAAAACACCAAAAAGTGTGAGAGGCTGCGATTCGAACTGCGGCTACTCGGCGGGTGTAATGGCGGAGGTCGGTGCTCCCTGGCCATTCTTCTTCCAGGACTTTCTCCGCGGCTATCCAGTTTCATCGCCTCTTTTTTCATTTTCTTGATCACCGAAATTGAATTGCTACTCTTAACACAGGATCTTTCAATTTTCAAACCAATTTTCAAATTTTAATTCGATAGCTGGAAAAAAAATTTTTCGATTCATTGTGCGAAAATCTCCCAAGTTTTTCCGAATCAATTTGTGATTGTCCCTTTTCCTGTTTTAAAAAAATTAAGCTGGTGGTTTATAAAAAAAAAAACATATGCGCAAAGTTAGGAGACGCAGAAGTAATGCATGAACTGAAATGAAACTGAAAAAGCTCTCGTCGCCTTTAGACCTTTCTAAAATCTTGTATGTTTTTTCGAACATCCTCGCGAAGATTATCAATGAAAATGTTCGAAGTACACATGCGCAAAAGCTGTTTCACGAGGTATTAAGCAGCCCGTGGCTTCAAATAACTGCTATATCGGAATCCGAGTCTCATCTATTATAAAAGAGCATAATCCCTATATAGTATTAAGGTCGCTTGATACTCCTAGTCTTGCGTTGAGCAACTTTCGGAGTGACGCATGCTTTACACAAAGTCTGCGGAATGATTTCGAGAGATCGCATTTGAATAATATTTTCTGAGACAAGCGAGGCGCCAATTCGAACACCTGCTTCCGAATTGCTTTCTATTCGGCGTCTCTTTGTTGTACTACGTTCGAGAACTCAATAATCGATTTGAAAGATTTTCAAGCCAGACTCCGAGAAAGCTTTGAAGACAAAAAATTTCAAGTTTTGAGTTGATGCCCTAGAACTTCGACGACCTCTGATTAGCTTCTCAAAAAAAGCAGTCAAGATGGTATAATATATGAAAAGTTTTCCTTCCTTTGGCAGAGAACATTCTGAAACGCCGGAATCAAATAAATTCAAGATTGGATACGGAATTTTTTTTTTCTTTCGCGTTTTTCTTCTTTTTGTGAATTAATGAGATCCATTTTGCAGAGAATGCGGAAACAAGAAGATGCGGCGCCCTACAGCCGGCTCTCGAGCTCGTGCTCTTCCATTCGCAGCAGCAACTATTCTACAGCCAGACCCTACACTCCCAGGTACTTTCATTTTCTGGAAGTGGCCAAAAAACTAGCAAATAATGAGAAAGAACGTAAATATCAGTGAAATAAAAAGTTGAAAACACACTCATGAAAATCCCGAACGGATTTCTTCGAATTTTGGGGGCGAATGCCAAAAAACATCGCATGTCGGAAGGCATTGTAGTTGCCGGGGCAACAAATCGGATTGTGTTGAATTCGAAGCAAATCCTCTTTCTTTCGCGGCGTTCCTTCCATTTTTCCACTGTTTGAGTCTATTTCAGTCTGAGCTCGTACCGATATTCCGCATCCTCGTACACTCCGAGTTCGCGCATGTCCTCTTCTGAAAATGCAGGTTTGTTCTCAAAATTAATCCCATTTAGTTTCTTTAAAACATGGAAATTTTTATAAGGGTTCAAAATTTGAGTTTTATTTTACAAAGTAATCTAATTAATGAACATATAGTCTGTTCAGATTCTAAATGTCAAGCAGCTAACTCCGCCCCTGCTGAGACGGTACCCTTTCGGGTCGATGTTTTAACGCGCGGGACTAATTTTGATCTTTTTTGATCTAAAAGATAGAAAAAGAAGTCAAAAACGCAGCCTTATTAAAGGGCCATTGTCATCTGTAGATCAAACATTGACGCGAAAGATATTGTAGCTTTGGGGGTGGAGTTAGCTGCTCGACATTCAAAATCTGAACAGACTATAGTAATCACTTGGGCTTCCGCGTTTTTAACGCATTGCGCGTAGTTTTTCCTGCCTAGGCCGCATACATAACGATAGAGTAGACACTATAAATGACGCGCACAAAAGCACGCACGGTTATTTATAATTTTATATTCAATAAAAATAAACTTGTTGTTTTATATGCTTCATCTTTGTTCAATCAACAGCCTGCTCAGCCAATATTTTTTTCATTCAAAAAAATAATTTTTTTATAGATTGTTTCTCTTCTTTCTCTTTAGAAAAATTAATATTATGTACTTTTTTAAACTTTCGGAAACTTTCATAGTGAAGTGGTTTTTTCATTAGCTTGTTTTTTTCTCCAGACTTTTTTCTAAAATTCTGAGCTTTTTTTTTCAATATCTCAGTCAAATAGTTTTTGGTTTCTGATTGTCCTTCTAAGCTGAGGTTGGAAAATGGAAGAGGATGTTCCAGGAGCCACCAGCAGTAGTATAACAGGACGCTCCCGTTATTCCACATCTTCCACCTCTTCTCATACAAGCACTTTGCCGCGTTCAGCATCAACAACTCATAAAAATTTATATACCAGGTAGCTTTTTTTTCGGAAAATCAAAGCAATAATTCTTTATTCAGCCCAGCAGCTGCGCGGGTTTCTGTCTCGGCCAATGAGAGCATATCGACGAGTTCAAGTTCTTGGACGCCCTCGGCCTACCGAGGACTCAGCCGATACCAGTCAAGTTAGTGAGGACAGAATCTGATAAATATTTACATTTACTTAAGATGTTTTTAGTTTTTAGAAAATGAAATTTAAAAAAAGATATTTTCAGGCACTTCTCAAAACGCAGAGCTGCCGACGACTAGAGCCAGTTCAATAGCATCAAGTTCTGAACGCGTGAGAGAGCGTCCGCGGCACGTTGAAGCCGAGAGGATCGAGACGACGCCGACGACTCGGACTCACATGGTCCATCCGACCTCATCGCACATCCGCAGTCGTTCCACCAGCTACAGGTTTTCGAAAAATGACGTATTTTAAGGAAAAAATTTCTTCTTGAAGAACTATCAACGTTGCGCAGTTCAACCAACAAGCCAAGGAGCGGGCTGAACGCGATGAAAAAGATCGACAGTATAGGCGAGTGTTTTTGAAATCTTCTAAAAATGGAATGGCCATGAATGATTACATCGAATAGAGCTTTGGAGTCAGTTTTAGATTAATTTCATAGGCCTTGCCTTTTTCTGATAACTCTTTGGATCGTATTGACTTGTCAAGATAATGAATCAGTTTTTATACTCGTTTTGAAAGTGACTATTCACAAAATCATATACTATTTACTATAAATAAAACTGAATGATAATATCACTAACGAGGTTCAGGGAATGGATCGAGAAAGAAAACGCACGTGACTCTTCCTCAGCTCTGCCTCTTATCGAGCCGACTCCACCGCCTGTGGCCGAGTCGACGCCGCAAAAAGATTTTAGGAAAAAACTGACGAGCTACAGTTCCGCCTCAGGTTTGATCTTCTATCATTTTAAGTTTTGGAAAATATTCCTTCGAAGAGTGTTGGACCTTTGAATAGAGTTGAAGCAGCTAACTGAAGAAAAAATTCAATATTTGCTATTTTTGAATTACCTTCTCGTTATCTTCAAAGTTGTTTTGCAATCAGAATCTCCGCTACAGGGTACAGTTCTTCATCGTACGCAGCACGACCGACGTCGCCTCGTCCTCCGCTGGACCTCAGTCCCGACGGCCTTCTGATGTCGACGAGTCAGTCGGCGACGTCGGCCCCTTCAGCTCCGCCGCCTGCCTACAAGGCTTCGGGAGGACCGCCCGCGCCACCTCCGCCTCCGCCGCCAGCTTCTCGCTCCGCCACCCTGCCAAGGTCCATGTCGACGACTTTCTCCACGTCTGCCTCTGTGGCTCCTTCGCGTTTCAGACCTACTGCCAAGGTGAATCACCGAGAATCAGAAGGAGTATTAATGTGAGAAAATATGAATAAAAAGACTTGCCCTCATTTTCTTTCACGTAGAAATCGACGGCTGTTTTATATTCATTTCTTCGAACTGTATGCAAAATCAACTCTTTTGGTAGTATGAGGACGTTTCAGTTGCAGGTGATGCCGTACGACGAGGACCAGGAGCGGGTCTGCGTCGTTCAGAGCGGCTACACGGGCCTCCGCAACATCGGCAACACCTGCTTCATGAACGCCGTCCTCCAGATGCTCATCAACAACATCGAGCTCCGCGAGTTTTTCCTCCGAGACCATTTTCGCATGGAGATCAACGAGAAGAACCCACTCGGCTTTTCGGTTCGTTTTTGCATCCGAACTTTCGGCTATTTCTAGCAAATAAATAAAAATGAAATGAGAAATGAAGTGAATTTTAGAATCGCTGGAATCTTTTTTATGAAATTTTCATTTTGAGTTGATATTCCCTTCAATTATTCATTTTGAGGGGCGACTGGCTATAGCTTTTGCCGATTTCATGCGCCAAATGTGGAGCGGAATGCAAAAAGCCATTGAACCTTGTACTATCAAGGTATATCATTTTTTTTTTTTTGGCTTTCATTACCATTTTTTCAGGAAATTGTGGCCGAAAAAGCCTCGCAATTTGCTAATTTCGCCCAACACGACGCTCACGAATTTCTTTCTTTCCTTCTAGACGGTCTTCACGAGGATGTTAATCGGGTTTCTCATTTTTCTTCGTTTTCATCAGTTTTTAGCCTTTCTGAAAGAAGGGACCATGAAGTCAGAACCTTAATCAAGTTTATCAAAAACTAAGTATTTTCAAGACAGTCTTTGGAATAAAATTTTTATTGTTCGCTCACAGATCTGTGGCGTGGAGGAAGAGAACCAGAAAATTCATATTTGCTTTAAATCAAATAAAAAAAGAAAATATTTGTACAATCGAAGCAAGTTTCTCACGTAGAAAAATGGAAAAAATTGGACTCACCTCATCATAAAGAAAAAATGTTAATTTTTTAAGTTATCCATTTCTATCCAATTCTATTTCATCGTCAATTTTGGAGTTTTCAGGTGAAAAACAAGCCATTGACGGGTACTGTAGAGAGCGATGGAAGGCACGACATTGAGGTCTTTTTTTATTATCTTGAAAGAAATCTGATGCTTAATCGTTCTCCAGGTGTCGAACGAGGCTTGGCGCAATCATTTGCTTCGAAACGACTCAATTTTCGTCGATTTGTTCCACGGACAACTCAAAAGTCGCGTCCAGTGTCCAAACTGTGATCGGGTAAACTTTATTTTAATTTTGAATTTTTTTTTCCTCTGAAGACTAACTAAGTTTTAATAATATGCAATTAGACCCGATTGTACGATAAAACTGGTCTCACGCCCGTTCAGAAACGCTTGCCGAGGTGTCTAGCTGGGTTTTTGTGTCAAATTTCTTTTACTGTGAAACTTGGTGAAGGGGATTTTTAAGCGTAAATTAACACTGAAATAGAGTATCTGTAACTCTACAAGCTCTGTAGAAAGCGATGACAGCGTAATCTTGAACTTTTTATCTATAAAAAAGTTTCGTTTTGTTCCCCGGAACACTCCAGGCGTTTGAAAACAGTCTTTGAGGATTATTTTGAAAATAAACATCTTTTTTTAAAGCGAAATTTAAATTTTGAGGTTTCAATCACCTTCGACCCATTCGTCTACCTCCCAGTCCCGTTTCCCAAGAGAAAACGTTCCAACACAGTCTTGTTCTGGCCTTTGGACTCGCTGGCCAAGCCTCTCAAGGTCTGCGGGGAAGGTCCTCTCTCCTTCCAACCGAATTCGCAGATCACGGTGACGTACTCGAACGACGGCACGGTCGCCGACTTGCTCTCCGCAGTCGCGGAAGTCGTCGGCGTCCCCAGTCGCGTCCTGCGGGCCATCGAAGTCTTCGGCCATCGCATCGACAAGATATACAACTCCCTTTACAAGGCCAGCGACATCGGCAGCTGCGACGTCGTCTACGTGTTCGTCTCAGTCTTTCCGCCTCGATTTCTCCTCTTTTCTCGTTTTCAGCTTCCAAATCCACGACGAGGCAGACTGCAATGAGGAAGTCATCACGATGTACGCCCTTCAAAGACAACTCTTCCCTCCAAATTTGAGGTGCGCAAAAAATTATTGACTGTTAAGAACTGAAGGTTCAGATACATGTGCAACGAATGCGGCAAGCACGACGGCCATTTGAAAGCTTGTGAAGGCTGTTATAACGCCTATTTCTGCAGCAAGTACGGTATTTCTTGATTCAGCGAGAAAAGCACAAATTAAAACAAAAAAAAATCATCAGATATATTTTTGTTGTTTATTCATCACGCAGTTGTTTTTATGGCTGTCTTAAAGTGTTTCTGAACAACGAATAACTAGTTTAGTCTGACAAGAAAGATCCTTCTTCTTTGCAGTTGGGAATTCATTGAAAACGGGCTATAATACTCCTCGGTTTACCAGATAAAGATCCTGGAAGTTCCCATATGCACACAGTTTATTTTCTAAGAAAAGAGACCTTAAAGTCGAAGAAACCCTCAAAATTCAATAAAATGGGATATTTCGGAGGTTTTGAGCCCTTTTTTCCCCAAAATTAATAGTTGTGTAGGTTGAGAGTTCCAAAATTTTCCTTTGGTACATCGGGGAGTGTGCTAGCCAGTTTTCGGGAAAATCGCAACCGTAAGATAAAGAGCTTTCCTTGGGAAAAAAAATATATCAATTTTAACATTGAAATAGCCTTATGTCGAGAAGTTTCCATGACAGTTGCATATCATCCCCTGCTCTTAGGGACTGTCAGTTGTCGAATTGGACGAACGGCGGCCACCGCGACGAATGTCGTCGACGTCCCATCGGCGAACACGTCGGCCAGCCCCTCGTCGTCTCTTTCCCTCGCAGCCAACTCTCCTACGCTCATCTTTACCGAACTCTCGAGGCTCGCAGCAGGTTCCGAAGCCTGTCATTGCTCTGTCTGACATCTTTTCTTCTCAGGCATTCTGTCACCGTTTTCCAAGCACCTCAGTACGGCGACGTCAATGGAAACGACGGAGAAGTGGACCCGCTCGAGGCCGATTCGCTATCTCTCCCTGGAAAGGTTTTCTTTAGAATTCAATTTCGGCTCTGCAACCATCATGTATCAGTTAGAGATAGTCAAGTTTAAAAGTTTCTAGGAATGATACATGAAATTTTTTTATAGTGTTTTAATGTTTTTTCCGTGAATTTGGCTTCCCAGATAAAATAATGGGATAGGAAAATAATTTCAATTAATACCCATTTTGGGAATTTCAATTACCCAATCGGACCTTTATATTATTTCTGGTCACTTTTTCTAAATCCCGTCTGAAAGCTCCAACAAAATTTTTTCCGAAGAACTTTTTGTTCAGAAAAGGCCTGGAGTTGGAGCTCCGCCATCGTTCTTGAATCCCGCCGGTCAAATGAACGGCGTTGTGAGTTTATTCTAAAAAAAAATCTGATAAAATTATTTGAATCAGGCCCACAGCCGTAGTCCCTCGCCCCGTAGACAAAGTGTGCTCGCCGAGCCGCGATCGAAGAATTTGAAGGCGTCGCCTCGACTTTTCGACATCCGGCGACTGAATCAGTTGTCTGATTCCTTCGGCGAGTTGATCTCGGACAGTCCAGGTGAGAAAAAAAAAGAGTCTGAATAGATTGAACTTTCCGATAGATTCCATCGAGCAACTGCAAAATGGAGCGTTTTTATCGGTTAATTGGGTCAACATGCGTTTTGGCAAAGAATACATCACGGTCGGAAATCGCAGCACTGTCGTCAGTCTTTATTTTTTTTATATGCAACCTTTTTTTGTTACACTTCAAGAAGCTGAACTTAGCTGCCTGGCTAATTTATCTAAGGATTTGGAAACGTTCTTCCAGTTTATTCTTGCCTTTCTAGGATATTGACACGAAAAGATCGGAAGAGCTTTCTCCGACGAGTAAAAACGCGGACCGACGCGGGTCGGATGCAGAACCGACGCTCAACGAAATGCTGGTTTGTACAAGATCCGCCACTCAGCTATTTCGCTCTTCAGGAACTGTTTTCTGAAACGGAACGCCTGAAACCAGAAGAGTCGTGGTACTGCTCGAACTGCAAGACTCACGTCGAAGCAACCAAAAAACTGGAACTTTACCGGCTGCCGCCCATACTAATCGTCCAGCTCAAACGCTTCGTTTACACTGGTTTACTCTTTCTCAATGTATTTTTTGAGCCTGAGCTTCAGCTTTCGCGAGCCAGGCGAGCATGCATCGACGGAGCAAGGACGAGCGCCACGTCGACTATCCGCTCGAGAACCTCGACATGGCTCCTTTCCTCTCTCCCAACGCTCCCGACCAGCCTTCCACCGTCAGTTCCACTTACTCTTTTCATTTTGAATGAAATCAGTGTTTTTGATCTAACAGGTGCCATTCAGCTACTTCTGTTATCTTTCAGGTAGAAAAAAGTGAACGAAAAGACTTGTAAAAACTTGATGAAAATACTTGAAAAAAAATAAGGGTGAGTCCAGATCTGAGTAAGTTCTGGATGTAGAGTAGCGGATGGAAAGTCTTGGAAATAGAGGAAAAAAATCACTTTTACTTGATTAAATATAAAAACATAAGAACTCAGAATTTTCACAACCCTCCTCACGGAAATTCAGATCTACGACCTGACTGGCGCCGTTTGTCATTCTGGCAGCAGCTACTTCGGACATTACATCAGTCTGGGACGGTTACCCGATTTCGACGGATCCAAGACCAAGATAGGTTTGTTTTGTTAAAAAAAAGCTTCTTTATAAAAAAAAAACTTTTTGAGAATGGAGAACTTTTGACGATTCCATGGTGACGAGACAGTCGGCGAGCGCCGTTCAAAGCGACGACGCCTATCTTCTTTTCTACAAACTGCGCAGTGATTCAGTCACTCGCGGCATATTCAGGTACTCCTACAAATTTTGTGGCAATTAATCGCAATTCCTTCCAGAAAACACTATTCCTGTGATCCTGGAGATGATCCCAAGAGTGAAGGGGAGAAATCTGATCTTTAAGAAAGTTTCGACGTTTTTGTCAACCAAGAACTTCTTTTTGGGATACGTTTAGATATAAGAAGCTGGATAGATGCATGTTTATTTTTTCTGAAATTTTGATGTTATCTTTGTTTGAAAAGATCTTTCCTACCGTTGTTTATCCATCTTTCATGTACTCCTTTCCGAAATCGAAAGAATGCCCTGTTCCTTGTTGTTTCAAAAACTTTCTTTCGAATTCATATATACAGATTACTTTATTTTCCCAATACCTTTGCCTTATTTTCGTGCTGCAATAAGATTGTCTGTCTAGTCGTCATTTTTTAGATCTAGTCGATCCCTTTTGTGGACTCTAATAGTGCTTTTTTTCATTGAATTTTGACTATCACCCACTATTTTTTTTTCTCGTAAGGGTTTCTTTCGGTGATTTTTGCTCTTCCAAATGATTTTGTTCGCGTTGACGTGTAATGAAACTTCGTTTCTTCTTTATGTTCACAAAAAAATCGACAGAAAAAAAAGGAATTTTTTACGGACACAATCGATGATTAAACAGCAACGTTCTTATCATATTGACCTGCATTTCTCGGAAATCGATCAATTCCCGTTGTTCTTTTCCTGCCTTTATTCCTGACTTTCAGATTCACCTTTTGACCTCTATCAGGTTTTGAATTAACCAGTTCAAAAACTTGAGAAGCGACATTATTATTACTATTATTTTTTTGAAACATCTAGTCAGTAACGATAGTTTCAGAACGGCTATGGAGCCTCCGAAATCTTCCAAAATCGTTGTTTTCGGAAGTGTCGTTCAGGATTTGATCAGGTTCGTGACATAGTTTTTCTATGCGGAATTTATATAAAAACCTCCGATTTTTGAAGGTTCGATGACAAGAAATATTTGAGACTTTTTATTGCAGTTACACGGATCGTTTCCCGAAGCCTGGGGAGTCTATCCGAGGAAATGCTTTTTTCGCGGGTTCTGGAGGCAAAGGAGCCAATCAGGCAGTCGCCTCCGCCAAACTCGGGGCCGATGTCCATCTTATTGCCAAGGTTTTTCTTTTGATGACATTATTTTTTTTGATTGAGCGGTTTTCAGTGTTGCTGATTGAGGTTTAGGATCTAAAGGAGAGGTTATTTTTTGAAGGTTGGGGACGACATGTTCGGAGAGATGAACCTGAAAAATCTGACCAAAGAAGGGGTCAACGTCGACGCCGTGACTAAATCTGAAAACTCGCAGACAGCAACGGCCACCATCACTGTCGATGGCGAAGGTTAGCAAAGATCTCAACAAATGTCCTGCCAACGGCCCGGAAATGATAATTTTTGGTGTCGCAGAAAGTCTCCTTTTCTTTATTTCGAGAATCCAGCCAATAAAATAGGGATGGGAAGTAAGGTTTTCAAATCAATACTGGCAATCTAAGTAGAAATTAAAGCTGATATATGACCAATTAAAAATTTGGATCTGAAAAAATTACGAAAAGACTCAATTCAGGTGAAAACAGCATAGTCGTGTTTCTGGGGGCGAACATGGAGATGACGGCGGATGTGGTCGAAAAAAACAAGGAACTGATCTCTTCTGCCGGCGTTGTTGTGGCTCAATCAGAAGTGCCGAGGGAAGGAAACTACGAAATGTTCCAATACGCCAAAGAACATAACGGTTCATCCTTTTTTTGGGTTTTTCTCCCAAAATTCTTATTTTTCCAGTTACAACGATTCTCAACCCCGCTCCTGCAGATCCAAAAATCGATAAAAGAACCTTCAGTCTCATTGATATTATATGCACTAATGAAAATGAGGTTCGCTACTTAAAATTCCTTTTTTGTTCACATCCTTTTGCAGGCTGAAATGATCACCGGAATCAAGCAAAAAGATGTTGAAACAGCCAAAAAGGCCGCAGAAGCAATGTTAGAATTCGGGTGTAAAATCGTGATTATCACTCTTGGTTCCAAAGGTTCGTTAATGAGCTGTAGAATAATAATCGGAAATAAGCTTGTTTCAGGCATTGTCACAGTCTCCCAGGACACTCCTGTTGAGGTTATTCCTGTGAACAAAACTAAAGCCGTTGATACGACGGTACGATCTTCTCTTTTACTTTTCTATTAACAGAAAATTCCTTCTTTTTAGGGCGCTGGAGACTGTTTCGTGGGTTCGCTGGCCGCATTCATCGCTCGCGGAATCGAATGGCGCGAAGCTATCAAATGCGCAGCCAACCTGGCTTCCCTCTCAGTTACCCGCAAAGGAACACAAGCGTCTTACTGGAATTTGGAAGAAATTCGTCAAAAAAACATTCTGATTTTTTTTACCCCATAAATTTTGAAATTCTATTTGAAAAAAATAATTTGTAATAAATTTCGAAATGATTCGTTCCTACCGTTTTGTACCACTGTATTTCTTATTCCAAAATCGACTGAAAATTTATTCTGTGATATCCTATCTTGCAAGAAAGTTATCACACGGAAGTGATTCAGGAAGAATCAGAAACAAAAAAATATTTTCAGGAATTCCGCTTGCACAGTAAATGTTTTTGTTACTTTAGACTCCAAAGTGTACGCACGCTTCAGCTGGGGCGCGTTTTTCCGCTTGAGAAATATTATGAAATTTTCATTTTTGTACCATTTTATGTTCATTATAATATATCCATATTTTAATATTAAGCGGTTAAAAAAATATAGGTGAAGATGGCTAGGGAGCTCTCAACTATTAGCTAGGTGCAGTCTTTAAAGACCAGAGCGCTTTTATTATTAATTTTTTTTCTTTGTAGTTCTTGTGTCAAAAAAGCTGATCTATATAAGATTTAGTTCTCAAAAACTCCTTCGCACCAGTTCATTTTTTTTTTTAGAAATGGCCAGTACCTCTGCTAATACAGATACCGTTATTGAAGAAGATGCTGCCGAAATTCGATTCCCCAAAGGTAGTTTTCAATTTGGATAATATCAAAATAGAAACTTCAATCAGAGTTCGAAGTGAGCAACTGTGACGCTCTACTCACGTCGGAAGTGTTCCTTTTACTGGAACATCGCAGACAACAAAGTGAACAAAAAGACGACATCGAAGAAATGAGCGAGGTTTTTTCAGTTTTCGTTAAATCGCAAACCGCTACTCCCTGACGTCATTTCATGACACCATTCGTAGCACAAGAAATAAGCGTAATCGAAATATTGGGCCATATATTCATTTTATTCACGTGAGCATGCAGATTATTATTATCTCATTTCATTCCGTCGACTGGTCGCTCTCATTGCCGCTCTCTCATGGGATAATATTCCGACGCCCGTCAGCCCTGGACAAGCTGGGCGCCGTACTGTTCCAACATGGTGAAGCAGTTTATTCGCTGGTACTACCAACGGGCCAACATTATTTCCCAACGCTAGCTGTCACTCCGGGACGTATTGGACAACGATTGTGGACCGTGACCCGCGCCGACGACTAACTCTTCGAGTATACCATGATTCAGCAGAGATTTTCTTCATCTTACTTTGAAGACTGAATAAATTGAATTGAATTGAAATTGAAATTGAAAAAATTGAAGAATGGGAAAAGCCTGAATTGCGCCTTTGCATTAAAACTGCGCCTACAGGTTCATGCATTACTTAAGAAAATAGGCTTAGTTTTAAGGCTTCACACGGAGGCGGAGCGCGCATAGCGCGAAGCCGACTGTGGCTCGCTTCGAAAAAACTGAGCCACAGTGAAAAAATTCGTCAAATAAATGAATACTTGACATAAAAGGCATTTAGTTTCAAAACGTGGACACTAATAACACTATCAGGTAGCTCCAAATGATTTGCAAACTTGATACGCGTAGCGAAAAAATCTGTGAAATGTATTTTCCAAAAAAAAAGAAAAAAAAAAATAAAGGAGCATACTGTGCGTAAGCGTGGGCCTCGACGCCTTGGATTATTCCAAACCTTTAAAAGGTTTCTAAAAAAAGTAAGAAAAATAGAAGAATAAAAAAAGTTTCCAATCAAAAGGGGATTTTCAAGTGTGATATCTTTCTGTTTCTCATGTGACCGGAAAAATTTTCACGTCGAATCTAATTTTATAAATTGAAACGTAAAAAATGAATAAAATGATATGGCTGCGTGTGCGAATTTGCAAATGAAGATGATGTCATAGGGATGGCGTCAGGGAGTAGCGGTTTGCGATTTAACGCGAAGTGGTTTTTTTCTCACGGGACAGACCTTTTTATTCAGAATTTTTATTAAGGTTTTCATCAAGACTCTGAGCTACGCTAGACGCCTTTCTCGTTTCAAGAATCGCGAGACGATCCGCGCCGTTCGCGCGATTTTCGCAGAAAAAAACTTTCACAAGTTTGAAGTGGCTCAGATCGCTAACCTCTGCCCGGAATCTGCCGAAGAAGCCAAGGTTTTTTGAGTTGTTTTATTTTCATCCCTGTACTTTTTAGGCTTTGATCCCTTCGCTGGAGAATAAGATCGAGGACGCCGAGTTGGATGAGATTCTCAAAGAAGTTCAGGCCAAACGCACGTTCCAATAATTCAACTTTTAATAACTTTTCGATGTTTTTATTTTTACTTTTCCAATGAACCGTTCTGATGAAGTTGTCTTTTTCCATTTATTGCGACAACAGTTTTTCTGGCTCACGTTATACTTAAGCTTTTGAATCTAGAACTAGGTGTTTGTAAGGATTTCAGAATGGGAGGCTGGAAGTTAGAATCGGCGAGGTTCCTTATCATGGTCGGTTTTCCAGTCGGCGCGTTTTGGCTGTTCAATCAGCCTAAAATATTCAAAGAATTTGTCAGTTTCTTTTGATTTCACTGGCCTCATCTTGGATATTTCCAGATGAAAGGCTACAAAGTTCCAGATAGTTCATCTGGAGACAAAGCTATCGCCGATTTTAAGGTATCAAATGAGAAATAGATTATCATTACAGAATTTTTGCAGGAGCAATTGCTCGCCCAAAAGCGCAAAGACGAGTATGAAAGTTTCTTGAGAGAACAGATGGCTTTTGAGGAGGCCAAGAAAATTCGAGCTCAGCACGGAATTTGAGTTTTTCGAACTAAATTTTTTGTTTTCGTTTAGTAACAGGTTTTTACTTTGCCGTGTTTTTTTTTTCGCAGTAGATTGAGACTTTTGAGTAAATTATCAGCTCCAGGAAAACCTTGCTATTCTCAATTTTAAGCAGATTCACAAATGAAACAGAGCTTTTATGAGGATTTCAGTTATATTTAGAAAAATACTCTGAGTTTAGATTTTTTTAAATCCAGATTTCGTAAAGTACTAATTAGAAAAGTCTGTAGATTACGCTCTTCTATTTTTATGTCATTTTATGCTCACGGGGAATTTCTTTGTAAAAAAATTATATTTCCGAATAAATAATTTTTTTCTACGATGCATTTTGTGTGTTAATTGGTTGATAATCACCACATATTTTGACAATTCTCAATTCGCGACTCAACTATTCATCTTTCACATTTGTGTTCATTATTTCACAATCTTATTCAGGTTCTTTGTTCTCAATTTAGGGAGGGAATGAACCAAGACTTCTTGGATTTCGATGAAGACGAAAATCCTTCCGATGCCACCCTTCTTCTTGCAGAGGAGGTTGATCAAATCCCATAAATGTTTGAAAAGAGACATTCTTGCAGGTTTCGAACGAGTTCCGCAAGGCTTTCCCTCTTCGAAGTGAGCTTCAAAAAAGCGTGAAGGTGCTGCCAGCAAGGACGCCAAACGTCTGCAAAAGGCTCAACTTCGATGAGACCCTTTCGCCCATTGGTTTCCCGTTTCAATTTCTGTTTCACTCTGAGTTTTCGTTTTCAGTGATGAGCCTGAACTCTGAAATGCGTACATCAAAGGCAAATTTGGAGACGACAGAGGCCCGACTTTCCTCAGCCGACAGAGAAATCAAGAGACTCAAGAAAGACGCCGAAGTTAGTTGTATTTTCGAAAATTGAGGTGAAGAGGGTCTTCGCCGAAAAAAAGAAAATTCTTCTCATGACAAGAGTTGAACGAATGATGTTAATTCAATGTTTATCAGGAGAGAGAGGAAAAAATCATTGCAATGATTAATGAAAAGCACGAGCTCCGTACAAAACTTGTTCGTCTCGAGGCGGAAAGACAACAGGAAAAACTCGAAATCGAAGCTAGGCTCAGTCAGGTTGGTTTCGTTCGAAAGTTCGTTATTTCCTGTCAATTGTCCTTTTTTAAAGATTGAAGTTCCATTCAGTAGAAAATTGAAAATACAGTCTGAAGATTCAAATAGATGCTTCTCGAATAAAATTCATGAAAAAAGCTTCGAAAGAAATTTCAAATCAAGTCCAACTCAATTTTTGCGTTTTTGTTGTATCCTGATAGAGTTCAAACGGAACTCAGAGGTTGCGGTCGACTGAATAAATATGAATAGTTTAGAGCTTCGTAACGCATGAAGATTGGAAAATGATGGCGAAAAAGTACTACGCCTGGTACCAAATAGCCAACGGACAGCTTGAGACGATCCTCGAGAAGGTCAAAAAACCCTCGGATTGGAATCGGACAACCCTGGCTGAGGTGGGACTTCCCCTCGAGATCCAGAAGGAATCCAATTTCAGATAAACAGAGCCCCCACTCAAACCATCCAGGAAATGAACGATGTCACGTTCAACGACGGTAAAATGACTCTAATCTGAAAAAATGAAACTCTTCATTTTCAGACTACGTGTCGCAATTGGCGTTGGGATCTTTGAGCTCCTACTCAGGTGTTGTCTTTGAGGCTGACTGGGAAGAAGTCAATGAGACTGCGGAAGTTCAACCTCAACCTCCACAGAATGTAAGATTCGTTGGATCAGTTATTGCCGAAATGAGAGAGTAGAAATAAGTCACTTGGAGACATGTGAAAAATCCAAAAAGGAAAATAAGTTTTTGAGAATAATCTAAAATTTTTTTGAAAAAGAAGCTTTTTTTTCATAGCATCTCACTCTCTGTTGCCAAAAAAAACAGCCGATTTTTCCCGATGTAACAGTCTGGATGAGTTTAGCAATTGTTTTTTGTTTCAGGAACCAACTCCGACTTTTGTTGCCAAAAACGAACCTTCGGTTTTCGGCAATGTCAAGCAGGAACCCAATGGTTTGTCCAAGAATTTTCCCCATTCAGGGATTTTCGTTCAGATTTAACGAGTTTTTCTCGGAACGAGCCTTTGTCACCCATCGCACGTTCCCCTGCTAGGCAAAATGGTGATCGAAACCAACAAATTTCGTTTTTCTATTTGATAATCTTCAGATACCATGAACTATTCCCAGATGAACAGCACCATTCTGAACTCCACTTCGATCGATTTCGAAAAAGACGACAAAATCCAGAGACTTCTTCTGGAAAACTCGATTCTCAAGGACCGTCTCGATGTTTCCACGTTTGAAGTTGTTCTCTGACTCCAAAAAAGGGCGTTTGTTCAGAGGAAGAGCTCAGCAGTCGATGCTTCTCGAGGAGAAATACCGTTCATTGGAGCACAAAAACGACTTTTTGCAGAAAAAACTGGATAGCACATTTGTGAGTTTCCATTCCGAAAAATGTTTCTGTTCATCGGATGAACTTCATCCTTTCGTCCTTTTAAAAAAGATTAGAATTCTTTGAAAAAGAAATTAGAGAGCGATGGGAAAACAGCGAAACAAGAAAGAAATGTTCGAAAATGACAATTATTTGTTAGGGAAAAGGCGAGAAGAAATGTAGAAGATCTCAAATGAGAAACGTCGATCGAATCTCGGTTTTAAAATGGAAAATTGTTTTTCAAAAAAGCGAGTGGTTAAAAAACGCCACCTAACAACAACAAAAAGCTGCGGAAATTTCCCCTTTTTTCATTTTAAATCTAGTATAGCGTTTCAGGGAGAAATCGAAGCCATGCGAATCGGGACAGCCCGCCGTCTTTTCACGATTGAAGAGGGACAGTCTTCTGAAGCGCGGACTCTGGCTCTCGTAGACCGAATTAGGGAATTAGTGGCCGAGTTCGGATCCAAATTCTCGCCTTTTTCAAATTCTGTTTTCAGTAACAGTCGGTTAGAGAAAAATATCGAAGCGACGACGTCGAGAATCCAAAAAATCACTAGAGATTTGACAGAATGGTCAGTTTCTTCGTCTTTTTTTAAATCATACTTTTCCATTTTATTACTTTTTTCCTTTATTACTTTGTTTTTTCTGACTGAAGTTGCATAGGCCACCGTGAAAATTTTTTTTGGAAGGATGGAACTGTTTTTATAGCTTATGGGAGTTTTATTCACCGACCTCCCATTTTTTTACCGTTGAAAATAGTAAATTGCAGTGAGAAACGCAACACTCGGCTTGAGGACGTCTATTCGGAGGAAACGACCAAAAACGAGAGTTTAGAAAAGTTTTTGGAATCATCAAACTCTCCTAAGAAAATGCTCTTCAGAGAACTTCAAACTCTGAAAACGCAGCTGGAAGAGCAGAAAAAAATCACCGAAGAGTTGAAAAATGCGCAGGAGACGGCGGCATCGTCCACTTTGGTTTGAGGAGTTTTCCTATTATGTCTAGAACAAAAACATTCAAGGTGCAACCAACGGACGCCGGAAATACGACCCAAATATTCCATATGGCCACAAATCCTTTGAATCTTGCCCATCAACAGTTTCAGGAGGAAGAAAGCCGCAAAAGAAAACTGGTAATTTGTTTTTTTTTTTTGTCATTCCTTCTTCCAATCAATCGGGTTTCAGAGCGAACGCGGATTCTCAGACGACACTTTGATGAATTTGGAGGCGAAGAGAATGCGCGAGGAAGAGGTTCTTGTGTGGGAAGAACGGCTTCGGAAGAGCGAGCGGGAAAAAGAAAACGCGATCCGGCTCCAGATGGACTTCTTCAAGAAATTCCGGTCTGTTATTCATGTCTGATCTGATAAGCTAGATTCCCCTGACTACAGAACGTCTTTTTAGTCCCCGGTTGAACTTTTTATGAAATTGTGGTAAAGTTTTCTTTAGGAATTCCCGACCAGAACAGAAAAAAGTTTCTTGCAATAGGTTTTCGTGTAGCTCATGCATTGGTAACATTGTTATTTGCTTGATTCCGGATAATTTTTTAGGGGTCTAGAGGTCCCAAAGATCAACTAGAGATGATTGAGCTTCCGATTTTTCAAAAAAATGGGATAAACAGTTTTAAAAAAGGAAATTTGAAAATACATGCGACTAGAAAAAAAATAGTCATGATGAGTTTCCATTATAGGGAAGTTAGTACTGCTCTGACGGGCTTCCAAATCAAAATGAAAGACGCTGAGGACGGCCTCTGCTGCGTGAACAGCATCTACGACGAAGACGGCAGCGAGCGGCAGTTCGTTTTCAAGGTGAACATGAGGAGAGACTCTCGAAGCATGCAAGACTCTTAAGTACTACTGGGACAGCGGCCGCTTGGATCTGCTCGACGTTCTTTGTGGCACTTCTTCTGGCGACTTCATCCGAAAATGGGAACCCGAAATGAGAAAGTTTGTTTTCGAAGAGCTATTCAAATGCAAAAGCTAGTGAAAATATTCTGTTTTCTTCTTTATGTGTCCTATTTGATTCAAAAATTCAAGTTTTTCTAAAAGTCATCAGAACAAGAATTTTCATGAAGTAAACTACAAAAAAACTTTGTAAAGGGATTATAAGAAAGTCTGGTTTTCCATAAACATTAGAACCACCGTTTGAATATTCATCATGGTGAAGCTGATCCACGGCGAATTGAGCCATCGAAAAAAAGGGTTCTGAAACGATAAGTAAAAAGGAAGTTCCTGGTTGGTGGAGGCAGACAGGCCACGACTCTTTGTTTCCCAAACTAGCCGTGAATCGACTATATTTTATTAAAAGACTGGAAATAACCTTTTCAAGTATGAACTTGAACAATACAGAAATGGTCGCTGTTCTGTATATTTAAGAATAAAAAGGATCAAATCGTGCTTATTTTTTCTCAATTTACTCATATTCCGAATTTGATTGGATATCTTTGAGGTACATTGGTGAGCGGCAGTCGATTCCGTCGTTCCTGGCCGCCGTGACGTTGTGTCTGGAGCAGGAGCGCGACTTCGACCAGACCGTCGTCGAGAGGAATCACACTTTCAGCGTGATCCACGAGCCCGACTCCCAGTGAAACTCCAGCTCTCCCAAAAAATACATTTCTCGGTTCTTACGGGCGCCCTTACATTCAATCTCTAGGTAGTACAAAACTGCCGTTCGCATCGTTCCGTGATTATTTTCCTCCTGTTCTATATCAAACCCAAAACTTTTATTCTCAACACTGTCTGATAAATTTGTATATTAATCTGCTTCTTTTTCTTCAGAAACTTTTGGTTGATCATCCAACTTACTTTGATTTGAAATTTGTGGCTCTAAAAAGGTTTTTTTTTGAGATGGGAAAGAAGCAACGACAAGCCGCTTCACAGGTATCTTCCGATTTTTGTTTGTCATCCCAATTCCCGTTTTTGAAGGGTGGAGGAGGAGTCGCTGCGCAGCGAAATGTGATGGCAGCCAAGGCTTTGGCCAGCATCGCGGACACCGTCAGAGAAGGTTGAAATGATTTTTTTAATAGTTCTATTAATGTTGAAAATATTTGGTTGAAATAACGGAGTAGTTTATTCATGTATATTTAAGCATCTTTAACAGAAATGATATATTAGCCAAAAAAATTTGAATTATGAATTTTTTTCTTCTTATTATTTATTATTCATGGTAATTTTCATTCTGTAAAAGAGTTTGGAATATCTTAAACTCTAGAAGTAGACATGGAAGAATGTTTTTGTTTTGATTTTCCTGTTATCTTAAAGTATCAGACAAAAAAACTTTCAAGGAAGATTCGAGTGCCTGTGCCAAGCCAGGATCCATGCCCTGGTGCTGAACTGCATGGGCTGTGGACGGATAGTCTGTGCCCAGGAAGGCAGCGGACCTTGCTTCACTTGCGGAACTCTGGTCTGCACTCGAGAGGAGCGCGAAGTTCCAACAGACCAACAAAATGTTGAGAATCAAGCTTTTCTCATCCAGGTTCTCGATAGAGGCTCGCGTAAAAGTGCTGAGTTGCTAGCCAAGCTGAACGCCGCCGGCAGATGCGTCGGCGGCACGTCGGACCTCAGATCGATATCGCAGGCTCTGGAAGACGCGACGCGATTCCGCAACAAATTGCTCGAGGCCGACGCCGACACGTACAGTTCTCCGTGTGATGTTTGAAGCAGGAAGGTTCCAGGGAACGGAGGACGCGAGTGAACGACCTTCAGAGCGACTATTCGCGAGAAGCTGCCAGTGGTTTCCTGACGGCTCAGGTCCGTTTCCCTGACTAATCATTCATCTAAATGTTTTGTATAAGTTTCTAGGCTCTTCAATTGGTGTGGGGAGATTATACACTTTGCGATTTTTTGTAACTCAAGATTATTCACCCACTGAACTTTTTCAACAATAGCTTTTTTTTCAATGTAATTCAGGAAAGAGCCAACTTGATGATGCGACAGGAGCAACTGAAGGAAATGCGAAAAAAGCAACGAGCCATGTTCGTTGTGGACATCGACATTGAGAACGAAACCGTCAGACAGAAGGTTTTCTTTTGAACTTCTTTGGTTGAAGATTGAGATCAAAAAAAAAAGCAATCACCTACTAATCTCCTTTTTTGCGAAGCCCAGAACTCTTGAATAAAATTTAAAGCGACCTTCCCTTCGGAATACTATTTTGAGAAGCGAAACTTTATTTTTGAACGGACTATCTTTCAGGACATGAAAGTCGCTGTTGACATGGAAATGAACGATCCGGTGATACGAAGCATTCTCGAGAAGTAATTGGTCATCGGTTTGCAAGGTGGAATCTGAATCCGTTGCAGAGGCGATGAACGACGTCGGGCCGAAGAAGTCGCCCACAACGCCTCGATCAACGCCCAGTGGTCTCCGGTCGGCTTCGTACCCAAGGTGAAGATCTCAGCCTTTTTCTTCATCGACGGAATGTTGAAGTACGACGAAGAGAAGGGCACCGACTTCTCTTCTTGTTTGGACGAAGCGGATGACGTTGAGCGTCTGATCGCCGTCAGCCTCGCTCTCAGTGTCCAGGAGACGGAAAATTCCGGAGTTTCTTTCGCAGTTTCCCAGCCAGCCGCCAGCTTCGTCGCCCACGGCCTAATAAAGTATGGCAAAAAATGAAAAGACTTATTAGGTCTCTGAGAAGTTTTTCAAATTGTAATAATTGCTTCTTAAATCTAAGTCTTTTTGGTGGAAAAATAGCTTCAACAGTGAAAGTTTTATATAACTTCTGAAATATTAAAAAGCAAACATTTCTTTTAAAGAAGAAGTCGAGGGAAACTCAAAAGTTATCTATTTTGGCGTCTTTAAGAAAGTCTCAACGAACCTCTTATTGATTTAGATTTCTCCGCTGGCCAGAGGATGTCTTCTTCAAAGGTCCGATCTTCATTTCTTCCACCGTCGATCCGATCAATGAGAAGGAAATCGCCAGTTTCGCCGCCAAATACGTTAGACGTATCAATTCCCAACTTTCGGTTTATAAAAATCAGACATCCTACAGAAAAGGCTGACGTGCGGACGATGGATTTTTCGGCTGGGGCCGTCCTCGGCCGCGTTTTCCTGGATGACTGTCTGACCATCACGGAGTTCTCTGAGCAGGTGAATCTTTTCAGACGGAGATAGACCTAACCGGAAAAAAGTTCAGTTCGGCCAGAACTCTACGGTACCCGGCAAAGGGGATTTTGTCCTGTGCTTCTCCACTTGCGATCCTTACGTCGTCAGTGTCCCGCACATCCCTCCGGCATACATGTACGAGATGGACAAAACCTTGAAAACGGCCCTCATCAAATCGTGATCGAATCTCGGGTTTTTGAATAAAAATTTCAAACCTTTCAGTGCAATCATCGTGTTTTTCAAATTGGTTTTTCGCCAAATTTTATCTTCATCACAGTTTTATTCTAATTCGAATTTCATCCGAAATTTCTTTTTTTTTGTTCTTTGATTTTTGCAGAAAAAAATGTGTAAATTCCTTACTTATTTAATTTTGTATCTCAAAAAATATTGACACCAAGATATGGTTGAGTATCTAAGAGATCGCTAGATCGGGCCTTACAAAAAGTTTTATTCTAACAACTTTATTAAAATTTCCTATGTGTCTCTAAAAGTCTCAAAAAGCGTTTCTGAATCGACTGTTGACAATGTTTTTCTCTCGAACGCATTGCTGCATAATCTCTCTTCTCTGCTACACTCTGTCTGAATATTTGTGACACTCAAACTTCTATTTTAGTTCTAACTTGAAAAAATATGAACTCGGCTGTTGATAACCGACGACCCAACAAAATCGTCAGGTTCGTTGAAGAGATTCGAAGGAACCTAATCCTGTGAATTTTGAAGATTCAAGCCTGTGGAGGCGCAGGCGGCGGGACAGGCGGCCGTGGCCGAAGACCCTCTGCCGGAGTACATGAATGTGCTGGGAATGATCTTCAGCATGTGCGGCCTGATGATGAGGGTTGGAAAGGGGAATAGTTCTCCGAATGGAAGGAGGATGTTCAGATGAAGTGGTGTTCGTGGGTGGCGTTGGTCTGCTCGTGCGTTTCTTTCGCTAACACGAGAAGTACGGATGACGCGAAGCAAATCGTCAGCAGCTTCATGTTTGTCCCTTTTTTTTCGAAGGGAAAGTTCACTAAAAGTGATGAACTGCTGAAAAAAAGCGAGAGCTCACTTAAGAGCGCCAAAGTGGCCCCTAGAGGAGTCAGGAAAAAAGAGCTCCTATCGGGAACAAAATAGAGTTCCCTTGAGGTTTAAATTTAGCTTGTCACTATAAGGGTTTTTTTTTGATTTTCTGTTCAGATTTGAAAATTAAAAAGACGTATTCAATCAGACTTGATCTATTAATTCTCGGTTATTATGTTTTCATTCTAAAATCGATAGCTTATTAGTTTTTGTAATTGATTTCTCACAGAGTTCATAACAATAAACGACTAGAATACTGCCCTAGAGTGGCTTTTTTAAAGCCTTAGTGCCTCTTATAGTGGGAGGTAAAGTGCTCCCTGGAAGGAATTCTCGAAGTGGCCTTAAGTTTACCCCTCTAGGGACCACTCTGGCATTTCTTAATATACCCATTCAAATTGGTTTTTACGGTTACTCGAAAAAAAAATCTGCCGAAGAAAAGAGATTGATCATGATTAATAATTTTCGAATATTTAGAAAATAGGATAACTGTTGCAGGCTGTCGATTTCGGCCGTCGTCATGAGTTACCTGCAGAATCCGGCTCCCATAATACCTCCATGGGTTTCTTTGATGGCTTAGTTTGAATTATTTTTAGTTTTTTTGTGTTTCAATTTTTTTAATTACATTCTTGTGATATTAATAAACTATTTTTTGCTCAACTTTTCATAATCAGATAAGGTTCTTCTAGAAAATAATCTTTGAAAACTGTGAAAAAAATGAAATTTGTTTTTAATTTCGAACTTATCGGAGTGTCTGATAGACAATATTGGCACTAGCTGTCGTAAAAAAACTTTCTAACTTTGATAAACTTGTTTTTCAAATTTATAATCCAGTTTCGAAGTGCATTGAAATAAGCGTTAAAAAATTGGTGAAAGTAACTAGTCTTTGGGAATGATTTCTAGTTCTGATCTTCTGAATTACAATCTACATTTCAAGAGACGGTTTCTTGTTTTCGAAGATGTCACACATGAATATACGTTTACAACTGTATTTGAAAAAGAAAACGCTACGCGTGATATTTTCTCGCGCGCCGACCTAAAATCAGAAGACGGCCTTGGGCGTTGGACGCCACGTCGGAACGGGCAGGTCGTGCTTGGCCGACGCCACAAGCCGGCTGTCCAGGATACGCGCCGATGCTATCGGCACGGCCGCCTTCGTTTCTCCAGTCTGTTCCTTCCGTCTCTTTCTTCCCAACTTTTCACGACCGTTTTTTGGAACCTTATCACTGCCGTTCAACGTTTCTTTCTGTGTCTTCTCGACCATCGCGGCCAATCTTCTGAACTACACAGATGGACTCGATCGTTGTGACTGGAGGCGGCGGCCTCGTTGGTGGCTACGTCGTCCGTCGGCTGCTCCAGAATCAGGACGTCAAAGAAATTCGCGTTATCGAGAAAGAATCGTCCAAGAAACTTGGTGAGGTTTCATAAAAATCGGGTTAGAATTTTATTTATGATTTATGAAAAACTGAACTTGCCTAGAGAAAATTTCTGAATTCACAAAATTATTCACACTCTCATCTCAAATTGTCTTCTTCCATTTGAGATTTGACTTCAAGTTCTAATTCGTTCCGGTATCTCAATTCGGGCGGAAGTTCAAAGAAAAACTTGATTACTCTATTGAGTTGGATATTTATTGAATATACTCTAAAATTTGTTTATACCTTGTCAAGAAAGTATAATTCAAAGTAATTTACCGTTAAAGAAAACTTTTTCTAAATGGATTTGAAGATGAAAATATCTAGTGAGCTTGATTTATGGTCTTATTTTTTTTCATGAAAAAAAAACTCACTAGTCAGCCAAAATTAACCGATCATTTATTTATCAGTCAACTGTGAAACCGGTTCAAAATGTGACGTAAAAACAGAGTTTTGGTTCCCCATGGGTCATAGGAACAAAACAATTACCCTGTTTTCTAAACAGAGTAGAAGAGAAAGGTTTTTTCAAGGACTTTTACATTAGAGAAACCCAATTTCGCGATGGAAGACAAAAATAACCGAAAAGGAAGTTCCATCGGAAGAAAGTAAACCGTTTTCAATGATTATTCCATTAATTTTGGGGGTTTTCATGGTTTCAGGAGAAATTTTGCTCGCAACAGGGATCTATATGGACATTTTTCCAGATATCGAAGATGACCGATTGAAAATCTTCTATGCGGACGTCAATGATCGCGAGAAGCTTCGGAATGTGTTGGAAGGTTGTGACGCAGTAGTTCACTGTGCACATGCGCCGCTTCCGTTCCACTATCCGACCGAAGAAAACCGCAGAATCATGTGGAAAGACAACCTCGACGGTTGGTTTTTTCTTGAGAACGAAGAAATTAGAGAAAAACTCAAATAACAAGCAATGAGTAAGTTTTAGAGAGGGAAATTTGAGGGTCATTTTTTCCTTTTTCCCTCGCAAAAAATGAAATTTACAAATGGCAAGTCTGGAAAAGTTAATTCTCACAGAATCAAAAACTTTTTCGGATGTAACCATGTAGACTATTCGGAAGAGAGATGTGCGATACATTTCCTCGATCAATTCATTTTCAGCTGTGGAGAGTCTAGTTGACATGATGATTGAAACTGGTGTGAAGTCCCTCGTCCACGTCGGCGACGCCTATTCGGCTCTTCCAATAGAAGACAATTATGGTCTCGGCATAGAAATATTCCAGTCAGTTTATTTATATGTTTTTTTCAAATAAAAAAATACTTTGTAGAACTTATCATAGAAACTTGGAAAAAAATAAGTTTCGACAGAATAAAGTTTTGATGACAGACGAATTTAGTGATTTGCCTCGAAATTACATGTTGGATGAATATGGCGAATCGAGGAGTCGCGGAGAAATGTATGCAAGGAACGCCGCAGAACGAAGTTCATTACTTTTTAATTGACTATTTAAATATTTAAACTTTTAGGGAAAAATAAATGGCCTTTTTTTCTTCGCCCTACATTGGTCTATGGCGACAAAACATCAAATCTCACTGAAGGATTACGCAAATTTGCATCTAGTTCTCAATTACCATATATAGAAGGAGGCCGACGTGGACTACACCAGTTTGTGCGTTTCTTTTACTGGTCAAAAATATATCGAAAATATTTCCAGCTGTACGCAGGAAATTTGGCTGCTATTGTCGAAAAATCCCTAATCGGATTGAAAGAAGACCCAGAGAAATATTCTACTGAAGTCGTCTACTGCTTGGAAGAAACTACGGTTATCCCAACTCGTGATGTCTGTCAATATCAGTTTCTTATATGATATCTTTTTTTAGTTTTTGTACAAAAGCTTACGATGTGAAAAATTTACTAAAGAAAACTCAGTTTCTTTTTTGAACGCGTTCTGCAGAAGTTACTTCACCTATATGAAGTACAAATTAGGAGTCAAGGTGATTTGTGAAAAAAAAAACTGACGTATCTGAAATCTTTCAGACGGACGATAAAGCCTTGAATCATATCTTGTTCAGACTGTTGTTCGAGAAAACAGTAGGATTTTCTAATAAGAAACTTCGACTTCTTCTTGATTACAAGCCCGAGGTTTCAGACTCACTTGTAATTTGCTTGAAATATTCAAGTTCAGATATCTCAATCAGAAGGATTTTCCAAGATTTTGCATCCAGTCTCTTCAAAAGATGATTCTAACCGAACGCGACGGGATGCTGTTCACGGTTAAATTTTATATCCTCACGCGAAATTTCTTTAAATTATTTCTGTATCTTAATAAATTATTCCTTCTTTTCTCAGATAAGTCGAAAACTCAGTGAAGTGAAATACAAAAAAAAAGAAGCTCCACCTCTAATATTGCGATAAGAGAACGAGCCATCCCAGAAGAGTTTTCGAATGACGACATTGTATACCTGAAATTCAAAATCTAACAGACTACATTTTGCCACGCGCGTAAAAATAGCGTTGAAAAAGGCATTCGCTTTGAAAGCGGAAATACTTTCCTCCTTTGATACATTTGAAAAAGGAAAATGAACTAGGCGCTTATTCGTTTGAATCTTTTTGTACTATCGTTTCGAAGGCTTTTTGCGCCATCTGAGCGCTCACGCGAGATTCTTATTATTTTTTGACTTTTCTATTGAAAAACTGTTTTGAAAAAAAATTTTTTAGTTTATATAATACCACCTAGCGCTCCTGCTCATTTTTTTGAACAAGTTCCGAGCAGTTCCGAACGAAATTATGAAAAATAAAAATGGAAAAATTAAGAAAGGAAAGCCGTGAAAGGAAAGAAGTATTTTTAATTTTAGTTCGTTCTAATTGTTATAAACTAAAGCAGCGCAATGATAAGGACGAATAAACACGAAAAGTATTCAATTTCTACGCTGTGTTTAAGTTTGCGAAATTCAAATAAGTCGTAAAAAAGTGAATAATATAATTTAATTCTGGAGAGTCAGAGATAATTTTGAATTTCGCAGGAAATACTTTGAACACGGTGATAACTTTTTAATTTGTTAAACAGCTAAAAAAAAGGGCCATTTTTTCTTGAGGCCCCTCTAAGGCCGGGCCGGGCCAGGCTTACGAAATGGTCGGGGGGCCGGGAGGGTGACGGGCCGGCCCTCGCACAAGCCTGCCGTGAACACGCCATAGGAATTTGGCTGAAAAAGTGGTCACTGGAAGGCACAGTTTTGGGAGCGCAGTTTCCCATTTTTCGAAATCGATTCCATTTCATTTATTTTTTGTTATTTTCTTTTCGGCAATTGGACTGCAGTAGAGAAACGTGTGTTATTATAGACTGCTTAAAAAAGTTCTCTACGATGTATAAAAGTTCAAAAGTCCTGCATGATCGAATATAGTACTGAAAATGTCTCGATAATTTTTTGAATTTCTCAGTGCTGTCACTAAGAATAACTGACGAGATAAACGCGAGGTCGGTGGCGGTACATTGACGAGCTCGCAAACATCTCGCTTTTTTCTAGGCGCGATCTCGCATTTCTCTCTGCGCGACCTCGCATTTTTCTTGGCGCCATCTCGCATTTATCTCGCATTTCGGAAATTTTCAAATTGCGAGAGAAATGCGAGCTCGCGCCTAGAAAAATGCGAGCTCGCGCCCAGAAAAATGCGAGACCGGCGCGAGAAAAAAAGCGAGATGTTTGCGAGCTCGTCAATGTACCGCCAGTGTCTCGCGTTTATCTCGGCAGTTATTCTTAGTGGTTTCAAACTTTCCCGCGACGCTATATTTCAGCAGACTTCAGTCGAATAATCTAGATTTGAAAATTTGGTCTCAAGCCAGCACCTGGTCGAAGAAAAACAAATGTATATTTTGCGTTTTATATCGTCCCCCTTTTTCGAATTTCGATAGTGATATTTTTTTGTCTTTTTTCGCCACTTTTTCGGATTTACTGAGTTTCAGAAAAATCGAAGTGGAAATGAGTTTGAAATGTGAATCTTCGAGTTCGATGGCTCAAAACGTGAAAACCGGAAAAGACGAAGAAAACAAGCATGATACAAAAGAAAAAGAGGAAGTGAAAGAAGAAATAAAAGAGGAAACGAAGTGCGCTGTTTGCCTTGGAATGTAAGTTTTTTTTTTCTTGTTTAACAGAAGCTCTATTATTACAGAATAAACGACGAAACTCGTCTTGATAGATGCTCCCATGTTTTCTGCTTCACTTGTATCGCAGAATGGTGCACCTGTGGAACAATAGCTTGTTGTCCTCTCTGTAAAGTTCCGATCGACACTCTATCACATAATCTCAAGTCCCAGCCGCCGACCGTGTTAGTTAATAATTTTTGAATTCCTAGCTCAGATTCAAAATCAATGCGGTGATATGACACAAAACAAAATTGTCCAGATAGATGTTTCTTTAGCGATTGATTCTTGTCAATAATTATGAGGATACTTACTTCACAGTTACTTATGGGTCTCATTGATCTAACTTTGTATCGAAAGAACCGTAGGAAAGATGTATAAACTGAATCTGAAAATCGGTAATAACTTTTCCAAGGAGAATATAAGAAAAAAAAAGCGTTTTTTGATGAATCGGATAACATGCAGGGCTGTGGCTGGAGCATAAAATTTGCTCTGGCTATGGATTCATGAGGCAAACGCTTGAAATATTACCAATTTGCAGCTAATTGGAAGTGAATTTGTCAAAAGTGTTCATTTCATCAAAAACGCATTTCAACATACTTACCGTTGTTTACAGAGAAAAAACGTTCAAAATTCGGCAGAAATCAGAACTTTCTCGGCTACACGAGCGATATCCGATGAGGGTAGAGGCTGGGTATGTGAATGCCGGTTTTTTTTGAGCCGTTTTCGATTTCAGAATTGTCACGACAAGTATCCGCGAAGCTAAACGCCTCAGAGTCGAACTCAATGACGAATCTGAACGCAGGAAGTAGGTTAATGGGGGAATACAAGAAGTTCAGTTCAAACTACAGGGAGCCTTTTCCGAGAACGCGCTCTAGAGCAAACTTGCCGAAAAGGGCGAATGTATGGAGATTCTCATGTGTTTATTTTCGATTTGCCTGATTGTAGGTACAAAGAACAATCGCAGAATTAACGGTTTGCATACAAAGTCTCGAACTTTTGAGAAGCGAAATGGAAGAAAATTCCCGGAGGTTTCCGCCGCGTTTTTTTGTTTTCATCTTTATTTTAAGGGGCGAAATCTTGTCGCGACCTTTGTTCCGCCGTCTCATCTACGAACATGAGCTCGTATGGCGTCCTCTGACCAACGCCGCCGAACGGGGACAAAGACGGGTGCGTTTATTCTGTGCAAAAAAAATATGGAGATCTTCTCAAAATTCAGCCTATGAAACTTTCTTAATGAAAAGACCCGGTGATTTCGATGAGAGCATTCGGGAAGTAGGAATGCTGTAAATGTGGGGAAGATCTTATATTCTCAATCTGAGTCACTCTTCCGTTTTGAAAATGATATTTCGAAATGTTGTTTCGACCTGGATCTTATACCTTTGCACATATATTTGCGGTGGTACCACATATCAAGATTTTTTCTCGAATTCTACAACAAGCTTGAAGAAAAGATCATCCTTGTTAAGACTTTCGACTTCCATATTGATGAAAAAAAAATTCAGGCTCTTCTTTTGTTTTTAGCTATAATAGTTATCAGGCTTCATTTATTCTGGAACTCAGCTTGTTTCGGGTTGACAATTTTTCTATTATTTCCCGTTTCGGTTTGTTCAGTTTGAGCGATATATTTCCAGACGGAAGTTTTTTCGCCTGCGGCCGTCATCGAGAACAACCAGCGTTACCATGAGCTGCTGGTTCCCTGGATCCTCAACGAGTTCAAGGCGATTCCCTACAAGGTCTTAGAGGCCCATTCCGAGTAGAAAATATCCACTTTTCAGTATAATCAGCCTTTTTCATCCCTCACGGTTTTTACCAAGCTGCGAAATCGTGAAAGAACGGCTGAAAGTGTTTTTTATCATACCGCGGATCACCCCGTCAATTCGCCAAAATTCGAAGTTTGCATTTCTTTTTATCCAAAACTTTTTATGTAGTTATTTGAAAGGGATGATTAGGTAACATCCAAATTCTTGTTTTCATCATAACAATAGTTTACCGTAGTTAAACGAGTATGTTTATAGAATCTATGTTTAGAGCTCTTTTTTTTCCTGGAACATCAATATAACGGATGTTCGAAAAAAAGTTTTGAAAAAAAGTAGAAATTTTCAATGTTTTTGAATAATTCTTTTTTTCAAAAAAATTTGAAAAACTTTTTCGTTATTTTATGGAACGAAAGCCTTGACTTTGGCGAAAAAAATATTTACTTGGAAATAATTTTTTTAAGTCTAGTAAAAAAATCCTAAGTACAGTTTAAGTTATTAGAAAAAATAGATGAATCTTAGTATTTATCATTTATTCAGGACGTTATCAAGTCAATGAGAATAATGCCCGAAGAGTACGTGACGATTTTCACTCGCGAGTTGTTCGACTTCGCCTCAAGCGGCCTCTCTGTACGGGAACATTATTCAAGTTCGACATATGCGCCTCCTCGGGCGCCTGGGGAAAATGCAACAGGTGCACAGATCGAGCGGATCGGGTGGGGAACGGTTCGGGTTGCAGTGGCTGACGTCGTGGTTCTGAACGACAGCGACCAGGAAGGCGACGACCTGCAAATCGTCGGCGGGAACGCTCCTAACGGAAATCGTTTCAACAACCATTTCGACCCATTCAACTTCTACCTCAACATTCCTCCAAATGAGGTTTTTTTTTCGCAGGGCAAGAGAAAACTAAGCTTGTTTAATTTATTGTAAAAGTTGAATTTTTACGCTCTTCAGGTAGTTTTGAAGAAAATGAGAGGCTTTGGTGTTCGAATTTTAAAAAAAAGGATATAATCAAAGGTTCAACCTTTTTTGAAGGAATCTTCGGGATCCGATGGAGAGATGTATAATCGCGATATTCTGAGAATGCGAAGGAATGTGATATTTCCGCCTATTCAGCCCGTGAATCATATGCCTCCAAACTTTACTAGTACGTTTTTTTTTCAACATTAGCATATAAATTCCGTTTCATGAGGAATCTTAGAAGCTTAAGAAAAAACTTGTATTTTCTCTCTTATTATTGGAAAAAAATATCTGTAGTCAAACTTAAAATTTCGATCGAGAACTTTGAAGAATTCGATGTATATAGTAATAAATTGATAACATTCAAAATATCACTTTTCTTTTCAATCGAATCAAACATTTCATTTTACATTGCAAAAATAGTATTGAAGGAATTCAATGAATTTTGAATGAGCATTCAAGTTCTGAGGTTTTGTTACTTTCATTATTGCAACAATAAATGCAGCTTTTTTAAAGATATTTGGCGGACTTTGACGGAACAACAGCATACATTGGAACGTCCTGCGGAGAGGTCGATCGCCGATCCGACGAGATCTTCAAGACAGCATGTTCGTTTCGAAAATCGTCCTTCTTTTTTTCGAAAACCCCTTTTTTAGGCGGGATTTGTTTTTTCATAGCAAGAAATGCTCTTCAAACGATTTATCTAGTTGTTTTAGTCATATAAGTAATCGACAAAGCGGCGAACAAGGACTTTTGAAGTTATAACAAAAAACAGCCTTTGGCGAACCTAAACATGTAGTTTATCAAGTTTAAAGCATGGTTTTACGGTCCTTGGCCTCTTTTTTTTCTTCGCTTAGTCCATCCAGTTGTGCCTCGACGAGTTCAGAACGTAGCGGATTTTGTGATGCAGCCCGGATACCGTGTTCTAGGCGGTAGCCTCTGAATGAGAGCGACATCTGAAAGTGAAAACTTTACATAGGCATTCCTGTGTTCTGAAAAGAAATTTCTCTTAAAAAAAAAATTTATTTTGATTGTTATTGATAAAAACTATTTACATAAAGAGATCAACTTGTAATTTGGTTTTAAAGGAAGAATAAGGCGAGTCCTCCGTGAAGTTTTGAAAAATACATATCATTTTTTTAACGCTGAAGCATGCATCAATAAGGAAGATCAATTAGAGAAAGTATTTTGCTAACACATGGAGGTTTTTGGTCTGGAAGTTTACTGACTAAAGTCCCATCGATCATATTTTATTTTCGAAATAATCAAAAAACTTTTTGACTATTTTTCATTTTTTCTTTTTTTTCGACGGAACAAGACATCGTGGTTCTTTCGGATGGCGAAGAAGGTGGTCCTGACAGAGACGAAAGGTCGAGAAACGCTCAGAATCGGACTATAGTTTTGAACGACACGTTAGACGAGTGGATTTGTATTTTGTTTTGATTTCTAGTTGTTTTTCTTCAGATCCAGGCAATACGACTCAACGGATGTCCCTTCTACTTCATTTCCTCCTTCTGGGTAATTTTTTACTTTTTTTCCTTCTCTTACGTTATAATTGAAGACGCAACGCCGACTCCGTCAACCCGGATTTTGTGACAAGAAGAACCGAAGCAGCTTTTGAGGAGTTCAGGAACAATAATAATCGCCCAGAAGACTTTCAAAGGTTTTTCGATTTAAAATTAGAAAAAAATTTCCGCGCGGCCGGGGCTTTTTTTTTTAGTATTTCATAAAAAATAATTTTACACATAGGTTCCTCTCATCCATTTTGTATTTTCTTGCCAAAGTAGTGTACTTATAAAGTATGATACATTTTTACTTCTAAATTAGGATTTCATGACGACTGATAGTGAGGAAAATAAATGGACCCTTAAAATTGTTATTTCAAACGATCAGTGAAGGGAAACTTGGGAAGCTTTTAGTATTGGGAAAAGTGATCTAAATTGTATAGAATCTTGGGATTCCAGACTTGAGCGATTCTTCAGTCGTCTTTCGAGACGCTGCCAAGAAAGAAAAGATGAACTTCTTAAAAGAAGAGATGTGCTGAATTGGACCTCGGCCCGGCTGAGTTCCCGCAAAAGGTCCGTGAGCAGCGACGCCTTGCATCAGCGTCCTCGGAGCAAAACCCATCGTCTCGCGAAAAGCGACCACGAGAAAGACGCTTCCGACGAATCTCAACCTTCGAACTCATAAACTCCTCTTTTTCTTCTTTTGTTTGAGTTTTTTTCTTCCTTCAAAATTTTTGACAATCCTCTTGTTGGCTGCAACCGAAAATCTTCGGAGGTCAACATTTCGAAAAATAGAGATAGATGGATATCCTAGAACATACTCCTCTGGATCACAAAGTTTACTTTTTTTGTATGCAGTGATTTGATAAATATAGTCTGAGTTTGCAATGTCCGTTTCGTTTTTTTTTTTATTTCTGAATTTTATTAGATCAGATATTTTCAATTGAAGTCTGCAGCATGTTTTTTTTTAAGTCTCTTCAGAGTATAGTTATGTTGAATTGCGTTTTTTCTACGATAAAATCGAGAGATTGTTCTTGCAAGCTGACTAAATCCCAAGTTACGGGCTTCGACGTCAGGAATTGGTTTGTTTTTGCTTCCTAATGTGTTAATTCACTGTGCTTTTTTGTGGCAATAAAGTTCTTCTTTTTTTAAAAGTTTTCTATTCTTTTCTGTCGATAGGTTTAAAACCAGAAAGTTTATATTATTTTCGACTCTGTAATAATGCTGTCTTTCTTGTTTGTTAATTGTGATATGTTTTGTTAAAAACCCGTGAAAAAGACTTCCTGACGGCCACTGCTATCAAGTAGTCCGGCGTAAGCTATCATATAGCTATTTTCTAGCATTAGCTAATAAGGATCACAGATTAGCTAGCGCCGATTGGCCATTGTCGGAAGGCTATAAATTGCGAGCGTTCGAAAAAATGCGAACGTCTATCAAAAATGACCGCTTTACTGTGGCTCCATTGCCAAACAGTGCCTCACTTTTGAGAAAAAGCCTGCGCGGGCTAGGGCTGGGCCTCATAGTTTTTTTTTGAGCTCTTAGTGAGAAAATAGTATAGCAAAAACGTGACTTTTGTCGTAAACACTAGAAAAAAATTGCGCTTTTTGGGCCGGGTCGTCCATTTTTTCTTGAGGCCCCGTTAAGGCCGGGCCGGGCTTAGAAAACGGCCGAGAGACTGGCGGGTCCCCGCGTAAGCCTGCTCTATACACATTCCAAGGAATTTCGCAAAATTTCAAAAAATACCATATATTATACTGATTAGAGATAAGGTAATGCTCATCACTCATGACATCATTTTTCGAAGTAAGAAGCACAGTTTTCAAACTTTGCTCCTTGGCGCGCTAAACCTCTGTCTCTCTGACGCGTTCGAGGCGACGCGGCCGCGTCTGCGGTGCCGAGAGGTCAGCTGATGCAGGGCGCTTTAAATACGACACACAAACACCCTTGCCTGCTTTGGCACTCTTTCCGTTCTGCTAACTCGTAATATTAACTTCAGCTCTTAAGTTCCAATTAGAAATATACATTCTCCAAGTTCTCAAAAGTTTGTGAAATTCTCCTCAAGGTTGTGTAACATCTGTCTCTGCCTTTGTTTATCACATGAGAGATTTGTTGATAGCGACAAACTGTCTTGCTTCGCAACTGGTTTTCGCTGTTTGATTTCGACATACCGTGCCGCTCATCGGAACGCAAGCCACACTCACTTTCTCATTTTCCAAACCAACGGTTCTCTCGTCTTTTTTCCTTGTTTTCCGCTATGGCTCTCTGCTCTTCTTCACTTTTTTCATTGTTATAACTTGGCAGTTCAGACTTTTCGCCATGAAGTGGGCTTACAAAGAGGAGAACAACTTCGAGAAGCGTCGTGCCGAAGGCGACAAAATCCGTAGGAAGTACCCCGACCGCATCCCGGTAATTCTCCAGAGGCAAATCGATTAGACGCTTCTGGATCTCAGGTCATCGTCGAGAAGGCGCCAAAGTCGCAGCTCCGCGATCTCGACAAAAAGAAGTACTTGGTTCCGTCGGATCTCACTGTCGGACAGTTCTACTTCCTCATTCGCAAGAGGTTGATTTTTCATAAATTTTTCAAATATACAAAATACTCATATCTTTCAAAAGAACAAAAAAATGATGAACGATTTCTACAGAATCCATCTGAGACCTGAGGACGCACTCTTCTTCTTCGTCAACAATGTCATTCCGCAGACCATGACCACCATGGGACAGCTTTACCAGGTTTTTTTTTTTCAAACATTCGGTCAAAAATAATTCAGAAAATCAATAACGTCATTCTCAAGTTTAAGAGCAAAAAGAAAGAAAATTTTAGTTTTATCAAAATATATAGAACTATTTTTTCAGAAAACAAAAAATCAAAGAAAATGATGTCATTTTCAGTTCTTTCCCGTGTTATGTTGTATTTCGCAATATTCCCCATTCATTGATTTCTCCGTGAGCATGTCATAATCATCTAAAGAATGATTCATCACCTGGAAAAAGTTTTTTTGGTTTCCACAAGTTTTCCGAAAACATTTGAAAAGCCTCAGCCATGTGAAATAATTTAAGTGAAACCAATATCGACAATAACTCACGGCTCTTCATTTCCTCCTCATTCAAAAGTTGGAAGGTTTTGATGTAAAAAGTCCGGTAGCAAAGATTTTCTGTGCGAAAAGCTTTGGATCAATCGATCGGCGGAACAAAAAGAAAGGTTCGCGCTGAAGGTAAACAGCACATTGGAAGCATGCGGCGTCTGCACGTGACTGGTTCTCACAGATCAATCGAGTAGTTTAATGTGTTGGCAAAATAAAGCGAAGGAAACACGAGACTTTTTTCTCGGTATCAAGAGGGAACCGTCTTCTTCTCTTTCTTTCTCGATAACTTGTTCCTTCTAAATTTGGGCTCATCAAACTTTTTAATGAAATGAAGATATACCGGTTTTCCTATCGCTGATTCTTGGATCTTAAAATAGCCTCAAGTGCAAACTAGCCGGAAATAACCGTTCATTCTTTTTAATGTTCAGAATCTTGATCAAAGTTTGATCTCCATCAATTTTTCTCTTCTATATCTCACTTCTCACAAAATTCCATTGTAGGATTTCTAATTTTCTCAAAATGAGAAGAGTTTTTCGAAATGAGTCTAAAAAGTGTCAAAGGAAAAAAAAAACTTACGAAATCCGAAATGTTTTTGAAATTTCATCAGAATGGTGCATAAATAAATAATAAAATGAAATTCATAAACTCCAGTTCATAATTTTTTCGTAAAGTATTCGATAATCCTCGAAGCGCTCTTACCTAACGAGGTTGCCATTAATTTACAAACTTTTGTGTGATATGGCACTGGTTGTGTGATACAAACTGTATTTTTGACAACAAAATCTGAATAATTTTTTATCAAATCACTCAATAAGCGTGTTCTAATAAAGCCATCAAAATTATAAACCAAAAAAATAGTTCTCCAACAGACGCATGCGCTGTTACTGGCGGCACAAACTTATACTGAAAATTAAAACGAATATAATCATTTTATTTTTGTTTTCAAACGAAAGCAATCAAATAATTTAATTTGTTAACTTTGTAGTTTAAAAAAAGAAAACCTTGTGATAAAAACCAAACTTACCACTATTTGATGATTTAGGATCACCACGAGGAGGATCTGTTCTTGTACATCGCCTACAGCGACGAGAGCGTCTACGGAGGCAACGAGGTCGTCGCCTGAATAGCTCTCCAATGTATCTAGCATTATCCCAATCCTCATGATTAACACTTTTTCCATTTTCTAATCGTCCGCAAGCGGAAGAAATGTAAATTTTTGTAACTTTTGTAAGATACTTTTCCACGAATCTTTTGTTTTTTGTCCCTTTTGCAACAACTTGTGTAGACGTTTTAGTTATAGCATTTCTCATGTTAAAACTTTGACGGTAAACCTGTAACTTCTCAATTTCCACTTTCTCAAACGTGTTTTTTGTATCAATGAGGCTTTTTATTGGGAGCGACCAGATAGACGACGTCTTTGTTGGTTTGAAAAAAACACTTTGGAGGATCTCCATTCTGGCGTCGTTAATCCCCGCTCCCATGTAAATAATACGTTGTAAAAATAATCTTTCATTTGTTTTGACGATGGTTTTCTTTGATGATTGTTGTGCGAATAAATGGAAGACCGAAACCTTCTTTTTTTCTTGTTTATGAAAAGTGTTTTTTCCAACTTGTTCGATACCTTGTGGTAAGGTGATGTTTTTTCAGAAAGGTTTTTTTTCAACTAATATGTTTTCTGTTAGAGTAATATGAAAAATTCATAAAATAGAATAAATCTGAATTTCTCGCATCAAATACGTGACCGAATTAGTTCTTCACGTGAACAAGTCGGCATTGATTCGAATTTCTGTTGAAAAGCAGCCGAGTTGTCTTATCAACTATGCCAAAGTATGTTTTTTGTATTTCCCTGAATATTTTGCACCATGAAAACTCAGAAAGTAGCTAAGTTCGAGTCACAAAAGGATCCGAAATTCGAATAGGAGTTCATTCACCGTTACTTGAGCTAGTATAAATTTTTTTTTCAACAATACATTTTGCGATACAGAAAAACATTCAGAAACTTCAAATTTTCTTGTGCATTTTCTGTACACAGGGTGAATGAAGAATATATAAATGGATAAGATTTTCGACTCATGGAAGTACCTTTTCGAATAAACGGAGGGAGCCTGAAATTTGATCAGGAGTTGTCATCAACTTCACCCTTTTCATCTTCTTAACTTCTAAAGGCGTCTCCTTGTGATAAGAGATGCAGAAGCGGAGGCAAAAGCTACCTTATCGGTGTCTACCGCTCCTTTTGGCTCAATGCAGAAGATACCGATGTGACGAAAATATCGATCGACGCCGTGTGTTGTTCACTCTTTGTTGGTGCCCCGATTTCTGAGCGCCACTCTTTCTGTTGATTTTTTTCGAACTCTTTCTCTCTTGCACTGGTATAACCTATTCACAACAGCTTTTCGCTATTGTCCAATAGACAGAGGCGAATTCATAAAGGTCTCTCTCGCCGAGGAGTAATTGAAGCCTCCCATTCTGACTTTAAAAACCTCGGCGAATGTCTTTACTTGACTGTAAAGATAATTGACCGCCAATTTGAGACAGTATTACATGCATTATTATAGCTGATTCACGAGTGGCTTGAGCCATCGAAAAAGGGTCCTGACACGAAGATGCACGAGATAGCGCCTGGCTCGTGGAGAGCGCAGACAGGACACGCCCCCTTAGCATCCCAAGCTGGCCGTGAATCAGCTATAGGAAAAGTGTGAGAAAAAGAGTGTTAAGTGTCGTTCTAGTATTAGTTTTTTTTCATTTTTTTTAACCTCACAGAAACTGAAACATATCTGTTTATGTTTCGAGTTCTACATGTTGGCGAAAAAAATTGTCTTTTAGGGCGTTTCGTATCAGTCAAACCTTTTCTCTCTCAAAATACTCTGCGAAAACATCTGCCATTTGATTTTCAACCAACTCGGGTTGCTATGGTTTTCTTCTCTCCCTTTTCTCTTTCCTACTCGTTTATATTCTCGAAAAGAGGGTTATATAAACATTTGAAAATTGTAACAGTGACAAAACCCTATTTCATCATTTTGCTCATAGTTTCTTTCCTTTTAAAAGTCAGTGTAAAGATCTGCCCTCTATAAATTCCGCCTGAGAGTTACAACGTACATACACCGGCTGTGCGAGATTGTTTTCGCAAAAGTAGCCGAGGACATGATGACTTTGTTGATTTGAAGTTTGGTCCACGAACTTGAAATTATCACTTTCTGTCCTTTTTTAAGCTTCGATTCCCACTTGAAAATTCTTGTAACATCAATAACGTCTCATTTAAACTACTTGCTCATGATTGTGTACTTTTCCTTTTAAAAAAATCACTGCGCATGACCTTTCCTCTATAAACCAGACAATATACTTTACATAAAAGTAGTCTTTGACATGATTTGTTGATTCCTGTTGTTTTTTTAACCTTCCTATCCCTTCTTAGCTCCGCTTTTTCTTTCATTTAAGGCCGTTCTCCACCCACTGTCCTTCTTTGGACAAACAATATGGGGCATGCCGTTTCTTTCCTTCTATTGACTTTTTCCATGTGATTTGCAGACCTTTTCCTTCTCACACTCGTATTTTTTACTTCTCTTCTGTTATTTTAGTGGTTGCTAACGAAATGATTTTTCAGAAAAATGACTTTTTTGTCGGGAACGCAGCTCGAGAGGTTCGACAAGACCAAGGTCGAAGCCGATGAGGCTCTCGCGGTGCGAGTTTTTTTTGTTGCTTTTTTTAAACACAGTTATTGAGAGAGCATTATCTGTTTATGAACCGACTTTATTTAAAACTTTGAAAAAAAAAACGACTTTTCTCGAACCATAAGATTTTTTTTTCATCAAAAAGTTCAGGAAAAACCAAGAACTGCTCTAACTTAAATCTTTTATTTAAGGGAAAAGTGATCGCCTTGTACTTTTCGGCTCATTGGTGCCCTCCTTGCCGTCAGTTCACGCCAATTTTGAAGGTTTTTCTTTCTCTTTTTACCCTGTTTACAAATTTTTCAGGACTTTTATGGTGATGTCGAGGACGACGTCGAAGTCGTCTTCGTATCTCTGGATCGGTTAGTTTGAAACAAAAAAAAATTGATAAACTAATTTGAAAGAGAAAATATATTATTTTTCTATTTTTCCTTTCCAACGGACGAGCAAGAGAGGGGAATATGATTCATAATAAATATATCAAAGGAATAGAAAAAGGAGAACTGTTTTTTTAAGAAAATTATTTGAAGAAAGAAAAAATAAGATAAATTTTCGACCTACACTTATGACATGACTGGTCAAAAAAAGCACTCAACGAAATAATGAAAATTGATAACAATTTAATATCGTCTAATTGTCAATGTTTCGAAACTGAACAATCAAACGAAATAAGAACGATTGAAATTGAAAAAAAAAAGATTTAGATCGGAAGATGACTTGAAGAGCTACATGAAGGAATGCCACGGCGACTGGTACCACATTCCCTTCGGCTCGCCCAAAATCAAGGACATCTCGGCGAAGTACGGCGTCAGCGGAATCCCAGCTCTGATCATCGTCAAGGCCGACGGCACGGAAATCACCAAGAATGGCCGTTCCGACGTCCAGGTCCCTTTTTATTCTCTTTTTTTTCGGTGGTGAATCGGCTGATGAGTTTCGTCGCGTTTTTTGCATAAAAACGCTTCTTTTTTTTGCAAAGTTATGCAGTTCACGAACCAAGTATTGGTTTTAAAAAAGGGTAAAAAAAGATAAACTTGACTTGTTTCTAAAATCGCCACGATCAAATGTCTCAGTTTGCTCCGCGCGCAAATCGTTTTCAGTCGGGCATTTGTTGAAGCACCCGCTTAATAACCGTTTAACGCTGAGGTATTTCACGTGTCATTATGGTATTTCAGTCGAAAAAAGTAAATTTCCGAGATATTTTTTAAAAAATTTGAAAATTACAAAAACTTGACAGCCGTCATAGTAATCCCACCCAATCCTTGTTAAAAAACGATTTTCTAGGGTGGAAAGAGCCCGAAAGCGGTCGTGACGGGTTGGAAGTCTGCGTAAATGGTCATCTCCTTCTTTTTTTCCGTACAATCGCCGTCATCGAACTTTTTTAATGCAACGTAACTTATGAATTTTTTTTCTGGCATTGGTGGTAATGAATGTGTAATGATGGTTTTCTTGTTTGTGCTGAGCAAAAAAATGTTTCTGCCAGATCTGGAAAATATTTTATATTGTCTCCATGACGACTGATTTCAACACGCGTAAACAGAAGGCGACTACGTAGACGCGCAATTTTCCGCCTATTTTCCCCGTTTTGGAGTTGCCCAGGGATGAAACATCGGTGGTGGACTTTTTTTTGTCATTCTGACTTAGGTCTTTTTCATTGTCCACGTGCCACGGAGATGTCATTTTGCTTTTCAATCTCCTCTTTTCAAAAGCTATCATCGACGTGTTAAACACTATGATTATTATAACATAGTTTCAAAACATGAAATCCTAAATAAGGCTGTCGAAAGCCTTCTTGGGGTTGAAGGAGTTGGTTTTTCAGTGACTTGATCTTCGAATCTGAGAGGCCAGGGAACCAATAGGCGGAAAGAAAAGATACGTACTTCTCTCTCGTAATTTTGGTCCGAAGCTATCGGTGAAGGAAGTATGATGAAATACTGGAAATATTTGAAACTGATTATTCATAGGGGGAAATTCTTGAAATTTTTTGATAGCACTATTTCTAAACTTTGAGTCACTTAACAATGTGCCTTAAAAAAAGAAAAATTTTCAATGATATTCTTTTTTAGTTTCCTAAGGTTTCCTGACGATCGGAGTATAGTTCAGTTCAGTTCCGACTTTGCATATTGATTCGCCTCGGGCGCAGAGATGCAGAAAGAAAGAAAGAACTGTCCTGGCCTCTTTCCGATCTTCTTGACCCGCCGTTTCTTCCCCTTGCCTTCTTTTTTCTGAAGCTCTGGACCATCTTTGAATCTTTTTGCTAGTGGGAATCCATATACCATCATTCTCGTAATCTTTACGATGACTCTGTTTACTTCTTCAAGCCGCCAAATTCAGTTTGTTCAAAAAATTCTGTTGATATTGAACGTGTTTGAGCGGTTATTTATTGGCCGACGGATGATCAGATTGTTTGTGTTGTGCTCGTAAAGCGACGCCTTCATCCCCACACGTACCGTTCCAAGGCAAACACTCTGCTGCTCTTCTTGACCGTCGTTTTGGCTTTGAATGAGGTCAAACCGCTAAAAAATTCCTTACTTTCTTTCATCTTTGATGTGCCGGGGATGCTCACACTATACTGACAGTACTTTTTCGTCAGTGATGTCTTGAGAATCAAGGAGATTTGAGTTTTCTTATAAACCGGTTGGATAATCATATTACCGAGCACAAGTATCAATTATTTTTCCGAGGTTTTCAGACTTAGTTTTCCTTATTTTTTCCATTTTTTGCTTATTTCATCTCCAGAAAATCAGTGTCCTCTTGTCCTCTGCCCGTTTTGCGCCAAAAAGGTGCGTGTCAAGGCCGCCTGATCATTAGTTATTTTGTGACGCCTTATGACGTTTGTCGCATTCTCCAGCTTTTATCAAGACATTAAAAATAAGGCGTCTGATAGAAATCGGAAAACAATGAAGTTTGTCATGAGTTTTTTTTTTTTTGAATTGCCGCGCCAACGTTTCGCAGTTTTCCGAAGAGATCGTTGGAATTAACACTCTCACGCAGTGAGCCTGGTATTTACTATGAAGATCTTTTATTTGATGCCCTCTTCCTTCATCTTTTCTTTCTTTTCTTCTTCAAACAGTCGTTTCTTCATTCAGTTGAGACGCAATTAGACTCGCACGAATGGAAATAACTGTGTTTTTATTCCTTTTTACTTGTTCTTTCCTTTCTCAACTTTAACTGTTTCCTACGTCCTCCAAACGTATTTTGTTTTGAAAGAGCGTCTGAAATAAGTTCTATTCAAAAGAGCCAACTGGTTTGACATTTTTGTCAAATTTGTCAAACAGTTCTTCCTATTTCTTTTTGAGTATTCTTCCAACTGCTGAAGTCGATTGTCGATTTTAATAATTCCTCTAAAAGTTTCACCGTTGATAGCTTCTCATTTCGAAAAATTGTTTCGAAATAATCGCTTACTCATCACAGAATAATTTCTATGAAAATTTTATAAAACAATTTTCAAAAATGACTTCCTGTTAGTTCAACTTATTCTGTTCGCGGCTGTTCTGCATTAAAATTCAATATTCATTTTACTCCCACCTTCCAGTCACTCCCTATGTTACCAGAATTGGAGAACAGCGAAGAAAATGATGAAACTTCTTCAAGAACTTTCTCCACAAAAAGTTGTCCTACGAGGTAAACGAAATCTTTATCAATCAAATGATATAGAATTCGAAAGATACTATTTTTTTCAGCTTACAATCTTCAATATCGAGGCGTGCGAGCAACACTCGTCGATCTCTGAAAGAATTGGGCGACGACGTCTCCAGAAGCATCGTCGGCAAAAAGAACGCCATGCAGAGGATAGAGGAAGACCCGGCGGTAATGTCGAATATTTTTCGAATATTTGGCAGACCATTCCTCGACTGTATTAACAGCGAGGGTCATTTCTCTTTGCGGTTGGAATGTTCCTAAAAAAAACACGCCTAACAAAGAAGGCCATTTTGCTTCACGATTCCGAATTTTCCTGAAATATTGTCCGAAATTCTTTGATGAAAACGCTTTCGCAGCTTGACTTCTCACGAAAACTTTCAATTTTTCAGATATGAATTCCGATTTCTAGCGTAGTGGTTGCAGAACACCTTATTTGACACCAAATATTTTTGGGAAGAATTTTGTCCAGACGAAATCGTCAAGTAGAATTATATCCTTTGTCAGATCTCTTGCTATTACATTGTGCGAGAAAAAAGAAATTTGAGAATTTAGTTCTTGAAAAGTAGAAAGTAGTGAAGTTTAGGTGTTTCTGAATCTTCCACTCGAACAAATTTACAAAATTTTCTGCAGCTGTTTCAATAACTGGTCTCAAGTTTTCAGCCTTCGCGACCATCCAGACTCGCCCACGTGTCCTATGCCTCTTCATCGGTCTCTACTGAGGACGACGTCGAGCACGCGACTCCATTGGCCCCAAGGTGAACCAGACAAAATCTTCCTCGAGTACATCAAAAGAGTTCCAGAGATGTCCCGACGACGTCGCCATTGTCAGTCACAACGACGAGGTCTTGGAGTCAATCCGTTGAAAAGATCGAAAATGCGCTCCATCGCAATTATTATGTCATTGCTTATTCTATAGTGATAGTCGCGGTGAGGCGATGAATTGAAGTTGGACCCAGAAGGATTCATTTTCCAGTACCTGGTCGGATTCGCCGAATACCTGTATTTTCGTCTAGTATCTCTAATTGTCCCCAAACACACGATCCATTATTCGCCGTGTCAGAAAGATGAAAGAATCGGTTGGAAATCCGGAACAGCGCTTTTTATTTAAGTTCCTTTCAGGTAAAGACGGCTTTCACTACGGTGTTTCGATCGCCGCCTTCATCGCAATCGCCATTTTTCAAATATTAGTCAGTATCCTCAAATTGCTTCACTCAAATCGAAGATTTCAGTGTTTCTTTGGTTTGACTATATCTGAGAAGTGGACCGTGTGCAAACAAAATCCACGGGAAAGTCAGGTAAGAGTTTCATTCAAGAAACTCATTTTCGGAAATATACAGGAAGCTGCGCAGCGCTGTGAGTTTGCCGCCTTTCTTCGGGAGCTGATAGGGAAAACAATGTATCGAGTCTTTTGTGAGTTCGAGCTTCGAGAGCGTGAAAATGAGGGAATCGAACATTTCAGTGTGTTACGGAATGTGCTCCTTGGTCAACTGCGCAATCATTTTCTACATGGTTGCAATACAGGTGACACATTTGCTCTTTCTGGAAGAATAGCTTTTCATGATCATTTCCTGAACAAGATCAGTCTGCTGTTAGGGGAATTTAGAGCGGTGCTCTGGGCCGGTCTGGCCATAGTCTTGCAACGTCGAAAATTTACCACTTTTCGAACCTTTAAGCCTCGAAATATTCACAATAATTAATTGTCCACTTCAATTGAGGGTCTTTCATTAGACATAATGAAAATAGCCTTATCGTGATAGTATTTGAAAACTTTAAAAATCATGAAAAATATAAACCTTTTGAGAATAAAGCATACAGTACTTCAAACAGACATGATCAGATTTCAGTTTAAGATTTGGTGTGACAAAACCATGACCAGATCTTTGTTTTAATTTAATGAAAAAGCCCGGCCATATATTAATTCCTCACTCAATTCACCTTTTTTAGGCGTACCCCTACCTGATTTTGTGATCTAATAGTGGAATAGTGTTAGAACAACAAAAAGTTACAGGATTCCCTTGGCGACACGATGAGCACGATCTTGCTCTACGTATTCGACGCCGTCGTCATCGTTTACTTCGCCGCTTTTCCACTGACAACCGTCGTCTACCATCCTCACATCCACTGCCTCAGGCGGTTCGCTCTCCCAACATTGTACCTTTCCAACAAAAAGTACTTCAGACGGAGCTCTCCAGCTCGTTTCATTCTGCCTCCACTTGATCCGAAGACGCGTTCTTCGACGATTGAGACAAATATCAGCGCTACGGATGCGCTGCGGCCGGCCACCGATGAACCGGCGCAAGTCTTTTCGCGACAGGACCCACGACGACATCACATCGACCGCCGCGTCGACATCAACGTCCCCGTCCTGGAGGAGTATCTGCAGAGTCCAAGGCGCCATGTTCCTCCTCCACGGACTTCTACCATTGTCTAGAACAGAGACTTCCTGATTTCTTCCTCATATATCATTTCACTTTCAATCGATCTCATGTATCCTTCGATGTCTAGTCATGCTCTGTTTTCATAAGTTCCGGGTTTTTACACTCCACAAGAAGTGATATCAGTACTGGTTCAGAGAGGCTCGTAAATTCTTAAAATTTTTGAAATCCTAAAAGATGTTTTTGTTTATGTTTTTCATGAATTTTACTGAATAAAACTTTAAAAAAAAACAGTCGATGAAGCTTTTCTAAGACAAGAGGGGTGAAAATAACAAAATTTTCAAATTTTATCAGCAGGAGTTCAACAATAAATTGAGGATGGGCGATTCTTGCGAAAGACACCAATAGACATTTTTTGATAAGCATCATTCTTTCCCATTATTTTCGATAAAATCGAGTGATAACTGTTCTCAAGCCACGCGACATTCTCCAAAAGTTCGTATTTGCGGTTGCAGCTGATTTCTCTTGCCGCCTTTGAATCTGCCTTTTTAAGTTATCGAGTAGAATGACACGAAAACTTCGAACGTGACGCTCAAATGAGACAGGCTTCTCTCTGACTGAGGCTTCGTGACAGCCTCATTTGGGCCTTGAAAATTTAATCCTTAATCCTCAATCCGACATAAAATAAAAACTCGAGCGTTCCCTTATGATTCTTTTCTTGAACAAATGATTCAACAGGCGCAGATGAGGACGTTAGATGGTCTCCTTGGCAACACACTTGGCTCTTGTCTTCGCTTTTCTTTTTTGTTTGTCTTAAAATACGATTACATCGAGCTTGTTAAGACACTAGAGACATCGCAAAGCAAATCCCCCGAGCAACTGAACTTAAAAGTTTCGCCAGAAAAAAATCAATTTCCTTTTTTCTCTGTTATTTTCCTCCGTTAAGACTGACATAATCTGTCCTAATCGTCTGATTCCAAGAAAGCTCAATTCACAACTGAGTTATGGGCCGAGGTTCTCCCACACTTTCCCATTATGAAGAACAAAAAGGCTGTTCGCGGCTCTTCCGGCTCACGCATTTGATAATGTATCTATCTTTTTTTTTTAACTTTTCCTTTTTTTTTTCCCTTAAGCCTATAACGATGTGAAACACATCAATCAAACTATACAAACTGCGTAAAATCGATCTATTAAGCGAGAGGCTTTGGAAACTTAATCGAAAAACGAGCCATTCGATGGGATTGGACCCTCGTTTCGTTCCTCTCTGTGACCTCATTCCGGCCACTTCAACTGCCGGTAAAACCGGCCATTCTCGATAGCCGAGTCGTTTTTTTTTTATTATTTTTTTAACTGGGAAGACATTCTTTTCAACATTGGGGATGAAATCCTGAAATTTTTATTTCAGAAAATTTTGGAAGCCCTTTTTTTTCGAAACGCATCTTTAGAAAATAAGTTTTTTTGTATTTCCTGACCACCTACTGTTTCTACAACATGAATTAATAATGTATTATCATCAAATGATGTTTTTTCAACACGCAATGTTCTTTTGGAAAACCGTCGCTGAGATTAAAAATGTAAGAGTGGTACAATGCCTAAAAATATTTTTAATTTGCAAGTTCTCTTTGTCCAGAAACATCATAATTAAACAAAAAAACAACTTCTAAGTTTCTTTTTTTCAAAAAAATTGATACAGTAAAAACTATTTATTCAATCTCGTTGAGCATCCTTATTTATTGACATTCTCATTTGATTACTGCTAATCGCGCGAAAAGCCTCAAATTAGAGATTGGCGGCTTTGGAACGGCTTTTCTAAACATTCACCCAACCATTGTTGTTCTCACTACTCTAGCGCCATTTCGAAACTCTTAGCTTCATTCTCCAGAAAAGGAAATAGGCTTATTTCTTTCAACTTTGACGAGAAATTTTTTGGTGAAAATTCACGTTAAAAAAAACGAAGCTTCACAGAAGAAGTCAATCGGAGGCCCACATCTCATCCGGAGGGGACATTTTTTCCCATCAGTCGTTTTCCAACTAATTTTTAATGGACTACCAGCCGCAAGCTGAACGCCCCTGCGTCGACAAAAAAGTGAAAAAAAAAGTTCTTTTCTCATTGGAACCTTGGCTTCTCGCATTAACTTAATTAATTTCAAGTTTTTCATTTCGAAATCCGCAGCGACTCAGACTCGACTCCCATTTCGTGATAATTGCGAGCTACTTCCATTGCTTTAATTACTCGGTTTTCTTAGAAGATTTCAGCTTGGACCATTTTGAAACTTTTTACAAGTTGCGTTTTCCTCTCTTGAAGCAGCCTTAATTCAATTTGGAATTTTGTAAGGATAATACTATTTATTAAAAAAATTTATAGAAACCGCTTTTTTTAATCTTTTTTTCGTCCCTACTCAATCTTATTAGTGTCAAATTGCCAAAATCAAAGCGAAATTTGATTCAAAACAGTGGTTCCTTTGATCAAATTGTCATGTTACTACAATCTAGTGTAACATTTAAAATGAATATTTGCTTCTGATTCTGTAGCCGTCGCAAAATTCGTTTATGATAGAAAGTAGGAAAACTGATTAGCCCCGCATGACATTGCCGCCATTTTTAATTGACCAATAGACTGCTGCTAATTTACTGACAGCTGAACTCAATCAAGAGCGTTCCACATTTCGCTTCAGCTTTTTTTTTTTGCCAGACTCACAACTTCTTTCAAATGATAACTTCCAGAAATGGGTGAGGTGGAGCGGCCGCGCTCGCTTTCACGGATCACCGTCGCGACAAACGACAGCGACTGCGAGTACCTCGACGCCTTCGACCACATCACCTAGTCTCATTTTCTTCTGAACGAATATTGATCTCACATCATATTGCTTGCAAACTAGAGAAGCTCAAACTTTTTGAAACCAGATGCAGGAAAAAAGAAAAATACGCCTCCGCGTACAAAGTAAGACGAAAAACTGTTCAGCAACAACTCTTTGGAGCTACTGGACACAATTGCCGAGGTGCAGATAACTCTGAATTTGTTCATGAACAACAAGTTCGACCTGGCCGAGGAGCGAATGGCCGAACTGTGAGTTGTGCTGAACACTTGCCAATAGAACCTGATTGGTTGAGGTACGACAAGAGCATGTACCACTCGCTCGGCTACACTTGCATCCTTTTCATCAAGTCCGTCATGACCGTCGACAAGGTGCTGATGACCAAATGCCAACCGGACCTTTTTATTCTCAGAAAGACATGGAAAAGGCTTCAAACGCTTGCAAAGTTGCGTGCACAGTGATAGAAAAGTTTCGGCACAAAAAGACGTTGAGCGAATCTATTTTCGGTGTTTCAACTAAAGATCGACATCTTACGGATGGTAGGCTATAGGAAAAGAAAATAATTGACTAGAAAAACTCGTTTCAGAAGAGATTCATGCGGAACTTTGCTATGCGGAAGTTTTGCTCATCCGCGCAGTTTTATCTTTTTTTCACGATGACAATTTCGCCAGCTTCATTCGCGGCGCTTTACAAGTTAGGACGTGCTACCAGACTTATAGGTGAATTTTCCTCGGAAAAAAAAGAAAAAGGACTCGCTTGAAGGTTCTGCGAAAGATTGATGAACGAATCGTCAATCTGGCTGGGAAGGTCTCCGAAAGTGAGAGATCAGTTTGAAAGCGGGGTCAGGATGGGTCTCGGAACCTTCTCCCTAATGCTGTCGACTTTGCCTTCCAAAGTGCTGAGACTTCTGGAAGTCGTTGGATTTTCTGGAGACAAGGTGAGTAATTTCCTCAGGGTGTACTCGAAATGAGAATGAAGAGAATAAGTTGATTGAAATTTATCGAATTGTAAAAACTTAGTTTTAACGTCAAAAATATATCTATTAATTAACAAATTAGTTCGAAATCAAGTTTTTCGCTAGTGAAAACTGACAATGGTTGCAGGATTCCGGGATGAGAGACCTCCAGAGAGCCGCTTCGATGACTGGAACATTGCATTCTCCACTTTGTAAGATGTCTCTGTTGACCTGGCACCTCATAGGTAAAGCTCGAAATTTTGAAGTCCGAAAATAAAAATGTGATTTACAGCGTGCTTCGTGCTCGGTTCGGGACAGCCAGACCTCAAGATTTGCCAGAATATTATTCCATCCCTGATGCAAATGTGGCCGAAGGTAGATTTCGACAATAATCAAATGGGGAGCTGAATTCAAAATTTTTTCTTATTTCTTTCTAAACAAATAAATTCTAGATAACTTTTTAGTCTTTTGAGTGAGATTTTTTACCCGATATTTTCCATTTTCTTTAATCAGAATATTTAATCAAAAATCGACTGAAAAAGCAGCTAAAAAATTTTGGACGGAAAACTACCGTAAAGCTCTTGCTTCAGGGGGCAGTACTGTTGTTCGTCAGAGCGAGGTTCCTTCTTGTCTCAGGCGACATCGACTCGGCCATCCACTTTTTTAACGTCTCCATCGACTCGCAGAGCGTCTACAAGCAGTTCCACCACGGATGTTACTGGGAACTGCTGTGAATAGACTCCATTTCCTGCGAAACTTCACGAAAAACTTCAGATTTGCTCACGCCTACCTTAGGCAATGGAGCGCTTCGGCCAACTACGCCAAGAAACTCGTCGAAGAGTCTAAGTGGTCTCGCTGTGTCTACACCTATCTGCTCTGCATCTTCTTCGCCGCCGACGAGACCGTCCCACAGGAAAAGCGCGACGAGACCATCACAGCGTTAGCCAGGTCCCTCCAAACTCGCTTCCTCTCACAACTTGAATAGACTCCAGTAAAGTGGACGGTCTCCGTCTTCGTATCGCCGGAAAATCGATACCCGTCGAGAAGTACTGTGGCAGAAAAGCCAAGCGATTCGTCACCACCAAGTCCCTGGCTTTCGCTCATTACGTAAGTCCCCAACTAATATAATAAGAATATAGTTATTTTCAGGAGTTCCTCTACTTTTGGAACGGGTTCGACATCGTTGGGAAAAGCACAAAACTTCTACAACCAATACTGGATGACATTGACAGGATTTGGGACAAGAGGAGATCAAAATGTTTGTCAAACTGCTCAAAGCCTTTGACCTTCTCCATTAAGCCGACGTCGACGACGAGTGTCTTTACTACTTTCTACGGGCGGTCTGTCTCCGACACTTGCGCAAAAATGTTCAGGCCGAGCAGTACTTCCAAAAAGTCCTTGACAAGTGAGAAAAATATAGTTAATAATTGCAAGAATTCCCTTCAGGGAATCTCAATTGGAGGCGTTCACCTATCTGCCGCCAAATGCGACTTTCGAACTGGCGTTGATTAGAGTGTCCGAAGGAGCGCACATGGAAGCTGAACTTCTTCTGGCCAAAGCGCGATCCTACAAGAGCTATTCTCTGGAAAACAAGCTCCATTTCCGCATTCACAGTGCCATGGACACGATGGGCGTCCGCACTCCCATCATGTAGAGAGCCCACTGTACAGAAACTGCTACCTTAGTTCAAATAGGTTACGTTACCGTAACTCTTGCTTTAGCTTTCCCCAAGACAGAAAACCGGTGATAGAATTAAAATACAGAACAAAAGCATGAGCCGGCGAATATACGTTTGTTTATAAATGATTTTTTTATTTCAACAATTCCGAAACATGGAAGTTTATGGTCCGTGAATCGAAAACCAAGTTTTAAAATCAATTTTTTTCTAAAATTGTTTCGTTTTCCCTTTACTAACACTACGAGTTTGAATTTTTGTTTCCTATGAAAAGAAGCCGGCCCTTTCGACTTATTTACAGCTAATGAAAGATCCTGAACATTCTCACAAACGCTCATAGAAAATACAAATGTAATTCCGCCTCTTCTAAATTTTTTTTTCTTACTAAAAGTAGCAACTGTACCAGAAAAAAGTAGCTCATCATCTTCTATTCTCCTACTGAAAGTCTTTTTCTTCTCTTTTAGCTTTGCCAGCACGTTCTCATTCACGGTTTACTTACAAGAAGTGATATGAAGGAAATTGGAAAGTCAATAAACACTTACTCTGCGGATTTGGTTTTATTATTATTAGATGACATAGTTATCGTGAGTGTACTCGTTTGAATGTTTCGAAGCCGACTTTTTCCGCGACGCCGTCCTTTACCAGTTTGTTCAGCACCAGCTTCACATTGTTCAACGCCGCCAGTCGCACAGACCAGGGCGAAGACTGAAATTCACGAAATGAAGCTTCTTTTTGGAATGAGTCAGATACCGCGTAGACTTTGTTGGTGATGTCCATGCTGGTGATTTCTTGATGTTCTTCGAGAACGGCGACGATCTCGCGTTCCCGCTTCTCGCGATGGCCGATGTACTCGTCGACCTTGGCGTCGACGTTGTCGATCACCGGTCCGTGGCCCGGATATATTCTCGAAGGCTGCAGTCCTTTGATCTTCTGCAGACTTCCCATGTAGTCGTGCAAGTCTTCAAAAACTGTCGTTCCTTCGCCGAGAATACAGTCGCCGCTGAAGTTTTCTCAATGCGCAACTCCACCGAATGTTTCTCTTTTTCGAATCTTATCTCATGTACTTGCCTCCTCCTAAAGTCTTAGGAACACAGAAAGAACCAACCTGAACAAGGCTTTCTCCTCCTCGAGCCACAGAGCAAAGTGATCGGCAGTGTGTCCCGGAGTGTGGATGAATCTGGAAATCTTATCAGGGTACTTTCCAGTTCCACAGTAGGCCAATACTTCAAAGAAGCGCCATCAACATTGACGGAGAAACCGTCGTCAATGTATTGAAATCGTTCGGGCTGTTCGTCGGCCTCTCGTTTCATCTTGTAGATGGGCACCTAGAAGTTGGCAAAGTGGAAGAACCAGTAAGTGTGTATAGAAAATATGATCATTTTACCGTTGGAAAACCTCGCCTTTTTTGTTTTCCGAATATATCCAGTTTGTAGGATTGGTTTAATCATTTTAAAAATCAACTCTTTTCAATAATCTTATAACTACACCGTTCTTCATTCGATTCTTCCTTCGAAAAGCCAAAAATAACCCGTTTTCCTCCGAGAACTTCCGCGATGATGTTGTTGATGCCGCCGACGTGATCATGATGCCAGTGAGTTATCACGATACATTCGATCTCATCGTTCTGAAACGGAAAATGACTCAAAAGGTGAGCAAAAAAAATAGTGAAAATTGAGAATGAAAGTTTTAAGAATGGTTATATCACATGCGCTCATTTTTCTGAAAAAAAAAATTCAGATCCTTCCTACTTTTTGAAGACCGACCTCTCAAAGATAGTTTTTCTAAACTCCGAACAAAAATTTGATTTATTCAAAAACTTTTCTCTGAAACGATCCACTTGTACACCTCACAATTTTCATTCAATGAATCAACAAGTACTCCAAGATTTTCTCACAAGCTTCAGAAAACGAAGTAGCTTGATGGAGATCTTGCCGAAAAAATTCAATTCTTTTTCAAATACTTGAACTTTTTTCTTTTTGAAATATTTTTCAGCTTCTTTCTGTAGGAGAATAGCATGATAGTCACTTGCCTTCAATACTTCCTTCAGAGCGGCGATGTAATCGCTGACGTTAGGTTCTCCAGTGTCGACCAGAATCTTCCTCAAGCGAAACTAATAAGAAATAGAGTGGAATGATCAGAAAAAATACCTGGTTCCAGTTCCTAGGAGATAAGTGTTAGTGCCTTGGAGCGTGAAAGGACCTGGATTATGTCCCAAAATACGGGTGACACTGCCGGACAGCTGAGAAACGGGCTCCAGAGGCGTTAGTGATGCCATCGCTCTTAAAAGTGTCTTTTTGAAAATCAACTGAAATTTGATGAATCGAAAGATTTATTCCATGTTTTTTTGCTTCAAAAAGCAAGAAAAACTGTAATGAATTTTAAAAAAACGTTTGAATGATGCAATGAAATAAAACGGCTTTCTAGAAAACCAACAACCAGTATAGAAAAAGTGTATTGAAAGGTTTTATCTTGGTCGTCGATCCCGTTCGCGCAACAAAAAAAGCGATAAGAGGACCATGACCTCAAAAAATTCAGTACCCCTAATTCTATCTTTATTTGAACAATATCAAAAAAATAAAAATTTCTTAGTACTATTTTTTTTGTAAGATAAGAAAAACATTTTTTTCCTAAATGAAAAAAACTTCACGGAGTAGGGAGAACGAATATACTATTTTAATGAACGTAGGCTTTTCTTGTCTCGAAATTCGGAAAACGATCGAAAAGAAAGCAGCTGTGGATCCAACGAACCTGTGGGTCTTTGATGTCAAAAGATAGGAAACTCCCGCGATGGCGCAATCTTTGTAGAAACGAGCGGTGGCCCAGGCGCGGCCGACGTAAGACATTCGCTCGCCGTTCGGAAACATTTTCCAAGTTTATCTCACGAATCTATTTCCCCGCCGCATCCTACAACGTTGCCTAGACACAGAGTCTCAACAGTTTGAGTGCCACTGATGGCTACAAAGACAGGTCATCGCCAAACAAAAACAGAGGAAACTGATAGCCTTAACTAATAGTGGCGTGTTCCGAAAACAAAACAGTTTCTATTATCTCCGAATAATATGGGTGAATCTGGTAAAAAATAATTCTGGGAAAATTCCATCGAATTTTTTGTTGGCAGTAGTATTGAAAGAAGTTTTTAGAATTTTCGAAGTTGGTAACATCAGCCTTTATCCATGAGTTTGTGATTGCTTGTGCGCATCGAAAAACCGAATAAATACTTTTTTTCAAGCAGAAATATAACCTTTCGGAAATTGATTCGAAAAACCATAAACTGAATTTATTAACCGTGTCAGAATTATAATGCAAACATTTACAAATAGAAATTTGTACAGCAAAAGAAAAAGAAAACTGGCAATAAAATGGAGGCAATCAAACCCGAATATTCACATGAAGTTCCAATTCTTCGAAAGTGAAGCTTTTTTCAGTAGAACGCGCTTTGAAATGTGAATAAATAAAGAAATGAATGTTATAGGGAAGAATTTGGAGAAAAACTCGTACTTGGAACTGGAAACAATTATTCAGCGGAATCAAACGAGAAAAACACGCCGGCCGACTGGAAAGTGAACAGCAGCAAACGGAACTCCTGTAAATTGAGGTGAGTTTCCATCTTCGTGTCTCGTCAATAGGCGAAAAAAAAAAACTAAAGAATCACCCTTTCGTAAGCTTGAAGGCGGGAAATTTTCAAATGAGCTCCTCGACTTTCTCTCGCGTTCAAAGTCTCCTGCTCAGCCTTCTCTTCTTCCAAGGTTCTAAAAATAACAATCAGAGTAGAGAAATAAGTTGGAAAATGACCTCAAAACAGATCTGAACCAGTTGAGAGAGTTGAAACGCGGCCAAACGCCAAGAACCGACAACAGGTAGGCGACGCCTAGAGTTAGAAAAAAGGAGTTGGAAGGATCGGAAAAGTGGGAGAACCGAGAGCGAATCCGTCGTCGGTGAAGGTGATCTCCTTGTTGGAAGCGGCGCGTCTCTGAAGACGTTCGCGATTCGTGAGCATGTGCTCGACGTGGCACATCGTCAGGGCCGGCACGACGATGTAGAAGAGGCCGAGATGGCCGAATTGCTGCGGAGACGTCGACAAGGAGCTGTTGAACACCTCCACCAGCATCTGAGTGAACAAATAAGTTTCTTAATATACTTCGCACAGGAAGGAGAAGATTTTTTTCTGCAAGTTCAAATTATTCAGTAGTTTAAGATAAGAGGGTATAGGCAATCGGTTACAATTCCCCAACTTTTAGATTTCTAGCCCGAAAGACCGCGACCCAATTGTTTGATATTTTCATTTTAACAAAAAAAAATTTACAAGCATCAATTAAAGATATTTTTAGGCACAAGGTGAAGCCCTGAAACATAAGATTTAGACAATTTTCCGTAGTGAAATCAGAAAAAGGCTAAGGTCAAAATAATTTCATTTGGCTTCTCTTCCGGTGGTTAAACGAAGTAATAATGAACTGATGGATGAGAAAATTTTACATAAAAATAAGAAACTTATTTTTCCAACATTTTCGAAAGGAGTTCTTCATTACCTTGCTGAAATCTTTCGATTTATCGCCTTGGTCGTGTAATTCATTTAACGCATCACACAGCGTCCTGACTGCTTTTTCGCTTTCGATCGCATCTGACAGAGATTATAATTACTCAAAGCAAATGATGAACAATTATTCAAAAAGAAAATATTCGAAAAGGAGACTTTCGTCTTCGACGAGCGAAGTTCCGTCCATGAGAAGGGACATGTCCTCGTCGTCGGCGTAGTCGCGGAGTTCGCTGTGGACGGCCGCTGCACTGGAAGTCATTGTTCGGACGTATCCAAGTGTGTTTCCAATCTGGAATCCAGCAAAATTCAGGAAACGTACTTATTTCATTCTTTTTTTCCATGCCAAAAGAATATATTTCAGAAAAAAGGTGATTTTTACTTTTTGTTCAACCATTTCTTAATGAATACTCTTCACTGTACCAGACGAAGATGCTGCGAATCTCCACCTGTAGAACTTCCCATTTTCGGAAAGTATAAAACAAGTTTAAGCTTATAATTATTACAGGAAGATCATTTTTAGGAACTTTTCTTGAGAAATAAAAAACTATGCAGGTTGAGAATTTCAGAAATTTCACCAGGTAGATGAAAAAGAAAAAACAAAAACTCACCTGAGCGACGAGCTCGCGGAACTTGTCGATATACGTCTGATCCTCAGCGGCCATTCCAAGACGAGAGATGGCTCTCGAGAACTTCTCCGCCCTTTTCATCGGGTACTGAAGACAGTCCTCAACACTCACAAGGACCTTCCCAACCAACCAATTTGTTCAGATCCTCTCTGTTCTCCTCGAAGTAACGCGCATCCCGATGCAAGTGGGCGCGGATGTGTTCGTCGGAGAGAAACTGATGGAAGACGTTGAGTTTCTTGCGGAGGACCTGGTAGGCGATGTTGACGCTGGTGGCCAGGACGCCAGTTCCGTGCTTCCGCAAAGACGCCGTCATCTGCTCCTTCGACAAGACGCGGAGACTTTTGTTCGGCGACTCTTTTTCAATGAACAACTGCAAAAAAATTTCTCTGTGCATTAGAAATGTTCCATTTTATGAAATATACAGACGCCAATTTATGAAACGTGCAGACGAAAGGTGTGTTCAAAATCAAAAATTTTTTCTAGTTGCTTGAAAAACTTCAACGTAGTTGCATTTTTCTACTAAATTTTTTTCAACCGTAAAGAAACTGATGAAAAAGTGTCTATACGTCATGAAGTGACTAGACACCAAAAAGAGCGAAAAAAATAAAAACAAAAATGAAGCATCACAATTTTGCGCGAAGGAGTATCATAGACAATTTTCTCTCCAAAGAATTTAGATATGACTGGAATGAAAGAAAAACCTGGAGATTAAGACAATAGTTGTACTGAGTGACGAAAGAAGAGAGATGTCTGGTGACTTGGACAACGTCCAGAGTTTCGTCGATCCCTCCCCGCTGCAGTTGGCCGTCGATCAGATCGATGTCGTATCTAGAAGCCGAGAATTCCCTCCCAAATGTTCACCGATAACTGACTTTTGAGACGCCAAATCGGCCATTCTCAAGTAGGTGTTGGAGTCGTGCGGCGCGACAACCGTCAGGTTATAAAAAGTTCTTTCCAGGTACCTTGCCACAAACTCTGAAGAAAAAATCGTTTTTGTCTGCGTTCAGAGGAAACCTCGTATATCTACAACTTTGGTGTAGATCTGAAGGCGTGGATTTTTCAGCAGTTGTCTCAGAAAAAAGTTTTCTTCCATCGATAAACGATCACTTAACAAACGAACTTCATTAAAAAGCTGGATTGCAAGATGTTCACCTGGATTCTATTTGTAGATGTTTATGCGTTAAAATGCGAAGATCGTTTTCCAAGACACCACACAACGGCGCCAAAAGACCCTGAAGGCGGTTTTCAGAAGAAGCTCATTTTTTTTCGAAGTAAAAAGCCATTAGAAAAAATGAAAGTGAACTTTGAAAACAAAAACCTCTTCGACGAAAAATGAATTCTTTAAACCTAAACACTGGTCTGATCTTATTACAACTTCAATCAACCTAACTTTTTCGAGAAGTTTTTGCAATTTCTAAGAGAAAAAGAGAACAAAAAGGGTCATCCTATCATATAAATTTATGGAGAGTAAAGAACCTTTCTGAGCATTTCGAACGATTCGTTCAAAAAGGCGTCAAGAACCGTGGAAATTCCTTCAGAAGATGTTCCGCCATGACGAGATTTGGCGCAAAGTTGGGCGCAGTCGCTGATCGCCGAGCAAAAATTCTGGAGTTCTTCCGGTTGGAAACTATTCATTCTTGTATACTTTACATCTATTGCTTCAATGGAAGGCTTTCTTTTCAACGCCGTCTCCCAAAACAAAGCGATCAGAGGCTTATTGTGGAGCAGAAATGAACAATTCGTTACTCTTAAAAATAAAATGATTAAATAAAAAACATTAAAACTACCTCGATACCAATTTGCGTGACGAAGTCAAGGTTTCGATACGATTCAAAAGAGTGTAGAGTTGTTTCAAGTCTGTCGAACAGAGAAGCTCCTGAGGAAGGAAAAAAATAAGAGAAACAATTATAAAGCTAAAACCTCGATGCAAGCTATTTCCAACGCAACTGCACAAACAACCGTTCTTGGTCGAGAAGCTTAAAAAAATTTAAAATTTTGATTTGTACAGGTTGGAAGTCTTAAATGAATTCAAATTGAAAAAAAAAACAATTAATATCGAAGAAACAAAGAGCCCAACATAATTGCCGATATCGCAGCGGGCCGCACGCGACATAGCCAAGGCTTCTCGCTGCGATATCGTCAACATGTCGCTGCGACCTCGTCAAAGTCTCGCTGCTATATCGCTCCCACTCAAAAATTTGAAATTTGAAAACATTTTTTTCGCTTTATTTTTTAATTTCATGATGAAATCAATCAAATCCAAGAAAAAAACATTTTTGAAGAAAAATTTTTCAGAAAGCGATATAGCGCAAGACGTTTGCGAGGTCGCAGCGAGAGGCGAGGGATATCGCTCGCGGCTCCCCCGCGGTATAGCGTTACTCTCGCTGCGATATAGTCCACAATTTCGGGTGTTTTTTTTTGTTTCGTTCACTATATCAACTTAAAAAATCACTTTCGATTTGCTGGAAACTTTTTTTCAACTTTGAACCTTCATTCTTTAAAATTCCGAAATTTTTCTGGTTTTAACTTTTAGAATATTCATCTAATTCAACGATGAACAACAGGAAGAAAAATTTTCAAAAAAAGGTAGAATGAAAGTAAAAAAATTTGTTGTGTATAATTGACATCGATTTCTGATATACGCAGTCTTTTTTCAATTTTCTTAAGCCGCTCGAAGCGAGCCAAACAACAACAAACCGCTGTGAAGAACGCTGGCCATGGCAACGGAAAGGGCGTTTTCCCTGGCCGAAGACGTCGTCGCGACATTTTCCCGAAGCGTCTGACGCGCCTGTTCGAGCAACGACAGGACGTGGCATCGCCATTGCTGGCTCGACATGGCCGCCGCCTCGGAGAAGCTCCGCCAATTGCTCGAGAAGAGTCTGGTCAGCTCCTGAAACCTTCTCTTGGTTCTTCTGGGTCCGCACAGGAGCCCGACCTTCACAGCCTCGACCACCCCGAAAACCGTGAACGCGAGGCGCTTGGTCATTTTGTGCTCGCCGTCGAAGCCGTTCAAAGCCGTCTTCAGCAGCCTCGTCATCGTGTCCGCTAGCCGTACTCCCTGAAGGGAACACTGTTCCGATGAGAATACAATTGATAGATCTGAGAGCAGATAGCAACCGTGATTAGACAAATATTTTCAATTTTTCAGTAAGAATAAAACTGAGGAGTTTTTCTTATGCCGTGTTCAAAGTGATATCCGCGAAATGCAAAACTATCTCTGACTGTCCAAACTTTATTTATTAATTTTTTTCTCTGACCGCTATTTTTGAAATCACTAAATCACTCTGCTCACGGCATTAATAACCGATATCACAAAAAAATCGAAATATTTTCCAGTCTCAATTCACGACTACTTTCGAAAGATTCAATGAACAGGAAAATCCGAAAAGTGATGGAAACTTTGAGAAAAGATGGAACTAAGCACCTTTAGAAGGGTCTGCGAAAGACGCAAACTCGAAGCCGCCACTTGTCCAGCATTGGCAGACCTATTTCTGAACCCTCAAGATACGGAGAGGTCCAAAAGAACAGACCGGATCTCGTTCTCCACTTCCAGTACGTAACCTTCAACTTCAAGCCGAGCTGCATCGGCCTCAGCCAACATTCCTTCGACATGAGTCGCACTTCGAAGTGTTTGACTGTAAAACTGTGATACTGCATCATTAAATATTTTTTTTTATTAGGTCACTTTAGAAAACCCTGAAAGCAAAAATATTCAAATCAGTGTCACTCACAAGGTACACCCTTTTTGAAAAACCTGTCTCTGGAGAAAAAAATTCTATTTTAATGAAAAACTTGTAGTTTCTTTCCTCATATAATATTTTTTCAGTTGAAAATCAATTCACATTCCACCAGTTGAAAATTTGATAGTTCATATTGAATTAAAACTTTTTTTCAATATTTACCGCGCCTGTTGAACGATTGCTATCGTTTTCTTGTCCGTCAATGAAGTGTCGGCCAATTCTCGCAGCAACAGTTCGCAAGGAACGAAAATGATATCTCCCAGAAGATGGAACGAAAGAATCTTAATCGAAAACTGAAAACAGTTCATAATAACAAAGGAACCTTCTTATGAGACGTCCAAACGGCTTTCGCGAGCTTCTTTTTGGCAAAATTCGCGAAATGCATATGGTAATAGACTGTGAGGGAAGTTATCGACAGCAGGAAGCGTTTGTCAGGAATATCTTCAGCTGTAGAAAATCATCTTCGATCCCCAAGTGTTCCAAAAGCTCCAAACCTGCAGCTTTCTCCCATCTCGCGAACATATCACTGACTTCGGCGTACATTCTGTCCGCGAAATCGTGACTCATGTCAAGATCCCCAAGAGTCTGCTCGTAGCAATACTGCAATTTAAAAACTTTAATTGAAATTTTTTTAGGAATTTTTTTCAAAGATTTTTTTCAATAATCGAGAAAAAAATATAATATTGAAATCCTCCAAACGACTTAAGAAGCAATGAAGTTAACTGAACGAAAAGAAAGATGTTGAAAGAAAATGAGATCTCATAAAAAAACGTACTAAATTCAATAGGACATACCTGGGAAAAGCTTCGAAAGAACTTTTTAGTTATAGTTCATAGATTTGATGAGAAATTAATATTGTAGGAGAAAGAGAATTTTAAAAAATTTTAAAAACAAGCTTTAAGACCATTGATTTAACAGCCTGAAAAAATGAAAGAAAAAAAAATTTAAAAAAAAAACTTCTGATGAAATTTTAGAAGTCTTCCTCTTGAACTTTCATTGGAAAATCCAAAATTGTCTTCACGAAACCTTCAATAAAATGAAAAGAAAAGATTAGGAATACTCCTAAATTGCGTATCAGGCTTTTAGTTCGAACCCTGAGCGAATTGCCAGAAAGAAGAAAACGCTCGATTTCATGCATCACAGACACGGATTCGCTCAACTTCTCGAAGGTCGTCCCGAACTGCGTCGGGTTGTGGAGCGTCGTTTCCAAAGTCCTGCAAAACTAGAAGATCTTCCCCGTTATCCGCTGCGACAGCAACCTTATGTAGGAAGAGACGTGAGACTTGATGATTCCTCGACTTGATATCAGCTCGTCAAGTTGGACGAAAATAGCCAGCAGCTCTCCAAGAGAACGCCATGCTTTCCTCAGGTGCACTTTCTCCGTCCCATTCAGTACGTTCGGGCTTGAAAAGACACTGGTTACGCTCATTTTGGAAGTTTTTTTGCCATGATCTTTCTTCGAAAGTTCAACTCACTCAATCTGATGGAAAAGTCGTATTTGTTGAATCAAGTTGCGAAAAAGTTGTAAGGAGGTGTTGGCAAAATCGAACATTTCCTTGAGGAAACCAACAAAGGATGAAACTTGTGCGATTGCTGCGTACTCGTCTTGCTCGGACTTTTGAAGTGCTGCGAGGCATTTGATAAAAATTAAAAACCCCGGAGAAAATACGAAAACCTGTCTCTGCATACAGTAGCAAAGACGGCCAAAGTTCTTCAATGGCAGTGTTGACGGCAATGTCAGATTTATCAATCAAAGAACATAAAGTTCGTAAGAAGCCTTCAACTAACGGATGGTCGCAGACTATCATTGCAGAGATGTCAATCCGTTGACTACACTCATCCTGAAAAAAATGTTCGATTAAAAACATTTAAAAAAACCCTTAGGGCGTTCTCGAAATGTGAGGAAAACCAGGTTCTCGGCTATCGAAAGCAAATTGCTCTCGCTTTTAAAAATTAACTTTTGATTCCGTTCAGGTTTTCACGATATGAACGCATTTAAGTTTACTTTTTTTTAATCAATAATTATGCGATCATTGATAATAAACTTAAAAAAAAATTTAATTGGCTTTAAAAATTGTGCCGTAACACTACAAATACGAAAAAATGGGAAACAAAAAGAGTTTCAAAGCTATTTTTTGCTTGAAAAAGGAAAAAAAAAGAGCCGGCAATCCGGTCTGTCCAGCATTTCTTCACCGCCCAGGGCCTGAATGCTAGAACTCACCTCGAAAATAACAGTATCGTCATTCGATGAGTTTTCAAAGTCCGGAATGTTGTGTAAAATGTCTCTACGTTTATTTTGTTCGTAGAAGCGAGCCCTTCCTACAACGAAACGCAAAAAATTACCAGAAAACCTAATTGAAATGACAAACCTGATTTTGACTGCTCCATCGAATGAATATTTCTATATAAAGAATTAAGGTTCAATCATCGAAATAAACTGAAAACTTCATGAATTCTACTGAAGTGGACAAAAGACATTTCCAATCTTTAATAAAAAAAAATATCCTTTTAAGACTTTGCAACGTTTAAAAAAAAAGACAAAAAAAAATTGAAACGCGCAGCAACTGCAATAATAGTGTGGTCGCGTTGCAATTAATTAGACTTGCCTGTGCAAGATTAACGGTTTTGAAATCAATGAATACTATCAAGCAAGGCTCATAGCTCCGCTTCAAAAAAAGGAAAATCTGTCAATATATTGTTGAAAAATCAAATTCTTTTTACAACCACACGTCAAGTTCAGGAAATATAGAAAAAGTTTTTGGAGATTGAATCATTTTAAAATGATGAGGTTTTTTTTTTCAAATTTTGATTATCCCAACTCGTAAGATTCTGAGGGTCATGATTCGGCTATGATCAAAAACCACTAAATTAGATTTTCTCGCGTTTTGATTCCAGATTTTATCTGGGTCTACAAGCCACTGAAGTTTCAACATGCGACTCGTCCCCTAGTCCGAGTAATTCTCTAGTTAGAGCCCGAGAAACAATGTTGTTCTCAAAGTTTAAAGCTTTTCTCTAGTGTCACCTTCAATATTACTTTGTGTCGTGCAGGTATGTGAATCGCAGAAACATATGTTGAGGTGAGAGGTGGAAGAACATTAAAAGTCGATTTGTAGCAATGAAAACAGTTCGGAGTTTTTTTCAAACCATAAAACGCCCACATGTCGGGTTGGGGTTGGATGAATAGAAAAAAAAGAAAAAAAAGGAAATTAATTTTTTGATAGAAAATTCTATTATGTTTTTTAACAAAAGTCGTTTTGTGATATGGGATTCTCAGGTAATTTCGTATAGTTCTTTTTAAAAATAAAGAATATATACCAAGAGTTTTTTTAAGATGGTTATTTTCAGTTTAGAATTTCGCCTGGTTAATCAATAAATGTTTTGGCACTTTTTGAAAAAAACTGCTAACCAGAAAAAAACCTTTTTTTTCAGAATTTTTTTTCTTGTAAGAAATTGAAAAAAATTAATTACCTAATGGTCCAAAACTACTTCCTCTTTTCAAAAAGATACCGAAAATTATGGAATTTGATGGACAGGGGAAACTGTCGAGCCTCATTGAAATATACTCATAAAATACGGTTTACTCGACCAACTACACGGCACACGACAATATTCGATTAAGGATAAGCACCATGGGCCCGAAAATTTTATGGTTCTGGTTGGATTTGGCGGAAATCGGCGCCCATTTGACTCGCATTTTCCTCAAATTCAACCTTCTTCAGCCCTTTTTTCAACTTCTAAATTGAGAAAACGACCTTTTTATACTTCATAAAAACGTATCAGAGTAAAGAAGATCTTCATAATTCAATTTCATTTTGATCCCCAAACTTTAGCGTAAAACTTACCAAGGCCAGCCATTATTACTGTGTTTCGGATCGGCTTTCGAAGTAATTAATCTTGCCCTCGCTGTGCTTTTTTCTTCTTTTAATTCTAATTCTCCCAGGCCAGAAAACCGTCCCTATAACACTCTCACAGCAGGAGAGATTCATTCGACTGTTTTTTTTAACCTTTACCCAACTTGACGTCCAAATTGCCATTGTCTTTGAATTATTCTTTTCATTTTGTCATTCTCCAATATTAATTGTTTCAATGCCAAATTGATGTCTTCTCTCTGTGAAGTATCTTATTTGTTTGGCAAAATTTTTCTAATGCCGTGTTAAAAGTAACTTGCGCGAAATTCAAAATTATCTCTGACTCCAGAATTTAGTTATCTTTTTCACTCTCTGACAGCTATTTTTGGATTTCGTGAGGTGAATATTGTTTCAAAATTGACTCCCTAACAAGAAAAAAACAGTCGAAATCCTTTCAAAATTTTTCTTTTTTTGCATTAAAGTAAATAATTTTGATAAAATGACTGAACTCGCCAGAAAAATTTGAGACCTAGTGAGTTTTTTTCTTCGGGTGACACTTGATTTAGACTGTTCAATATCAGGCTGAAAGTTGAAGCGTTTTGTTCTTTCATCACGGCGTTCTTGTCAGTGAAAGAAAAATGCAGAAAAAAATACTAGGGGCGGGCCTCTCTAAATCGTACGACTACAGTAGATTTGATCTGTTCAGGACCCGTTTTTGGATTACAAGACCCACCCTTTAAAGCTCTCGCAAGATTTACGGAAAGAGTTAATTGAAAAAAAGCATAATTTTTGCTTTTTACTTTTTTAATATTTTGTTTGACGTTTTTTCTATAAGCAAAAGATATTACCCAGTTCCTTAGACGTATTTTGAAACCGGTTTCGTGTAAATTAGAGTCAAATTGAATTTGCTGATGCAGTTTGAAGATTTTGTTATATGAATCATCTAAATTATATATTTTTTTCTAGTTTTTTGATGGTTTTTTGGATCAAAAAAAAATTTCGCCATACGAGGTTTTTTTCTAAAATTTCTGCTTTCTATCCATTATTTGTTTTTCTGAAGCTAGGTTTTCAAGGTATATAAAATGTTTCTTTTTTTCATTTGCTCCTCGAATTTCCCTCATTTCAATATTTTTCGTATTTATAATTGCTTATTCAATGGGAGCTAATTTACCTTCATAATAATTTTTGTTTTAATTTTGTAATCAGTAATTTAGAGTTTTCCCCCTCCGAAATCGTTCCTAATTTTTTTTAAACGTAAGTGAATGTTTTTTTCACATTATTCTCTTCAAACTGACAAGATTTCGAACATTTCAGGAGTTATTATCCTAAAATTGCGAATTCTAAAATTGAAAAAAACAATTTTGAGTATGAGATAGTGCGTCTCGGTGTGCTTACACCCTAAGCATCATAATTTACGAGAAGTCTTGACCTTGCGTAATAAAAACGCCGTGTCATGCCAACCTAATAACTTTAGATATCCATCACACGGGATTCCCTTAAAATTTTAAGAAAAAAACCAATAGCCAACGTTTTTATGTATAAAAAAAGCAGTTCCAGTTTTTCACAGGAGGTCGCCGACCGTTTTTCTCAACCAATCGCATAGGTTTTTTTTTGCCATTCCATTAGTCCATCATGTTTGTTGCTTGTGAAAGCGGCGGAAGCAGGTACAAGACGGAAAAAAATCACAAGAAATTAGCCGCCGGACCCCCCACGGCGACGTCGGCAAAAAAATCGCCGTTTTTTATTTGATGACTTCAGAAGAAGAGCAAAGCGATAATTCTCTTCACTAACAGAGAAAAAAAAAGAAACGTTCCTTTTAGCGCGAGCTCGTAAAAGAAACCTGGTGCCATCCAAAAATTCGTTCTACTTATGTGCTTAATTCGATTTGGGTGCTCGTCCAGCGGGATATTAAACACACCTGTCCTTCACCTTTTCCATGGCCTCGATCTCGATCTCGCGCGAAGCTTCAATTTTTCTGCTTTCTTGAAATATTTCGCGGTTTTTCACCTCTAGAATCCAGTTGAAAGCTTTTTTAGTCGAGACAGGCTCTGTGCCTACTGAAAAAGTCGAGCCTTTGACGACTATTAACAACGATTAACAAAAATTAAATGGTTTGATCTGAATAACACACTTTATCTCAAAACTAAGAAGAAAACGTATGGCTTCGCAAACGAGATATCAACTTCTGTATTATATTTCAGATTCAACTGTGGTTACCTAGATTAAATACTCGTTGCTTCATGGTGAAAGGGGTTTTTTCTAAATTTCCTGAAAAGTTGTGTTGGGTGAGAAATTCCTTACAGGTTCTTATGAATCTCGAAGACTCTTTTCGCCTCGCTTTAGAAGATTTATAATAGAAGAGTGACTTGAAGGCCATAAAACTATTTGCTTAGCTTTGTGAAAACTATAAATGGAGCTACATAAGTCTCACTGGAGCTCCATTTTTTACAGACTGATAGTTCCAAGTTTTTCTCTCAATTCCACGGCGTTCTTTTGACGACGCCCCTCCCACAATTTCCGTAATATTTGACGTCTTTTGTGCATACACAGAACGACGCTAACTCGCATACTCATTAAATTCAAAAAAATAATTTTTCTTCAAAAAAATAGCGTTTTTTTCAAAACTATAGACGTGAAAAAAATTGATCCTTTCACAATTCCTTTTTCTAGTTGACGAAAAAACATTTGGGTGAAAGTTTTTCTTATTTTTTTAACACTTTTTTTCCTTTTCACCCTCAAAATTAGTTAAAGTCCTTTTTTTCAGTAAAAAACGTGGAATTTTATGCCGAAAATGACTTAATGTGGTTCTATGCGTCTTTCCCCACTCACTAAAAATAAAAAAAAGTTTTCTTTACAGGTTTGCTTTATTTCATCCACCTAGTGGTATTTTTCTCCCCTGCATCATCGCCATACCATTCTGATGTTGCGAAAATGAAGAGATTGATTGATTCAAATAAAAAATTTAATTTGACACAGAAAATGTTGCTGAAAGGGTTTTTTTTTTGCCTAAAGGGGAAATTTTGTCAAAACCGAGCAGTTAATATTGACAATTAAAAAACAAAAATTCCTTCGCATTTTGCTGTCGCAATGAAAAATAATTACCGTAAATCAGAACCAAACAGATAAAGATAAAACTGAAATAAAAATGAAAAATCACCTGAAGCACTTGAGCAACAAGAAATTCAAATGTTCGCGCGCAAGCTGTCTACCGTAAATCTAGGTGGAGCAACCCTTCCAAGCCGCTCCACATTTTCAAAAATTTTACATTTTCTTCGACTACGCAGAACGCCGTGATTCATATTCAGCGTCTTTAGTCGCATATGGAATACATTTCAAGACCTTCCGACATAAACTGAACAAGAATGTCTCGATGTCCTGGTCAAGCTTTATGTGCTTCTTGAGGATGTTTTGCTGACAAACGGGTGTGGGGTTAACTGCGAATAGCGACACATTGGCGCTATGAAAGGCCGACCCGCATATGCTGTTTATGAGATGTGTGCCTCCATCCAGACGGTCGCCAACGACTTTTGTGCCTGTTTTGTGTTTCCGCCAGCACTTTGCACGTTTCTTTCGTCTCCGGTCATTTGCTCTTTGAAACTTGATCATAATTCACATTGTCTTCACAAACTTGAGTTTTGAGAATTCATGGATTTCCATCCACAACTAAAAATGAAGTTTTTCACACAACCTACTATCTACGAAAGCATCAGAAACTTTGAAGCTGCTCTCTTTTTCATTTTTTTGCTATTAATTCGTAAAAATTTTTTTATTTTTTTAAAAGAAAGCTGTAAATTTTAAAGTCTAATTCCCTTCAAAAAACTGAAACTTCTTCTCACATCAAATCTCTCTCACTTTCCGCTTGTTTAATTCTTCAATTAAGGTGTCGAAGTCTTGAAATTTTTGAAAATCTCGAAAAAAAAACTGAATAAGTGGCTTTAACACTCAAAACTTCTTTTTTTCCTAACTTATTCTATATTTGAACTAGTTTTTTTTCATGCAGGTTCTTGATTTTCTCCCAATTAGGCAAACTCAGAACAGGAAAAAGTGAAGAGTTTGAAAATGTTGCCCTCTCCTTTCAGAAATTTCTTTTGGAACTATACACAGGTTTGTAAGAACTCAGAAACCTTCTCCGCGTAGCCTTCGCAACAATGTTTGCTGTCCATTCGAAATTCTCATGGTACGCAAATTGATCATCGATTTCAAAGACAATTGCCATTCAAACAATGGCCAGCGAGCGCTCAAAACTTAGACGTCCCATGTCCCCTCTTTTCCAAGTTTGAAACTTCAAAAAAAGTTTGAACTGAACTCTGCTAAGGAGGCCTACGGTAGCCGAAGAACATGCAATTTGCGGCACTTCTCGTCCATAACATAATATGGTAGGCTCTCGTTCGCTCTGCGGCTAATGAGCTACCGTAGGCGGTGGCGGCCGTACATCAATTTCGAATGGAATCACATAACGTGAAGAGGCGGCTATAATTTGGTGGAGAACACTCGTCGGTCCGTGGGCCGCTTGAGTTATTGTGGCGTTGCAGGCTGCGTCAAACATTTCGAGACGCGTAGCCACAGGAGACGCACGAATTACAATAAATCTGGTGCCGATCCCACGAGCAACTTATTTTTCTTCCTTTTTAGAAAACAGCTGGCCGCGTCCAATGCTATAGAAACAGTTAATAACGTGTGCGCGAAAGATAGTCTTTGTATAGTCTTTTTTCCGGTCTGGCAAAAATTTGTTTTGCACCATTTTGTCTTAGTAAATTTAGCTCCTGAGATTCAGGCGTTAGACCGTAGCTAGAAAACATATCTTAGCGAGTAAAGGCCTGAGACTTGAAATGAATTTATCCGACTCATCTTTGGCCAGAAACAGGGTTTTTCAAGGAACGCTAACTAATAAATTTTCGAATCCTTGAAGTAATCAAACGGTCACATTTAGAGCTGCTATCTGCTTGTCACAAGCTTTTCGATACTAAACTTTTCAAATTTTTCGCTTCTACACTGGGAGAAGCCAATCAAAAGAATGTCCCTGGAATATTTTTTTCTGACAATAAAAATGATGACAAAGCGATATTTATTTGTTAATTGGTGAGCGTAATGAGCGGGAGCCGTTTGATGTGAACGGAGCGGAGGAAACATAACATCGCGTGTAATCCCTCGAGATTACTGTACTCTTCACAGGTCGATCCTCTTGTAAGGATCGATCATCGTCCGTATCATCACGTTCTTTTGTGCTTCGGCGCCGCCTGTTGGATAACATCCTTGTGGGACGACCGACCTAACACCTTTTATGATATCCTCCCTAGAGGGATTAGGCTTCGAGGTCATTTACTCAGTTCTTTTAAACTTTTGCTGAAAAACATTTTATTACAGCTAGCTAAGCGGTTATATTCGATTCTCAGCTGGCTCGAAATTATTTTTAAAAGACTCTTCAAATGAAATACCACACCAGCAGCGTGAAAAAAAGCTAGTAGCGAATTGAATCGGAGAGGACTTTAGATTCAAGAAGAAGTTACATAAACTTTACCAATTATTCAGTAAAGAATCTACTAAAAATGTACCTCCATTCTTGTAGTTGGGCAGCTGAATTTTCTCTATTTGAACTTTTCTCAACTCCTTTCTGTTTTCATTATTTCAAATTCCTCAAAAATCTAAAAATAATTTCTAGGAAAAAAAACCTTCGTTGGAAACGTGGTCATACAGTAATATTCCCTGTTATCTGGTCGAAAAAGTTTCGTCCTCAACGAAAAAGGATCCTTTGTTCTAGGCCGATTGTTCTGAGCAAGTTCAAACAGGCAGAGATCTAGGCGGAACACTCACACCTCGTCTGTTTTTTCCATGTTTGGGAACGAGGAACGTGGCGCAACAGGCGGCTGGCAGAAGGTTGCGCAATTGACGAAAACTTTCCTGAACAGATAGCATGAAATCTTTCTTGACGATAACTCCGATTCAAAATTTTACGTAGATAAACGAGCGAAGGCAGTTTTCGCCTAATACTTATTCTCCTCATTTTTAATCGCATTAACACTTTAGAGTTGCCTATCGAGCCTATCGAGCCTACAGATAACAATAAATATTCAAGCTCTAATCAATTTTTAGCTAGTTTGAGAAGTATAAATGTAATTCATTAATCGAGTATAAAAAGCGGTGTGCGAAAAGAAGGGGTTTGAACCGTCTCTGTCGAACACTTTGTCAAAGCAAGAAATGAATCAAACACAACTGTCAATTTTTCAAAGCTTTTTGATTAATCGTAATCGATCCGAATGGAAGTTTTCGATCAAAACGGATAAGAGAAAGAAGAGGTTAAAACTAAATTGATTGATTAAACTTTAAAAAAAGGAAACAATATCGTAAAGTCGACTGTTTTCTACGCAGTGCAAAAAAAAAAAACTTGACGCCGAAATTTACGCGCAAAAATAGCTTCAAAAACTTTTAATTAAAAAATTTTCGATTTTGGTATTTTTTTTCGTAAAATTTTCTTTTGATTTTTTTGAAACCCCTTCATAGCTGATGAAAGGCGAATAAGTCTTACATGACCTGTAAAACACTGAAAAGGTCATTTAGTGTCATTTCGTTTTTTTATTATTGCGCTCGTGATTCTTTCGAAAATTTGCAAATTTTTTTATATTTTATCAATTTGAGGATGCTGGAAACAAGAGCGCAAATGAAGAGGAGATCGTTGTTCCTTCAACAAGAGGTTTAGATTTTTTTTTAAAATTTAAATCAGAGTTTAGAATTATAAAGTATGAAAAAAGGGTTTGAGATTTTAACATCCTGATTTTAAGAAACTTAACTTGAAAACTATGTGTTATGAAGCACTTTCGAGATTTGAATCTTCCATCTTTTTCGATATTTTCCTTCTCGAGAACTGTCCAAGGCCAGCTGGCAGCCGCTATCACAACCTCATACAGTACGCGCAGATTCCCGAACTCTTCAATTTCCTCGTTTGCCGGGACAATTATAATGTAAATGTCGCATGCCTTCGTTGAATATTCCTGTCGTTGTCGTGTTTGTTCGCCGGGTTCCTCGCGCCATTATATTTTGGATGGATATGCGATTGTAAACCTGCACATCAAACTATTACCATTCCTTTGCGTTCTAACCCCATTCGGCCGCTCGCCTTTTGTTGAACCTCATGTGAGGAATCAGAAGATTGGAATTAACGCCGGCAACAAGGAATTTCATTTCCATGGAGTTTTGCCATAGTACCCACTCCATGATTACTTTTTAATAACTCGTGCTCATTTCAGTCAATCTCGAGCGCCGATTAGTTGATAATTCCACCTGCCTTGTCTACTCGAAACCTAACTAAATGTCATAAAGAATTTAGCTATACTTCTCGGTTCTCCGATTGTCCCTCCCAACTTTGCATAGCGATCGAAGCTCAATCTTCCATAAAAAGGGGAAAAAATCATTGGGAGTAAAAAAGAAAAGCTTATCTATAGGTTGGAATGTTGAAAATAACTTTTTTTGGATTCTGTGGATTTGATCAAATCGCACTTCAGCCGTTTAGTATCTCTGTTAATGAGAAAAATATTGATTGGAGACAAATATAATAAACTTGAACCTTAAGTTCAGATCTCGATCATTTCTTTCCCCCGAAGAAAAAGCGGAATTGAAAAAAAAGGCGCAGACAGATGTTTCAATGATATTTTTGCGTCGGCGGCGTCTGTCTGTGTTAATGTGACTCGGATCTCGCAGATGACGATTCCATTTTTCCGAGGTTTCATTAATTCCTCCGGCTCTTCCGACAGAAGGCGTGGCCGAGGCGGCAACAATGTGACCTAATCACTGGATTATTTGGCGTCTTCTTCCTCAATTTCTACAACTTTCATTGCCTTGTTGGTTCGGAACAGAGCCCCGACGGCGGCTTTTCAATTGCTCCATTCAAGTCGTCAGGAAATGGCCTGGTTTGTTGCAGCCATTCGCCAGTTCTATTGCGTTTTGTATCAACATTCCGCTCTTCGATTCCCTTCTTGGCAGCTGTCGACGTCCTCAGTTATCCCAACTTTCATCGCATCATTAAAACGACTCAACTGAAATGAGGCTTTTTCATATTTCATGAAAAAAGACCACTAGAAACGAGACTTTTTTTGAGGGATTTCAATACGGCCGCCTCTCACTTTTTTTAAAAAAATTTGTAAATCACTTTTTTCCCAGCGTATGGACAATCTCGACCCGCTGGTTCCGAAGTTTTATCACTGCTTTTATTTATATTCAAAACTATTCTCTCAGTTCACTCAACGGTTTGAGCTCGCGGAAGTCTGTAAATTTTTCCTAATTTGGTTAGGGATGAAGGAACTTTTTTCAATGAGAAAACTTGGGGCTCTGAAATCAGTTTTGAGTTGCTCCCCGGAACTCGAAGCGTTCCTCACAAAGCCGCGCCAGAAGCAAGTTAATGTGCCTCATTTTTCATCAGTACATCACGACGAACGACGTGGGATGGCCGACAGAATGCAAATTTTTATTGCGACAGCAGCACCCGTTGCACAATTCGACGGCTCCGCCCCCACCGCATCTAATATCTTACGCGCGCCTTGTCATGTCTCATTATAATAATGCGCTGACAGTCTCGGCGTGTCATGTCAGCACCTGTTGCGATGCCAGCCGTTCGCTTCCTTATTGAATTATCTTCTTCTTGGAGCACAAATTCTCGCTTCTTTTCAAGCACTTTCCTAGTTTAGTGACAGACAGTTAATAGAAAGAGTCGAATTAATTATTAATCGGAGGGTTTTTTTTTCTTAATCTTCAAAGGCTGTGAAAAGTTCAGACTGTCAGAATAACAAGCGTCCTTTGTTTTTCTTCGGAATCATTTTTTTTTGAAACTGTTTATTTTATATCCTGGAAAAACATTTTTGATCGCTTGGCTGGTCAAACGGAAAGCTTTGACACATTTTGAAAATTCATTCGAAAGCCACTTAGGTTAGTCATGGGTAATTTTAATAATTAAGATCAGCGTTTTTTTAGCATTCCAGTTTTCCATATACTTTGCTTTTTTGCCCCTTGAATCGACAACTTTTCGGGACCCCATTTTGATGGTGTCGTCGATTGGCCGAGTGCAAACGACACTTTTTGCGGTGTTTTTCAAAACGGAGCCTCTTTGAATAAGTTGCAATCAATTGTGTGTGGAGGACGACACCGCCGGACACACGTTACGCACAAATGCACGCAATCATACAGATATATTTATATATCAGTTCTATTCATTGGGTTGAATGGGAAGGTGTTGCGTTTCTCTTCCCCTCCTTCGCGTCCTTGTACAGTCACTGGATTCGCGTAATAATCAGTGCGGTTAGGAAATGAAACGATGGCCAAAAAAGGTTGATTGAAACGGCGGCGACAAACCATTTGGGATGACGTTCGTTGCCAAGTTATACACACCTTGCGGTTTGACGCAAAAGAACTGGAACCAGCGCCATTGGAAGATGTTCAACCGAAAACACATTCCAAGTTTATGCACTGGCAAGTGATCTTGGAAAAAACCTTTTTCTAAAGTTCACCGTTTTAATTAACAAATATATTATGGCCGTTTACGGCAAACGCTATTGAAATTGATAGGCTCCGCCCACAAGAGTTGGCCACGCCCTTGTCTATTGTCCTTCGGACTCAATTTCACACACAAAAGACTGAAAAGATTGTCCCTTTTTTTCATTTGAAGGAGAAATCAAGCTCATCTTCTCGTAATGTGATCCGAACTGCGTAATTGCTTTTCGATGTGTTGCTTGCCGAAAATTTATCCGTTTTCATTATTAGTTTTTATAAATACTTATTTGCCCAAAGCTCTTTTTTTTTAAGTACTGCTATATTTTTTTAATCCTTTTTCCTTAGACTTTTTTAAAATTCTGGTTATCATATTTTTCGTAATCTATTCACTTTGATGGCTGAAAAAATGGCTAACAGTATCATTTTATATTTTTGTCAAGCGTTTTTTAATAGAAAGTGGTAGTTTTCAACTGAGAATATTCATAAGATTACATTATAGAGCTTCACTTCACTTTCATTTTGGAGTTCGATTAGTCTTGTAAATTAGTGAGCCTTGTTCTTGAATTCATATTCGTCACTCTTCATTTTCCTTGTTTCATCCTTTCTGAATATTCTGAAGAAAGTCTGCGAAAGTTTCACAACAAACGGAAATCAAAAAAGGCTTTCTTGAGGAAGAGGGAGTCTCACCAGCATTACCGGATTTGTATCGCTTTTTCTGAGTATCACATGTACTTTTGGAAGTTCTCCATTCTCGAATTCGACGTTAGAATATTGGATGATAAGTGTACAGTAAGAGAGAGAATGAAGTAGGTCTGGAGTTTTGCGAGACGTTCGTCGGAATTGGCCGCTCGGCCGCCGATTGGCCCAACGTCCGAGGCTCCGCCCCTCGGCCGCTCTTCAAGTCTTCATTGCCTCAACTGCGGCTCATCATTTCTCACTTTTGGGTCCAAAATATAGCCGAGGCTTCTGGAAGCCCCGCCTAATCGGCCTCCGACCAAATCACTTTGTCGACGCTAATTTCCACTTGCCGTTCGTATTTAATCTATATAGTTGGAGTGAATGATTAAAAGGCTTAGCTTTGTTTGTCATTATTGCCTCAACAGCCGCATTTCGATATTCCAACCATTTCGAAATATATCATAAGTTTTCCAAGAATAACTTCCTTCTAGGATTTCCTGACGGGTTGTTTCGCGAATGGCCTTTGTGTCAGTTCCGAGATTATCATCTAAAATAGTTTAGGAAAATCAAAACTTAGGTTCTTTCACGGTTTTTCAGATACATGATTTTAAAAAAGGCTCGTGTCATATAAGCCGGGAAAGTTGAGACAGGTTTCTGCATGTCCTTATTGTCATTTCGAGTATGTCTCCAGAACGCACGACCTTCTCAAGTCTCAAGTCGAAATAAGTCATTCCAAATAAAAAACTTCCAAAAACATCTTCTCACGCTTGAAAATTTTTTCGTACCTTCTAAAATATCCTTCCAATTGCAGCTTTTCTTTTTTTTTTTCAAATTTTGCTGGTTAGTAAAGAATTCCCACGATCTTAAATTTTTCAGCGAACTTGGAATATTGTAAATTTCAATTAGAAGGTGTTTTTGGAATCAAATTTAAGGTTGAATGTGATATTTTTTCTGAAATATTTTTGCGTTTGAATATTTTTACAGTGAATTAATCCTCTCGAGCCAAGAAAATCTCCTAATCTCGAGTGTTTTCGAAATAGTGCTTATGAGTTCGATATCTTTTTTTCAACTTTTGCCATTTTCGTTTCCTTTTCAAACTTTCTTTTTTCTCAGTAATCCTGAGTTATTCTCTGTGATTCGATAAGTTCACACGGCTGTGTGTTGCGATAAACCCGCTTTTCAATAGACCTTGATAAGGTTTTTGAATCTACTAACATAGCGTCGAAACATTTCAATAGGGCCTGAATACATCAAGAAGAATCTTCAAACACTATCAATAAAAAAAAAGTCTTCAGCTTTGATTTTCCGTTCGAGACGTCAAAAAGCCTATTTTTGTTTGGACGACTCAGGTTTCCCAAAAACCCAACAATTAATCCAACGAGCAAAATCGCGGAGATTTTCGCTCTGCACTGGCGTGTTATGAATGTCAATTGCACACCTCTGAAGCCATATAATTTCGATATGATATTTTCGCCTCCTAAATCGTCCATTTCGTCCCCGAGTTAATACGTCTGCCTCGTGTGTTTGCGAGGCCTCTCTTTTTTTTCTTCTTCTTCTTTTTCATCCGACACGATCCGCAGTATGAGTAACCGTGGCGGTACGTCGTCTCACAAGTCCAAATGCCATCCAACGAGACTCGAAAGGCTGAAAAGTACCGTCCGAGAGACGAGTAATTAATTCGGTGCGACACGCAAATTGCCACCCGCCGCCTGTTCTGTTACGGTAGCCTCGGGACTGTCCCCAACGTCTTCTCCTAATTGACTTCGGCTTTCATGACGATCGAGGTTCAAAATCGGAAGTAAGGAGGACAATCAGTTTGAAAAATGGAGTCTATCTTTTGAGACAATAACCATCAAAAAGTTTGAGCGGATCATTTTCTATTCCTTACGGCCACGTTTTCAAGTTTTCGCTCTCTGTTGATAGTTATTAGGGGTAACTTTTACCACACGAATGTGATAAAAAATAAAAAATAAAAAGGTTTTCACTGAAAAAACAAAAAGATATTTTTGAAAGTTGGTCTTGTATATGTATTACTTTATAGGGCAATGATCAAAGAACTCTAACTAAAATACCAGTAAATATGCTTTATTCAAGTTTTATCATCGTATTCTTAAGGTCAGAATTAATTGACCCTTCAAAACTTCAAATGTATGTGTTTGTGATTTCGAAGCTACACATGTGCAATTTAAAAAGACCAAAAATGAAGCTTTTTGAATGTCATATTGAATCGCAAACGCAAAAGTTTCATGTTTTCTTTTCCTCAATTTTTTTTTTCAATATTTTTGAAACCTACGATTTTTGAACGAAGCAAGGTGCGAAAACCGCGAAAGGCGGTCATTACACCGGAATGAGCTCGGCTATAAGGCCCACCTGTCCCCAGCTTTTATCACCGGCAGTCATTACCTCGGCTGAATCTAAATACGAGTTATCCAGTGCGCAGACAATTGGCGCACGATGAGCTTTCTAAAGGATTAGGCTTTTGCCGCTGCTGCGCCGATAAAACTGATCCAAGAGCATGACTCTTTGAGTTGCAAGGCTTCACGAAAAGCCTTTCCTCTGAGCTTTTTTCCAGTTCGAACTTGAAATTTCGGAGGAGATCTTGAGCTTGATTCATCTTTATCGATTCAAAGACAATTCCGTAGGCCGAAATTCGGTCGAAACTGGCTGAATGGTGGTCATTTTCCCTGTAACTTTTGATATTTTCATGTTAGTAAATGAAACATTTTCTCAAATATTGTGGATTCAATATCCAATTTAATATTGCAATAGGCTGTTACGAAAAATAATAGAGCGCATTTATTGTCAAAAAAATTTTAAAAGAAAATGAACTTTTTCGGAGAAATTTCTTTTAAATGTGTTCTATCAGATGTAATCTCACCAAAAATCGATTGAATTTTTTTAAACTTTGACAGCTAAAATTTTTTCTCCGACTTGGCTTCATGAAAATCAAGTTTGAGATCAGCGTGAAAAAAAAGCTGCTTCCAATGGAAAGAATCTCATTCAGAAACTTCACTTCGACTCTCGACCATATCTTGATCTGAGTTTTTCAAGCCTCGAAAGACATCATCTTACCCTTTTATTATTTTTCTCTAACGGCTTTTCTTAAGGAATATATTATCATCCTTTTCCCAATTATTAATGGCTTGTTTTGAGGTTTTTCCTCCCGCACTCAGTTCTCCTGAAGCCCTTCTCCTTACGTAGATGCGTTTGTTATCTTGAACTGTGGTTCATTAAAAGGAAGAAGTGCGCTACGATCCTTTGCTAATAGAAACACTTTTCCTCAAAATGTCAGTCGAAATGAAGATTGTTCTGAGGGAAAAGAAACGCATTTTCTGTAACGTATAGAGTCATAAGCGAAGCGGCCGCTTTGCGCCTTGTTTTAATTAAATTTCTGGCCGACAGTCTACGCCATCAGTTCGTCAAAGCCATTGTACGCCGTCCCGAGCACACGGTACCTTTTGTCCGTCTTTTCTTCCTTTTTATATTCTCATCGCATTCCATTACATACCTATTTCCTTATCATTTACCAATACTAATTGAATCCGTCTTTGCATAAAAACTTTATCAAAAAAAGAACCCTTGAACATATGAAAGTCAGATGATCGTGCTGCCAACTTTGTCGCTGTGAACTATTTGACCAAAAGCGTTAAAGAAATTTTTATTACAGCCATGAGCATATTCCTGAACGGCTCAACACATTCGCCGGATAAAAAGTTTCCTGACGTCGCGGCAGATACGGTGAATCTAAATAAATTTTTTTACATTATATTGAAAAAAAAGAAAAAAGAAAAAAAACAAGTAACAAACGAGAAGTTGTGTAGGATAGCAAACGTTATGAAATTATAAACCACTTTTAAATCATGAGATTTTTTATATTGCGCTCTGGGAGAATTTCCTCTCAAGTTTCGTTTATTTCTTTCCCAGATTTCTCTTTAATCGAAAAAAAACATTGTTTTCTGATAACACTCTCACAAACACTCTCAACATCGAAAAAATGAAGAAAATTTCTGTTCAGGACTTTGCGACGAGTCTGCCGTTCAAAGCGACGTCTGACCGCAAAAGTTCGGCGTCTTCCTATAGCATTTCGAACATTCTGGACAAGAAGGAGAATAGTCCCGGTGCGAGGTACGTTTTCCGAGTTTGGAACTTTCGTTTCAGACTAAGTGTCGAGCTGAAAATTTATATTAATCGCCTTCGAGCTGTTTAAAAAATAGAAATTTGTGTAGGCTGTGACTATTAAAAAGTTTTCGTGGAAGCTTTTAAAAAATTTAAAGTTTATTATGGTATTTTGTTGTAGATGTGAATTAGCTGCTAATCGAATCCGAAGAATAAACTTAAGCCAAAACGTTATAAGCTCAAGTTTCGAGTGAAGATCTTACCGAAATTCAAAGTTGAACTCTCAAAATGGGACTTTTCAGCAGCAGCTCTTCCGCAGCGAGCGAAGAAGACAACGACGTCGGCTCTCCTCGATGTGAGTCTGTCGACGAACACAACAGGTGCCCTTTCCATATCATTCACTCTGGCCAGTTTATTTCGATGAGCATGAAAGTCTGAAGAACGTGTCTTTTTGCAGAAAACGCTTTCAAAACTCCTCTAAGGCTTCATAGGAAAATTTAATATTTGATTTTTGATTATGTCGAAGCCATTTTCGGTACGTTTCAGCGGGTCGGATGCTGTCTCGAACTTCTGCTCGCAGTTCATTTTCCCTCCAACGGTGACGTCACCGTCGTCGGTTGAGTCTTCTGCAGCCACGCCGACGACGTCGAATCCCTTGGCAGCCATGATGGCCGGTGGACTTGACCCTCAAATTCAGGTGTGACTTTCCGTCCTTAGAAAACAACGAGTTCAAATATAATTTCTTATTGTTTTCAGTTTTTTTTAACGGTAGACTAGTCAATCTCGCAAAAAAAGTTTTGAATATAATATTCAACTCAATGCATTTCTCTTTCCTCACCCGATTCGCCTAGATCGCATGTAGAACTGCTTGATGCGTAACGGATGCGAAGCGGCATTATCGAGATTGACCCGACCTAGTACTACTTGCGCGCGTTGGCGCAAAAAAGTAGAGCGAAATCTAGTTTGGCTATACGTTCTATTCAAATGCGGCCGCGACTCTTCAAGCCTAACGACGTGTAAACACAGAGTTGTCGAAGTGAATAATATAGTTTTAAGAAAATCATTTTTTTTTACAAAAAAAAAATTAAATTCTCCTAATTTATTCAGTCTCCTATTTTTGAGATAGAGGGCTCTGACAAGAAAAGTCATTTTACTTTTTTTGCGGTTAGGAATTTCCTAGAAGTTGATCAGATCTCACCTTGATGTACCAGATGAAAATTCTGAAAGTCTCAACCTGCAAAAATCTCTAGTTTTCGAGAAAGAACACAGCAAAGTCAAAGAAAACATTCAAATTCAATCAAAATAGGCCTTATTACTCAAAAACTAGAAAGTTGCGCAGGTTGATACTTTCAAGTCTTCAGTTTAGTACTTCAAAGGATATGCTGACAAGTTTTCAAAATGTTCCCAACCACAAAGTGCAATGACCTCCCTTGTGAAGAAAGTGAGATGAGAAAGAGCGCTAGATTCATATCTCCGGCTCTATCAGCTGTACGACTTTCGAAATATCGAGTAATTGAAGTTTTGGTTCCGTTCAACGACCAATTATCATGTGGGTGCTCCAAGCTCGTGCACAACCGAGGTCCATGATTATCTACGTGGCTCGTATTGCTTATATAACCGCCTCATTACTGCGCCATTGAGCCCCGACTCGAGTTACGTACTCACAAATTACCCCCTTATTGGACAGATCATAATATTGCCCACAAATATAATGTCAATGCGTTAGAGCTCGTGATAACGGCGATTTGAAGCGAAATTCGATGAAAGCAACCAAAAATAGAAGGAGAACAGAGGGACATTTTCAGAACTACATTTTGCTCATGTCGCAACACATCAACAATGCCGCCCTCAACCGAGTCGCACAAGAGAATGGTGAGTCTTTTTTGAAATTGATTTCTTTGAGAATATGAGCGAAGAAAAAATGCATTTGAAAAATTCCGTGAATTAGAATAATTAAGGATCAATTTCGCTTTTTTTTTAAAACTTTTTTTAAATTGTTTCAGACATGAACAACAGAATCAAAAAAATGATTCCGAAGTAAGGTAAATTTCTAAACTTTGAAGTTTGGAATAAAAAAAGAAGGAAAAAAATAATGACGAATTAAAAAAAGATGAAAGTGTTTGTGTTTATTTGGCGTTTCGGAACCACCGTCAAGTCCTGTTTTGGTACTTTTTAAATAGGTAAAAAGTTTATGATTGGGAGAAAATCTGGAACAAAAAAGTTTTTTTGACGGTGCATATTTATTGGGTTCACTAATCTTCAAGATTGCCGCATTTGTTTTAAATTTTTCTCAGATTTTCATGTCGCACTTAAGTTAATTTTTTTTTAAAGCGCAGAAATATTATGAGTTTGTATATATGGCTAAAACAAGTTGAAAGAAATCAGTTTTGAGAGCTTTCTTAATGGTTTTACATCCTTCTTTTTCGAAGAAAGTTGAAATTTTGGTTACGAAACGTCGCCGAAGCTTGCGTCAATTAGTCAACAATGCCGTTGGCCCGTAATAATCACGCAGCTGTTCGCATATCCTAATACTGTATTCACGACTTTTGCCCGACGCGCTTGCATAATCGCGTTCCTGTCAGCCGACCTCATCACATTATACATATAGCAATTAATCGCTTCGTCTTTTGGTCTCATTAATCGTAAAGAAAAATTGATAAAAGAAATCAACAGTCCCTTTTTCTTTCTTTTATTTATCTCTAATGTTTTTCGGTGTTTTTTTTTATTCAAAATGATGTGCGAGTTGACTGAAATTACGAAAAAAAAATAATGCTTTTTATTCTCATTCTTTTTCAGGTATACAAAGCTCTACATAGGCTCCAGTAACTTGATAGTAAAAAATGATAGTTTTGCGAGTTTTTTTTACAAGTGAACTCATCTATTTAACTCTGTTAGTAAGAACGTTTTGAAAGTAGTCTTGAGACCTCTTTGTTACTAAAAACCGATATTTTATAGCTCTAGTTTCTTTCTCAATGTTCAAACTGTCGACAAAACTGAAAATGCGGGCAGGTTCAGACCGATACTTTTCGAATACATCAAAGTTTTGGATTTTTTTTTATTCACACAATAAGTCCTATCTAGTCTCATCAGCTATTTTGCTTATTTGATTCTAATACGATTCCTAGAAACCATATTAACACGATAGTGAATGGTGGAGGGTTACTGTATGCAAAGACAATAAGTGCAATTGAGCGAGATTGATTGGTCGTGCGTCGCGTCGATGGGGCGCGACAGACCTCCCAAAAAAGTATATCGGAGGAAGCAACAGGAAGTCCAATCTTCCCTGCTTTTTTTCTTGCTGAAATTCGTTCCGCAAGCGACCTTCGCGTTCATTAAATGAGACAAATCGAGCGTAATATACGGATGTGTACAAAACTTATGGCGCCACTCAAAACCTACAAATTACATCAAAATCCAAGGACATTTTCGGCGTTTTTTCGTTTCTCAAATCGAGCCGATAACCAATGATGGGTTTGACGGAAATTGGGAGATTTGTTGTAAAAAGTTATTTGCTGGTCAAACAAATAACCAAAAAGCTTTTCTCACATTAGTTTCTTTCTTGTCGCTTAAATTAAACCAATCTCACAAATCGGAATTTTTTCGAGGGCAGACGGTTTTTTTTTCACGGCATTAGAAACTCGCCTAACTTTTCTCACTTCTATTCCGAAATTTCACTGAGCGATTCGGAGGAGCATCTGCTCGTCGCTTTATTGTCTCTCGCCGAAATCGCAACATTTCGAGTAAATTTTCACGCGGCGCTTAATGGGCCTACGGTAGGAAGAGCACACGTGTGTCCTCTGCACATAAAATGGCGATTTTTGCGCCGACAATTGGGGCCATTTGGCCTCAATTCAGCTCGCAACACATTTTGTGTGTGTGAGCAAAATGCGTCTTATCGAAGTGAAATCCAATTTCAAGACAATTTTCGCTGAATCCTTTTGAGGATCGAGCGACTCTTTGAAATTTGATTTCGCGCCATTCATAACACGGACGATAAGCTGGTGAAGAGCTTTTAGCGCCTCATTCTGATTTCGTTACCTTGTTCAATCGGGCTTTTTGATCAAGGAGAAGTCATTCTGAAAGAAGTACGGCAAAAGGGATCCTAACGGAAGAAGGACTGAAAAGGTAGAACAAAAAGTTACCGGTTGTTCTAATCAGTTCAAAAAGATAAACATGGTCAAATTGAGAAAGAAATGAAATGAATGAAAATGAAATTCTTCACGAGGATTTGAAAATTGATCTGTTTTTTCCAGTTATTAATTGATGAAATCTGGGCTGCAACAGTTCCACTTAGAACTTCAAATGAAAAATAGCGTCTTCCAGTGTCTCGAGCGATGAACCCCTTCGGACTGCTGTCCTCCTTGCCGACGTCGCTGCCGTCGTTGTCCCCCCTGGCACGGCTTTCTCATCCTCTGCAGATGTCGCCGAACTCGTTGACGCTCCAGAAAAAGCAAAGCCGACCGACCTTCACTGGCCACCAGGTGAATAGACTAATCGTCGTAAATGGGCATAAATAGAAAAATAGAAATATCTGTTTTTTTGATTAAAGGGTGAAAGGTATTGATAAGTTTTTTTCAGATTTACCAACTGGAAAGGAAGTTTGAACAAACGAAGTATTTGGCCGGGGCCGACCGCGCTCAACTCGCCCAAGAGCTCAACATGAGCGAAAGCCAAGTAAAGGTGAATCTTTCAGAACACCCAGTGACAGCGGAATGTTAATCAGAAATTAAGGAAGTGAACATTTCAAAAACATCATAGGAGGGGCCAAATATCACAAGATTGGGATTTCAGTTTGAAGTTTGGAATCTTCTATGAATCCGCTCAAAAAAGTTCCAAAGCTTTGAAGGAAGAACTTCACAGTCATCTCCAGCAGAAAGTTTTAGTTTTGTAGATTCTCGAAATCTCCCATTTTAACAGGGGGTAATAGATGAGCGGTTACGAAAATTCAAGTTTGTTTTTCAATCTCCAAATTCTAAAATTTCACTAAAAAGACCGTTTGCGTGTACCGAGAAAAAACAAAAACATTATTGAGAGAAAAACACGACCAAAATCCAGTAGATTAGATCGAAAAAAACCAAAATTGAAAAATAAGATTTGTTGAACATAATTTTTTTATATCACTATAAGGAGGCCTAAAAAATTCGAATTTTTCCAAATTAGCTTGCTCTTTTTTCATGTTGCGGGACTTTTACGCCAGTTTCTTGTTTTTTTGTTCGTTCTTTTTTCGAAGATTTATTTTTATCCTTGAACTGTAAGACTTTTGAGAAACAATATTTTTGATGTTCTGCAAGTTATGCCAATTTTTACCAACCTTTCCACCTAATTGCTTCATTTTTCAGGTGTGGTTCCAAAACCGCCGGACCAAGTGGCGGAAGAAAGAAGCGGCGGACAACGCCCTGGGCAAGAGACACGACGCCAAGTCGCCTCTTTCCCCGTTCCTGTGATCCCCCCTCTATTCCATTAATGTTATACCCGTGCGACAAAGTAAATATGTAGCAAAGAACTAATCTATTGCAATACTTGATTCTACCATTCGCTTTCCGAGAGCTTTAAGCAATATTTTTCAAGAAACTCTAGCGGCAGCAAAAATTGACAATAATAGTAGATTTCTACTTGGAAAACATAAAAATTTGATTCGAAATTTGAGAGATGAAAATTTGCCACTAAAGTTTTGACCAGCTTATGAGACGTCGAGTCTTGTTCACTTTTTGATCTCGTGAACGTTTATTTTCTGTTGATCTACCTTTTTTTCCCTTTAATTTAACATTTTTTTATGTATTCACATTGATATTTTTTTCTGCTAAATTTGTATACAAAATGTTTGTGTCTTCCAAACCCCCAAAGTAAATACAAAACAAATTCCCGCATCCATACAAAATGCATTTCGACAAAATAATTCAATGAATAAATTGTTTATTCAGCGCTAAATTACAAATGAAATAATTATCAGACTATTTGTACAGACAGAATGAGAGTTTCTCCCGGATGAAAAAATGACCGTCATACGGTTCTTTGATTTAATTTTCAAGTTTGTTTTTGAGGGTCTGCAAAACCTTCATCAGCATGTCGATGGTAGAAGGCTCCGACTGTTGCTCAATTTTCTGAAAAAAAATGACAGTTAAAGGAGCCTTTCTAGTATAGTTTGAGAGCTCGGTGATTATTGAGTTCCTTTTTCGAGCCTTTAAATTTCAAGCTGCTTAAAACACTTCTGAAACCAAATTACTCAGTTTTCTGAAACTTCAAGAAAGCCATTAAATTTGGTTAAGAACTGAAATATAATGAAAATGAAGTTTTTTTTCAAGCCGCAGTCGCCTCCGTTGAAATGAACTCTTGAAAAAAGAATTTTAATGATCTAAACGAGTATTCTATCAGGCACAAAAGTGCTCCATGTCTCTTTATCAGAGATACTGTTCTTGGAATAATTTATTTCATTTTGATTTTTTTTTATCCTTTTAATCGCTCCGAAAGTTTAATTTTTCGAATTCAGATTTTTGAAAGCAAGGACTTGGATAAGGATGATAGGATGAGTAAGGAAATTTCCAAAATTAAGGCGCATCTGTAGTTCCTAGGTACGCGCCAAGAAAGATTTTTGCAACGAAACTGAATTTTCGGGTTTTCTCGCAAACAACGATGACTCGACTAGAAAGAAAAAAACTTGGGGAAAAGGAACCTTGTGACTGCGGAACTTGGACTTGAGACAGCAGACGTTCTGGGCGCACTGGTCGTACTGCGGAAGACACATACAAGGCGACGTCTGCACGCCGACGTACATGACGCAGGTCGTCGTGAGTGGGTATTGATCCTGGCCGTTGGTCGGGTTGATCGCCGTCGTCAGCGGGTTGGGTTGAGTCACGGGAGCTGGCGTCGTCTGAGAACTCCTCTGAAGGTCAGAAGAAACGGCGCGACTCACTGGAGGCAGCGTCTGCGGCGGCTGAGTCGTGAACACTTGCTGGTATTCCGTTTGCGTGGTTTGAGTTGGCTAAAATATGAGTGATGAACCCCTACCACACCCAAGCATTAAGAAGTGCCAGTGACCTTTTCTTGGGTGATAAAGTTAGTTTGGTTAATGAGGTTAAAAAGGCATTGGATCAACCGAATAATTCATTTTCAAATCAACGACACCACGAATAAATAATCGGATGATTCTCATCTAAGTCAGTTAACTTTTTTCATGCAGTAAAATTTTTCTGAAGTCGGAAGTTTTCTATAAAATTGCATTAAATAAAGATTTTTCATAACGGCTACAATCTTTTATTTCGGAAATGAAGGCTAAACTGACAACATCCAAAATTCACAAAAATAACATTTTTTTGTTGAATATCATGTGAAAAATATATATATATTCTCACACAAGGTCTGCAGAAAGAACGCCAAAAAAATGTTTTTTTCTTTTTTTCTTTCTTCTAGTCTTTATTGTTAGTTTCTTCTGCAAAAATCAAGTTGTAAAAAAATCAACTTTGCAGTTAATTTTGAGGTAGAAAAAAATGATCAGGTTGAAAGTCGTTTAAAATTTTAGATGATTTTTTGTTTGAGATGGAAAGTCTCCTATTCTCATTGATGCTGCGAAAACAAACTGTTTCGGTTGAAAAGGTCGAAAAACGTGCCTGAATATTTCCTTGAGTGTCCTGAGGACAGCCGCAAACTCCGTTGGGGACTGAGACGAGGAGCGTCAGACAGTTGCACGAGCAGCCGCACTGAGGCTGCACCGAACTCGAGTAAGGATCGACGCAGAAGCAGCCCTGCTCCGTGGTGTTGATCGTGCCGACTGGCTGGTAGACAGCCGGAGGCGACGACGTGTACATCGTCTGGGCTGGCGGCGAAGTGACGGTTGTCGGGGCCGACGTCGGAGGCAAGGTCGAAGGGCTCTGCGTCTGGATGGGGAACGAGAGTGGCGGCAAGGTCGGTGGCAAGGTGGTATCTACTGCGGGAGCCTGGAAAGTCTTGTGCTCGGGAACGAAGGTGGTGCGAGTGGAAGGACTTGCTTGGATGCACTCACAAGGGCGATCATTCTATTTGGGCCGGCCAGAGAGCCTTTGATTTATTGCGTGAAAAGCCGAAATGGCTTAACCTAATCTGTCTAGCTATCTAGTTTTTCAAAACAGGCGCTGCAGAGCTTTAGCTTATTTCACAAAATTGGTAGATACGCTTGACGAAGCTTTTCTTATGTTACACTAAAGTTATTCAATAATTTGCAGAGCGCTCTACTGACAAAGTCTTTTTAGCAATCTGTTGCCCCCATCCCTAGAATAGATATCGCCCTTGGTTCATGGTGATTCTCCAGAAAAGCAAAGCGACGGACTTGGGTGTTTTGGCATTGGCACTGGTACTGTGCAGAAGCTGGCCCGGAGATGCGGATCATGATGCACTGACACTGGCCGGGAGACTGAGAAGCTTCACATATAGCGGGTCTTGGACGTCCTCTCAACCTGAGTTACAGTCGGCACGTAGGCTGGAGTAGTGGTGGTCGTCGGCGCCTGAGTTGTCGTGGATGTTGTCGTGGATTCCGTGGTGGTTGTCGTCGACGGCGCCGGCGTCGTCGTGGTTGTTGTAGGCGCGGTTGAGGGTTGGTTTGTTGTGGAAGTCTGCATTTTATTCTTCTAGTTGAGATTTCATTTTGGATGTATCTTTGAGAGCTTTCCGAGTTTTGGAGTGGAGAAATATTAATATTAAAAAAATTTCTTTCCTTCTACAGTTTAGTGCATGAGTTTTTTTGTTGGATGAATTTTTTTCTTCCAAGCGAGTATCTGTGCGAGCCAAAATTTTTTAAAACAACGTTTTGAGACTGGTAACTGAGTGACCCAAAATTATTTCGTAAAAAATTGAATGAAATGTGTTCGAAAGTGGTTTTTTTCCAAAACATTTCTCATTTTCGCCTCGACTAACTTCTTCTGCTTTTTTTTAATTCCTTAACTTTTTTATGAGAGAATAGCAAATATTAAAACCCAAAAAAGCTACGTTTTTTCATAAAAAAATTTTCAAGTCTAAAATAAATATTGAAAAATTCAGTATTTCCCTGTGAAGAGGCTGAAAACATGTTAATTTTCAAAAGAAAATCTCACGTAAGCTCCCTGGTCACCGCACTGGCATTGGTATTGCGGGTTGCCCTGGAAAACAATCTGCAGACAGGCGCACCTGGAATTCTCTTTCTGGTTTCCAACACCTGGAAAAAGTTTACCTCGCTTGGTCGGTCTGAACATTGGTCAGCTCGTAAGCGAGGTCCTGCGACTGCTGCTGCTCGGCGTTCTGGAGGGTGCCACCGGACGCCTAAAAAGCCGTTTCGAGTGTTTGCTGGCCGAGACCGACCTGCGGTTTCGCACAACTGCAAGTCAGACCTCCGTTGTTATTTTTCATACAGCGGCATTGCTGCCGCTTCGCCCTCACTAGGAGGGGCTCTTCGGCCAGAGCGATCTGCAAAAATAACTACTCATTTTCACAATCATTAAAATTATGCAGGGATCGAAAAAGAATACATCATTGATTTTTGTTGATAACTACACTATCGAATTTTCTATGTCAAGTGTAGCGGTTCTCGGACATTGGTAACGCGAATTAAATGCAAATCGGACATGTCGGGGAATTTGTAGTGACCCCTTTAGTAGCGTCAGTACTTTTAAGTGATCCCTAGAAGTGCTGCGAAACGTCCGGAGAGCGTTCGGTTATTGTTACCGAGGTCCGAGGTTACAATTCAAATAGCTTCAATAACAAAAACACGGAATCGATGCAGCAAAGAGGAAAAAAATAAAACTGTCCAAGAAGAAGCTTGTAATTTTTTTCATTAATTTTTTTTTTAAATAAATTCAAGGAAAGCGTACCGGATCGACAATATTCAGCTGGGTCTTAATGTAATATAATTTCTGAGCTGATGAGGTTTAAAAAAAGAGATTTAACCATGGAAGAACGAATATAAATTCCTGAATATCTACTCAGAGTTGGTAAGGAATTCTCCCTTTGTTCATTCTCAGATTTGAAAAAAACCAAAAAAATTTTTGAAACTTGAATTATTAGATTATTTGAATAAAAAAAGTTCCCTGGACCTTTACTGTTAAACTATTCGATTACTATGTGCTATTTACCATCCGAAATACCATCCAGGAAAAATCCAAGATAAAAAAAAAATGGTATCTAATAAAAACTTTAGAGGCGAAACGTGGTAAAACGTAGTCTCAAGTCATAGTTTGAATATTAGTTTTTGCCAAAATCTCGGAGTTTGTTGAAAATCACACCATTGAAAACCTGCGAAATTCGGGCAAGCATGAGCGATTGAAATTTTGTTTTATTAAAGAATATTAGCTGGCATTCAAGGCTAATCAATATTGAGAAAAAAACCTATCGAAAGCTTTGATTTTTTTGAAACCTTGGAAGGCTCAAAACACAAAAAAATAAATTAGAAACTTTCATTCTGATTTGATGAGTCTAAAGCATCCGCGAAAAAAAGTTTCCGACTTTGAACTATATTAATATACTAAAGACACCTTTTTTTCGAGCGTCCCGAGGTCGCCAAGAGTCTCCTTCGATCTGCGTCAACATTCCAGTCTCCTCGAGAAAATGATGGAACACAATATTTCACAGTATGACTTCCCTTTTATGGCAAATCTTGCGGATTTCCTTTAGCTAGTTTTTCTTTCATCATGCTGTGAAAATTCTAAAGCTCAAAAAAAAATTGAGCATTTTTTTTTACAAAAAGAAAAAGTTTCCGGCGGTCAAAACCAGGCTTCAATCCAAAAAAAGTTGGCGACATGGTTCCAGGAAAAGAAAAAGTCCGGCGAGTAGCCAGAAAGGATCGAATTTCCTGCCGGATTACAATTGTCCTTGTTGCTATTCTGTGCAAACAAATGCTGAAGCCACTTGGAGCGTCTACGGGATGAGAAAGGTTCATTCTTTTGACGACCGGATATCCGGTATTCCACCGCCTTTTCAACGTTCAGTTTCTTTTCATTGCGAAAAAATTACCCAAGAACTCGGAAAGACAATATCCTCTAAGACCCCTGAGAATCCTCTGAGACAATATCCTCTAAGAAAAAGAATATGTTTCAATAAAACTAGCAGAACAGAATATTCCAGCATACACGAAGAAAATCGCAACAACCCTATTCAAAACTCAAGTTTGGATGATGAGAAAGTAAAGTAATGCAAAAAGAAAAATAAGGTACAGCTTTGAAAAAAAAGTTTGAAAATAACCACAAACCTGCGCTAATGCGAAAAGACAAATAGCAACAGCAGCGAGTTTGCGCATCTGAAAAGTACCAAATACAGAGCAGAAAAATCAGTCAGAAAAGAACTCTAAGTTAAGTTGGTCGGTGGCATTCCGGCAGACGGCCGCCTTTTGTAGACTCCGGCCAACAGAGGGCGGATCCGGAAAAAAAGCCGCCAGAGGCTGCTCCGGTCGTACTGTCGCGTCGCGCAAACATTTTCTCAATCCACGGCCTACAGTATCTCGGGATATCTACAAAGACAATGATATTTCTTCGATTGTAACACCGAAAGCAAAAAACAACATGACGGAAAATCTTTTGTTTGTTTCTGAAAAAAAAAACTCTCGACCAAATTGAGTTTTCGAAGTTTTACAAATATAGGATAGTTTTTTGAAAATTTTGAAAAAGCGGCCCAAAACTTGTTCTTTTGTAGTTAATCCTTCCCGACTTGTAAGGCGAGATAGGTAGATTGACAGGAGTGAAGCGTTGCGTGTGCGAAGCGGCTTTTTGGCGGGTAACTCGAGGTCAAACGAAATTGTAAAAAAATGTATAAAGAAATTTTTTTATTATTTTTTTAAACTTTTATTCGTTCAACTGCATCTTTTTCAATCCTATAAAAAAATTATAGTTTATTGAAAGCTGTCGAAAAGAGAAAATAATAGCGGCTCGCATTTGACACACGCAACCCTTCACCCATGCCAATCAACCGATCTCGCCTTTGAATTTGGTAAGGACTGACTTAACTTTCTTTGTCCTAGTTTCATTCAAAAACTTTTATAATTTATAGCTCCACCCTTCTTTTTTTCAAGCAAAACCCAGTATAACATATTCGAAATCTTGCTCAACATATAGAGGTGCCAAGCTAAAACGCTGTTTGCCAGGACTCAAGAGTAGATGTTCATCAAATCTTCCAGTTTAGAAAAGAAAGAAATATTTTGAAGCGATGTACCTGTACCATTGCTTTTTGGAAATGTAAATTGGCTCAATCGCTTCTCGAAATGCACTTTACAGATAACTCGTGTCTCATGGCCAATATTGTTGACGTGTGCTTCATAGAAAAGATGCTCGCTGACACCCGGTTTCCTTCCACGCGTGATGAGACATCCAATACTCGGCACAAACGAAGCTCCCAAACATGTTCACGTAGATCGAATATTGCCGATGGCCCGGCGGCGGTCGGCACAGCGACGAAACTTGATCCGCCGCTCCTTGGACCTGATACTGTCCGATTTCCGGCTCTTTTTATTCTTCCAATGCGTGCTCTTCTCTAGGCATCAAAACAGACAAAAAGTAGTCCCCATAGGACTGTGTCCGTTTTGATGTATTCTTGTAGAAGAAGTTGGAAAAGCGATAAGCGGTACATAGAACTTATTTCTAAATTGTTGCGATAATCGTAATATCGCTCCTTTTTTGAGCATTGCTTTCAGCACGCGTTGACCTTTCAAAAGCCTTCTTGCAAATTAATCAGCCTAAATTTTCTTGAAGTTAATTCGTAGTGTTCACAGTTTCGATAGCTCGAGAAGCTCTTCCAAAATTATGATTTTTGATTTTGAAAAAGAAACGAAACTTGCAATAAGTTTTGCTGCGGAGAATTCTCGTTTTAGATTTTCGAGTCCTAAAGCGAATCCTTTCCAAACGTTCCCCTGCTCAGGAAATTTGTTTCTGGCCAAGACGTCAAGTAGAGCTCACGTGAAGAGAGCCGCGAAGACAATTTTGTTTTTATGGCCACCAACGACAAATGCAGCCATATTGGGCCGCTTTATGAGGACTTCGGAACAACACCGTCGTTGTTCGGGTAACAGAAATCTTATTTATTTTTTCTTTCCTTTTGATCTAGTTCTTCCCGAGCAACTCCTCTCGAAATAAACGTGATACTTTGTGCTTCTTCGACGTTAAAGCATGAGAGTGGCTCCAAAGGAAATTGCACAGAAAAAAAAAACATTTGAAGCTTGAACGACGTCATGAGAAATGATTTAAGGCTGGCGGATGTTGCCAGCATCCTTTGACTTTCCTCAGCCATTGATCACAACGACGTGGCCATGAGGAACCGGCCAAAAAGTGAACACAATGTTCGCACTCGCGATCTTTCGAGTCAGTTGTGTTCGCCACTCGGCAAACACCTTTTCATCATTCAAGAACCGCCGAAAGTCTGGAGTTCCACTATTTCCAGGCTCTTTGGGGTTAAATTTTCTGTCTGAAAAAAAAACTGATAATGGTCACATCTATTTTCCATCCACGGTTGCAATCTTTATTTTTATGCTTTGCAACTGAAAATTGAAAGCTTCAAGTAGTTTTATGGCTGCAACTAAACTAGAAAGAAACATATAAGTAATTCTGGACAAGTGCGGCCGAGTCGTAATTGTCCGGCAAACGTGAGCCAGTTAACTATCAACTTTCAACCGCCTCTGCGAGAAACTCGGATCTCTGCGGATTCTCACACAAACTCCGACGCTTTTAGATACTTTTCGTTCTGTTCTATCCTCAAGCAAAAATCTCAAAACTAAAAAATTAGTTTTCGTGATTTTGTTTTCATATTCAACGCACCGCGACTTGAAATGCTGTGCTCTCCCTTGGAAGGACTCAAAGCGTCGTTGGAATCAAGTCTGAGCCCTCTCCAGAACAAGAAGCTCGTTCTAACACACTTCACGATATTAATGAGCTCAAGTCGTCTTGAGTCGGGTATTCTTCGAAGAGGCCGTGAAGTATCGACTTAATCAACGCGATATTAATCACTTTCAAGTTTGTGAGCTCAGAATGAATTTCTTTTCGAAAAAGCTGTGACTTCGGTTTTTTTTTAAACTTTCATTCAGGCAGCTAAATTCAAAAATAGTTTGAAATTTTTCCTCAATATTTACTGCAAAGTTCTTTTTACGATCAAAACTCCAAAACAGAAACAATTTCCACTAAGAAAACCTAATTTGTTTCATTAAGACAGTCAAACTCGAAGCCTTCCATGAATATTTCATCGACTCAAGAGGTGTTGTCTTCAGCTATTCTCCATCCGCACTTTGCGCTTCTTCCCCAACCGGCGTTTAAAACACTTTTTCTGCGTTTCTCTCGACTTGGTTTCATTGCCACTTTCCCAAACGCTTTGTTTTTCAGTCAATGTTGCGGATTTGCACACAAAAAAGACAGTTTTTTGATGGCGGTTTGTCGCGTTTTATTTCTGCTCCGCCTATGTTTTTCACTCTTTTTCCCGTTTGAACGATTACGTACGTTCTTTCCCATCTATCATTGTTTTTCGATTTTTCAAAGCTCTTACTGCCGCGATAAGGCTATCACAGCTATTTTGTACACATTGTGAGAAAGAGCTTACAAAGGGCTTACGAATGTTCTTCGTCTTCGATGACTTTGTGTTGCAACTTTAATCAATAGTTCGTGAAATCAAAATTGAACAAATACTTGTAGAGAGAACCGAGCTTGTGGAAGAAGCTGTATCAGAAAATAAGTTCAAATAAAATTTGATCTAACATTTTTTTATGAATAAGACGTCCGTTCTTTAAAAAGACTAGATAGATAGTTTCACCTGGCTGAAATTTCGAGATTGAAAAATGGCGTTTTCTTTTTTTTAATTGTTTCCGCAGAGAGAAAATCGGCGGGAACACATTAAAACGTTTTCTTCAGCTCATAAACTTTTTTTGAAAGCTCAGCGTTTTTTTCAAAAAGCTAACTGTTGTACAGAAAAAAATCTCATCAATTCTATTTTTTTTCTTTTTTTGGGCTTGTGAATTTTTTTCTCAATGCGCCAATTTTGTTTAAAAGCTTATTTATTATTTACTTATAGTTTCAAACTTAAGAAATTAAGTCTACTTGATATTTTTGACATCAAGATCCGAGCCGAAAATTGGTTTGCATAGGAAATATTACTACGCGGTTATTGAAAGAATGAAAATTGACATAAAAGTTTTGCAAGAAAAGACGTTTTCATTTTATTCTTTACTTCTCGATAAAAAAATCAAATGAGGATGATAAACTTCCAAAAAAAAGAGGGAACTCTTAGAAAAATTTACAGCGTGAGAAATTTCGTGTTCACGCGCTCCATCACTCGAGACAGCCGACAAACCTTTTAAAAAACAGTTGGGTGTAACAGCGCAGAGAGCAGCGATCCTTTTGGCCCGTCGCCAATAGAGCCTTCGCCGCCCCGCTTTCGCGGTCCTTTTTTCAACTCTGAAAGCCGAGATCTTCACGTGGTTTCTTCTACGCAAGCGTTCAAAACTTCACTTTTCTAATTTTTTTTTTCTACGCTCGAGTTCTTCAAAATTTCAAGCTTTTTCGAATGAGCTATTCCTTTTCTTTCATATTTTCGAGAAAATTTTTCGTTGCATTACTTATTTTTAGAACCAAGTCCTGTCTTCCATGTTAAGTTCTAATTTTTCTCCGTTTGCTAACGTTTTTTTTTCTAGAATTCGATGTTTCCTATTTCTTTCGCGTCATTTCCGTTTACCAATCAGAGCTGTCTGAGGGTCACCATGTCTTTTTGAGTGTTTTCCACATTTGCAAAAAGAAAAAAAAATGAACAATGATTTTTCGACTTTCTGCCTGATCGAATTATGCCTGGCGCTTGTTACGAGGGCGGCTTCCGCACGAAAAAAACAAATTTGTCATGATTTATAATCCTATTTGGAAAAAAGGACAGTCCAAAGTTGTGAAAAAGAGGTGAATTATGTAGTGGCGGTGAAAACAAACGATTCACCGCTGCCGCCATTTGCATTGACGCGGCAAAGCGAGGTTTCCGAATCTTTTCTCTGATCTCAACTTAATTGAAAACCTCGCGATAGGACCTTGTTCCATCTATTTTTTTGACTCCGATAGGTTTACTTTCATCATTTTGTCTTTTCATAACTCGAAGATCTCTGAAAAAAAAAGCTTTGAAAGTTGATCTCACCTGTGTCGCGAGCAAAGCGATGATGCAAAAGATTCAGTGACGCAAACTTTTTCATCTTTCCTTCAATACGTCATCATAAAAAGGAACTTTTCTGAAATTTCGCATAGAATATTTAAAAAAAAAATGATGAACGGCTTTTTTGATCGAGGAGGGATTTTTATTTTCGAAAAGCAATAAACTCCAGCCAAAGAAATTTCCAGTTCCACGTTTTTTTATCTTCCGTATTAATGTGTTGAAATTTAATTCGTTTATCGTTTTATTTATTATTTCTCCTAAATTTCGAAGCTACTCGAGAAAAAAACAACTACCATATAACAAACGTATAGAACTTTTTTAAATCAAAAATAAAGTACTGCTTTTAAAAAAAAAACCATCAATCACGCCTGTTTAAGGTGGCCGGTCGTATTACGGTAGTTTGGATAGGTTTTTCAATAATAAAATGAAATCTTGTGTACTTTTTGTGACGTAACTTACCTTGAAACCTCGAGAAATAGGTCCTTAACGAGTTGCAAAAAAAAAGAAAATTTTTCCGAAACTGACTGCGCAATATTGACCGGCCGATGGCCGCCGTAGTACTGTCTCAAACATGCGTGTCAATAAATCAAATATTTCTGTTAGCTAATCTCAAATTAAATGCGCGTTGTTCACTAGCAAAATAAAACATTCCCAAATAAATGGAAATTTTCGAAAGAAAAAGGGGTCTTTTTAGCCCACAGCGTTCTAAAGCGGGGTTCCCGCCCCTTTTCTGAAAAGCATGCGGACGTTGCATGGGTGGGCGTGGCTAACAATCGTCTTTTTCGCGTCGTCATTAAGAGTCCGGATTTTTTGATTATTTGAAGGCTAGCATTTTTTTTTCCTGACATTTATAGTTTCCAAGTGTTGCTAGTCATTTTCTATAACTCTCTTAAAATTTCGCAGTTTATTTTCTTGTGGTTTGATTGGTTCAAAGGACTACATAATTGTTCTGTTCACGAAAGTCGAAATTTTTAACTCAGGTTTGATTTTGTATTCTTTTTTTTCCTGTTTAAGTAATTGAAAACTGATAATGTGATCGATTCCTGGAGTTGAAATTTCGATTTTCGGTTTTGTCTCTTAGGTACAGACCAATTACACCTTTTTTTGAATTTTTCGTCAAGTCGAAATTTTTCTCTTTTGCGCGGACACTGACAGCTTTTTTTTTCTTGGTTTATTAGTTGGAAACTGATATTTTGATCGATTCTTGGAGTTGGAATTTCGATTTTCGGTTTTGTCTCTTGGATACAGTATTTTCTTTTATAAACAACGTTTCGGCACATAACCGAGCTATGGACACTTCAAAAACTTTCTAAAACGTTTAAAAACATTAATTAAAAATTTACGTGCATAGAAAACAAAAAAAGATTTCAAAAAACAATCGAAAAAAGTTAATAGCATGTAAATTAAAGAAAAAAAGCACCTTGATTTTTGATTGACAACGCTCCAAGTTACGCGCTCCATTGAGAATAGTTTGCGCCTCTTTTCTGCGTGAACCCCGTTTTAGAACGCTGTGAGCCTGATCAATCAACTGATGCTAACAGGTGTTCTTTTTTTGATGGAATTTTAGAAAAAAACTAACCGAAGTGAGTTTTGAAAAACAAAAAAATATTTTTTTAAGTGGAGCTATAAATCTAAATATCAATCTATTCTACTCGACGAAATTATTATCACATTTTTTTCAAAGTTTTGGATCAAATAATATATAATATACATAAAAACAATACTCCGTCATACAGATTTTTTAACTCAAATTTTGCGTTCAAAGCGCACAAAAGGTGATTTCGCAGTAATCTATTCGAAGAAATGAATAAGCTTTTTTTATATGAGTATATTAAATAATTATATTTATATAAATATTTGCGATCGTTATCGCACGCGAGAAAAAAATGGACTCCGACGGGCATGCTGGAAAAAGTCGGTCGGTTCGGCCGGTCGGTCGGTCGGTCGGTCGGTTTGGAAAAGCAGACCACGCCACAATTTTGCTCCATGGAAAATTGAATTTCAGACTTTTTTTCCCTTTTTCTTTATTTTTCCTTTCTTTCTATCATATCAGTTTTCTAGGATATAGGACACATGCTCCTCCTTCCGAACTGAACTGTTCCTTATTTATCATTGTTTCCCTAGGAAATTTTTTATATTTTGTTGGTGGTAATTGTGTTGCTCGCCTTTTTTGTGAGTATTCTACACATTATTTCATTTTCCGAAGACTTATGATTTTAAATTCTACTCATTTAGTTATATGAAGTTATTTTGGATGCAAAAAATAAATAAGAATTTTCAAAAATTGAATCATTTTATAATTTTGAATGTAGTAATCATCGTATTTTGTTAACGAGAACGATACAGTTGAATGAAAATTAGCGAAAACTTTTTCAGTAAAATTTAAAAAAGGAAGAAAAATTCAGAAAAGAAAAAAAGTTGGAAATTCGAAGTGTTCCATGGAGCAAAACTGCAGCGCCGCCTAGTTTTCCAAGCTCACTAAGAATAACTGACGAGATAAACGCGAGTTCGGTGGCGGTACATTGACGAACTCGCAAACATCTCGCTTTTTTCTAGGCGCGATCCCGCATTTCTCTCGGCGCGACCTCGCATTTTTCTTGGCGCCATCTCGCATTTATCTCGCATTTCGGAAATTTTCAAATTGCGAGAGAAATGCGAGCTCGCGCCTAGAAAAATGCGAGCTCGCGCCCAGAAAAATGCGAGACCGGCGCGAGAAAAAAAGCGAGATGTTTGCGAGCTCGTCAATGTACCGCCAGTGTCTCGCGTTTATCTCGGCAGTTATTCTTAGTGCTGACCGACCGACTTTTCCAGCATGTTAAAAAGCTTTCTCTGTCATACAGTTTTTTTCCTCTGACGTCTGCGTATTGACATCTACGAGGTCATCACTGTGATAAGGGCTGTGACTTTTTGGTCTTTCCAATGGGGAATAAAAGCTTCCTGGTTTTCTCTGGCGTAACCAATAATGCACAGTTCATTTTTCTTTCCTAAAATCTAATAATCCTTACTCAAGCTGAAATGAAAGTTTTTAAACTTTAAATCCACTTTTGTTGTACTTAACTCATTAAGGTTGTCTTTTTTTGTTCTTTTCTAATCGCTCGGAATTTCTCGTTTTTGCTAATGAGGTCGTTTCAGGTTCAAGCTGCCGTCTCCACGACCAATTTTCTACCGCAGCGAGTCGGAAATGAGCCCTGGCGCGGCTCGAACGCTGCGGGACCGTTCTCCACGTCTTTCTGTACGTTTGAAAATTTTATTTGAGATTTAAAACTGAAATATGATCAGTTAATGTTCCTTTCAATATTGAGCTGGTGAGTAGAAACAAAATAAAGCTGATTGGTTTTTTTCTTTTGAACGTTTTCCCAGTATTTTCTGATGAGATCCTTCTATTTCTTCGATTTTCCAGGTTTTCAGATGGTTGAAAATATTCAAAGAGCGTGATCTTCTTTTCTGAAAATAGAAGAAGAATCATTTTTCATATTTTTCTGGTCATTTGAAAGAAGTTTTACTTTGTAAGAAGGTTTGAAAAGGGTCAACGAAACTTCAAATTATGTCCTTGCTCTTTTTAAACTTATTAGGTCTGGGAGGCCGTTGGAGAAATGTTCCTCGAAACTTTCATTTACTCTTGGGAACTTTTAATTGTCCAAGACGTCTGCTCCGTTGAAAATAGTTCAAAAACTCTATTTCTTTTTTTATTTTCAAAAAAACTTTTTGATCGAAATATCGTCAAAAAGGCACTTATTTTTATTTTTTACCCCCTAAATACTCGCTTTGTTTAGAATTCCTACCAGCTTGTGGCAAATTTTTTATAAATGTTCACTTGTCAAGGATTCTCTCAATTTCTGCCGGAGATCCCAAAAGTGAAATCTTCCATATTTGCTGCATCGGTCGAAAAAACAGCTTCGTTTATTTCGTGTTTTCACACCAACTCACTCATAACCCAATTTTGGCCATGCCATCACAACACGCCCAATTTGGCTCCAGGCTTCATTGATATTTCCTTTTTTTTTCTTTCTACTATTATTTTAATTATATGGCACCGTGAAAATTCCAGAAGCTCATAAATTGGGGAAATATAGAGAAAACGTGTCATATAGTATCTTTTGCTGTTGCGGAACCTGGTTAATAGAGTATCTTAAAGAACGAATCAAGTTTTTTTTTGTTATTATATTAAACTTTCTTCTAAGTTTTACTCAGTATTGAAATTCCATAGTTTTCGAAGAAAATCAGTAGTTTCCGTAATTTTAGAGGTCGTTCTTCAACCTGACTTCTTCGTACGCAAACTATCCACAGCATATTGTTTCTGTCATTTTTTTTTCACACCCGTCATTTCTGACCCTTTTCTTGCTGAAGCTGAAAAATTGACGACGTCAATTACAGCGGAGAAAATTACAATGGCATAGGAACAACGGCTTCTCAAATATTCATACGGAATATGTCGGACGAACCTGCAATTATTCCAATGGTCTTTGCACTATCCCCAGTTCGAGTTGAAATTCCGCATGAGAATGTAAATTTGAGGTTTTTCACACACTTTTCTTTCAAAGAAGAGTCGGTCATTTTTTGTTTTGTGAAGAAAATGCAATTGCGAAATCAAATTTTAAGGTGGAAATGGGCCGAAGCCGCGATTCGGGATCGCCATCGTCTCCTAACGCCTTCCATCGCGTCTCTTTTTCAAGTAATTTTCATTTTCTTTTTTTTCAATTAAAAAATTTCAAAGAGTGCCATTTTTAGACTTTTTTCCTCAGTTTTTTTAAGTACAGTTCATAATTTTCATAGACTTGAAGAGAGAAAAATGTAGTTTCCACCGATTCTTCCAATTTAATCCTTGGTGTTTGGAAGTATTATATTATTCGATTGGCATGAAAAACTGTCTGTCGGTTTTGAGCTATTCACAGTTTTCTGAATTTTCCCCTCTTCGTTCAAATTCGTATGCCAGTTTAATTGTTTTTGATGGACATGTGTGAATCTGGCGGTTCTTCACACCAATAACTGAGAAGATTGGGATTTTTGGGATTCTCGGCAGTCGTTTTGGCAATTACACGACCCAGATTCGGTTGACCGTCAAATACATTAAGTTTTGACCTATTTCCTCCTTTTCGACTGATTTTCTAAACTGTGATTGCCTCTTTTTTATGTGGCGCACCGGTCGGGGGAAAAAGATCAAAAAAGTATCTTTTATGGTCCCCATTCCTCCGTGTTCTTCCCTATAGAATTGCCGTATTTGTTCAACTGTGCTTGGGAAATTTTGTCCTTTCTGTCCGATACAAAAGCCTTGACTTCTATCCTTCACCTGCACCGATTTATTAGCTGACAAAATTTTCTTTTTTCCAGTTTCTTCCTTTTTTCTTTTTTAAAGTAGTTTTTTATTATTTTTTCGGCACTGAGACTGTGATCCTTTTTCGTCATTTTTTCCTTTTGAGGTGCTGAAACGGACATCTTGATTGTAATTCTATGATCTGAAAATCGACATTTTTTTAGAAAATATTTTCATAGATAGTTTTCGTAGACTTTTGAAAATCGCTATATTTTCTCATTCTCACAGGAATTATCGTCAATTATTTGTTTCAAAAGCAATTTCGGAAAAGACTCGAAATAAAGAATGTCTTGCACAAGATGTTCAACTAGAGTCTTATATAAACAAGAGACGTTAGATTGCGGAAGCGAAGGTGTGTTTTCGTCGTGTTGTTCTCTGGAGCAATATCTCTTGGGATCGGACCAAGCTCATGAGAAGTTTTGTTTTTTTTTCTTCGGTCGCCACATGGCCTTCCGGATGAAATTTTCTCGAGCGGCCACGAGGCAATCTGACGCACCTGAGCGCCTGCTGTTTTCGGATCCATTTTTTGTTGCTTTGGATCATCGTCAATAAATAGGCCTCCGATCGCACGGCTGTTGGACCTCTCTCTTTCTCGTCTCCAACAAATTAGCTATGCAGATATCGCTGTGCTCGGCAGCGAACTGGAAAAATGAAAACAAAGTTTCTCCGTTGATGAAAGCGTAGGATTCATGCATAAAGGAAGGCGTCTCCTGTGGTACTCCGTCGCTTCTTGACTTCTGGGCGGACAAAAACACTGAAAGGCCTGCCCTGAAGAACTCATTGATCCAATAAGTTCGGGGCCAGACGCACAAACGTTGCAAAAGAGGCCTCGAAATTGCGTTTTCATTTGCGGCCGCCACAGATTTTCAGCACGACGTCGCTTGCCCCTCATTCTGATCTTTTACATTTTTTTCGCGTCTGAGTGTTTGTCCTTTTCCGGAAGTTCCTTCCTAAATGGTCAAGAGCAAGCCGAATTTCTTGATTTTTTCCCTGATCACTAGAAATGAGGTTAAGCTTCTCAATGAGAGATACCAATAGGTCGATGTTCATACTCGATGCCATCTTTGTCCATCAACATGCCGTTTATCCTCTAGAAAAGTCTCTCTTCTAGCCAAATGATGCTCCGACTCTGGAAATAACGAAAAGCGTCGCCTAATTCCAATGAACTCCTTTTTATCTCTTTTCATGAGGCCCAGTCTCTTTTTTTAGCATTCAAATTGTCATGCAAAAATTTCATGTGGTGGTGAAGCCCATATTAACCCCAAAAATTTAGTTTTTTTTTAGTTTATTTTTTTCTTCGCACGTGTTTTGCTTTGAGGATTAGGCTGTGCCTGCCATCTGTGTCCGATCTACTGCCAACTTGGACATTTCAACTTTTTTTTGTTGATAGAATCCTGAAATAGATTAGCCCTTACTGGCATTTGTTTTTCAGCGCGTATTTGAGCTCTTTCAAGTTTACTTTTGAGAGCAAATCCGATAAGAAAGCATCTTGTTATATGACAATAGCTTGAATTTTGTTTTGATTGAATACAAACTGAAAATTTCGCGTCGGAAGTCATAATATTTTCGCTCTCTCAGATGAGAATGGAAGTATTCTTTGCCGAAGAGAAAATGTAGAAAATTCCAATTCCTGTGTTATTCATGCTGAATTTTCCGTGGAGCTAGCAAATATTATATATCTACAGAACGATCAAAAGCCGAAAATAAAGGATTTTTTTTTCGACGTTGGCACTCGTAGAGAAGTGACCTCGTGGTTAAAGAGGCGATGCAAAAATGAGATGGGAAGGAGGAATAAATTGTCCATTTGGGTTGATTGTTTTGAGTCTGTGCCTTCGAGACAATCCCCGTTGCATTTTGACAAAAAATTTTTTGTTTTTTTTTCTGTTGTCCATTCCGTTTCTTTAGCTTTTTTGGAATTCCATTCATCCACCTCTTTTTCCCGTCTCCTCCACTTGTATTTTTGAAGTATTTCTTTTACTTGCTGCTGAAGACAGGCAGAATATCTTGTTTTCACCCATTTATTTCCTTTTCGCACTCATTTCCGGTGTCTTCAAACGTTTTCAATTACTGTCTCTTTCTCTTATAATTGAACAGGAAATTATCTTCTTCCATGGAAAATGTAGGATAATGAAAGTGAGTAATGAAATAAAATGGGTTTTTTGTTAATTTTATATTTTCTATATATGAAAAGTTACACCAGACTTGCTTGAGCTTCTCATCTTCGAGTCTGAAAAATCGTAGGAGTAGTATGAATAATAATTTTCTGGCCAAAAATTGTTCCTCGTTTACATTGGATAGAGCAGGAACAAGAAAAGATCCAAGGTCAGGCTTTAAAAGGGAAAAACAGAAGGTAATAGTTATTTTTTCGCTGAAAATCTTCATTTCTAAAATTTATGTTTAAACTTTCGAATGAATATTTTTCTTGCTGTTAATTCTCTATATTCAAAGTATTTTATTTCAAAGAAGAGAAACGTATTTTTCTGTCGGTATCTGAAGTTTATTTTTTCCTCGCTTAGGAAGATGAGAAGCCAAAAAGTTTATTTTCTAAAATTTGAAGCTTGAAGTTGTCATTAGCCTAGATAAGGTCGGCGATTTCGACGAGTTCAAAAGTTTTTTGTTTAAATTCAAATAATTATTTGAAAATGTTTTGAATTGTCGGAGAATTAAGCCCAATTATAGGGAGAAAGTGTGCTCATTTTAATTTTAAAATGAAAAATATTCGCACACCTCTGGTAGGGCTCAAGCCAAGTTTGAAAAACCTTTGACTGATAAAACCGGTCGTAGAAGTTCTCTTTCCTGCGGTTATGGTAGGTTGCAGACGCGTGCCCACCGACGCTTGCCTCGCGGCGCAGCGGCATGTCCGATGGCCACATGCAGAGGACCTACCACGAGGCGATGCGCCAGCGCCGGACCAGCCTTCCTGCCAACAGCTTCTCCGTCAAGCAGCCGGTCCGTTATTCCTTTTCCCCTTATCTGATAGTGACTCATGCTTCTACTTTCTGAGTATTCAGGAATTGAGGAAATGCATAGGATAGTCGCCAAATCAAGGACATTTCTTAGAATGTCGATGGAACCTCAGTAAGCACATGATGTCCCAAAGAAAATCTGTAAAAAGGGAAAGAATTTCGAGAAAATTTTTTTAATAAAATAGAAAGAAGACCATACAAAAACAGATTTGAAACATTTTGAAATAGGAGAATTGGACGAGACAAGAGACAGTTTTATGGAGATAGATAATGTCAGAGGCAGGACGACCTGTTAGTGCGCAGGGGTGGAGCTTGACACAGAATCGGGGAAAAAAGTAGACATCAAAAATTTCTCAGTTTTTTCCAAAATTATTTGCAATGATCTTCCAGTTTACAGATACTTTTCACCAGCCTGAACATCGCTGAAAGTATATAATTATAAACAAACGACCAAGTTCCATTGTAGTTTGAACTTTCAATAATATTTTCTTTCAGTCAATTTTAGAGGTTGTTGAATCTGAGGTGGAGTAGAAATAAAGAGAGCTCTCAAATGTCTCTTTTTCTCACACCCAATGTATCACTTGGCGTCCTTTTTTGGGTTTTAGTAAGAAAAATACACGTCACTCTGTTTTGAGAAATAAATTATTACAAAGCTTTCTAGCCATCTTTAACGACATAGGGAACCTCAGCAAAGGTCATCGAAAGTCATACTTATATAGATTCGATGAAAACCCTATAATTTTCGAAATTCGAATTTTTTGTTCTCGAGAAGATAATCCGCTATTCTTTTTATGTATGCTTTTATTTTAAAACGTTCAATCACTCCAGTTTGTGCCACAGGAAGTAAATATATTTTGAATCGGAAACCCTTAAATGAAAAAAGAAACAAAAAAAAGTTATCGAAAAACTTTTATCTCAAGATGCGAAACTTACTAATATAGAAAGCAAACAAAACAGCTTCTGAAAAATTACTTATTCAAGCTGATAGCATTTTTCAAAATTCTTCTTCTCTTCAAGTGAGTGAAAAAGGATCATGGAAAACATTAATAAAAGTTTTTCTCAGCTGCAACTTCTAGCTTAGTTTTTAGGAAAATGACGTTTAGTTGCTACTTTATCTATTTTCAATCCTTTCAAAGAATAGTTCGGAAGTTCAGACTTTTGGTGTTTTTGAAATCTCATCAAATGATACGTTGCCCGACAGACACATGCAATTTTGAAAAGTGTCCAAAAAATCGGAAATGGGAAAGGAGACGCAGAATCAGCGACAAAATGTTCTTTGTGGGACGCCCACCGTTTGCACGATGATCGCAGCTGTGATTGATGGTTTCCGCCGGTTTGTCGGTTTTGGCGTCCCCTTGCGTCTTTGAAGACCAAGACCCATGGCCCACACCATCTTTCCCAGCTTCTCCTTTTTAAGTTTCATACTGCAGTTATAAACTCCATTTTTTTTCTAAGCTTTTCAAGCGAATATTGACTAAAAGCTTCCGTTTACAGTGTTTTGCTGTTCACCTTGATCAGATGGGATTTGTATCGTGTTCGAAATGAATTTTGTCTTCTTCCCTTGTCGCTCTTCATGAGAAAGAAGACAAAGAACCATTTCAAACACGCCGACAAATCAATCAAGTCAAGGAGAATGCAAAGGTTACTGTATTTGGATCAGGGCGCTGTTACTGCAATTTAAAAAAAAATCTCGAGAAAAATTGACGCGCATTTCTTAGAGGATTATTTATATATCAGCTTTTCCAGTTTTTTTTTTGCGCTGACTTTCATGATAAAATAACTTATTAAACTCGCAACGTCGTCAAGACTTCTGTCTAATAATTTTCATAGAAAAATCTAAAATTGCAATGAGAAGTTCGACAAAAAGATCTTTGGTTGACAAACAGCGACCAGAGATTTGTAGTGTTTTTTTCTTCTTCCTATTCAAATACAAAAAAATTTCGTTTTTTTCAGCATAAATGTCAGAAAAATTTAATCTCAGACATTAATAAGCTTTGTAGAAGCCAAAGAAGCTTTCAAAAATATTGCTCTGTACGCTCCAAAATTTTAATTTAAAGTGTAAATTTTCTGACGAGAAGCAGAAAGAACTGAAGAAGAACGTTCAGGTGTCGGCTTCGAGTGTGAGCGAAGCGCGTGGGCTGATAGCCGACATGCTGGTCAACCGCGACCTCCCCAGCAACGTCGCCACTTGTCTCAGAGCTGTCGCGTCTCTTCTCGACCAGAAGGTTCTGCAGATTTCTTTTTTTCAATCATTCACGAGTCAAAAATGAAGCTGAATTTGTATGCATGAAGGAAAAAATAGAGTTTGATAGACAGTTTGAGCATCGGCCATTCACTCCTTTTTCAAAATAACATCAGCACAGATAATAGTGTAATGCATGAGCTTATAGTCGGGTTTACAGCCTTCTTTAGAACTCGAAACTTTCTATAATGCTTAACGGAGCCTTCGAGCGCAAGTAGATTTAGGTCGGAAGTTTCTGAAATGAACTGTCTGATCGACCAGTTTTGACTAAATTTCTATAGGATAGACATCATTATCGTGAAAATAGTGTGTTTTTCAACCCCCGGCCAAGTTCCAATCACATTCAAAGTACATTCTTTTCGTCAGAAAAACGTTATTGCCACCTATGAGCCTATATAATCTCTATGAAGCTCGAGATAAGATTAAAGAGAAACTGGCTGACACAACAACTAATCCGAGTCATTCGATTGGCCTTTTTTACAAAACCAAATGTCTGGCCGTTTGCGAAATCCGCCTCCGACTCCGCTTTTTTGGCTTCTGGTTCAGAACGTATTCTTTGATTCAAGATTTGTTTAAGGTTTCATTGATAACAGGCTGAATTGTCTAATTTTGTGGACTTATCAAAAGTCCGAGAACACCTCGGAGAAATCAAATGATGTAGTTCAGTCGAAAAGATTTGAAAGATTTTGGTCGCATCGCTGCCATAGCTTTATGTAGCGGTTGCGAAAAGGCTTTTGATTTTAGAGTCAAATTAGCGCCACGACTTGGGAAATTTTCGCCTGCACTTTTTATAGTACTATTGTTATCATTTTCTCAATAAATTCTTTCTGATTAACCGTATTGATTTTTGTTACATTAGTAATGACTTTTCTGCACTTTTCGCAAAACAGAAAAAAAAAACAACTCTTTAGTTAGAAAGAAAAATAGTGAAGTAGTACTTTTCTCCCAAATCGTGGCGTTTGTTTGAATTCGGTAAACCCGCCATAAACTATAATTATGGCTGTGACTGAAGTTGCAATGAGAAGTTTTTGCGTTGCTTTTTTCTGTTTTTTGAAAAATAGGAAAAAAAAATCGAAAATTTACGAAAATCATACGGAATCGAGTTTTTGACAATTTCTCCGATGTTCCACAAGTTTGATGAATTTTTTGGATTACAGCCGCTGCCGATGCACGGCCTCAACGACTTCGGACTTCCCTGTGTCGTCGAAGATCCTTACAGTGGCGAGCAACTCGTTGTTTCTGGAGTCAGTTTCCTCTTCTTCATTTTTTTTTCATCTCAATCACATTATTCGTTAAATATTGAAATTTAGAGTCAATTGAGAAAAATGGGAAGAACATTGAGACCTTACAAAGTTTTTCCTATCTCAATAACTCTACAACTTTTGCAATTTCAAAAGTTGAATAGGGATAATGGAGGTTCGATTTTCGTGATATCTTTCCATGGATTCTGCTTGTCTTTGTGTCTATTTTACTGCTCGAAGACTTCAGCAGACGGCAATGAAGTCAATTATTTTCTCGAGACTTCACTTTTTCCTGAATAACACAGATATCGATCTAAACACGCCGTTTGTGAACCAACTGAGGATTAAGTCCGCGAAATCACAGTGGACATGTGTATAAGCATGTTATCAGGAGTGTGAGAGGCGTTCCCGTCAAATGTACGAGGCTCGAGATTTGTCTGCCCGGCAAATCTGGAAGGAAAGCTCTCTTTTTCTCGTCGCTCTAATCTCCTTGTCGACTTTGAAGTTTCCCTCGTTTATAGCCGAAGAAAAAAAAACCTTGTCTATTGCGATTCCTATTCATTTATAGCGTATTCAGACTGATGTTGCAGAAAAAACGCGAATTTGCGCGTCAGATATCCTTGGTGGCGGTTGCTGATTTTTTTTCTAAATCTTTTCTAATTTTGCTTTTGAAATTGAAAATTTATATATTAAGTTGTTAATTTTTCTCTATCAAAGACAAAAGTTGGAGGTTTCATAAATTTAAGAATCATCGACCAAGCTCCTTGAAGTTCTGACGCGCGAAATAGTGTTCCTATCCTCTCAAGCCATTTGTACTTCATTTTCTTCCCGAATGATCTCACGCCGCCATTTTTTTGTTGAAAATGACAGGAAACGATAAATTGACTCTATAAATTTAAATAGCTTATTAAAATACGAGCCACGTGCGGAAAGAAATTGTCATTTCGTTTTGGAAGTAAATTTGAATGCGTTAATTAGAGGCCCTTCATTCCACTATAATTTGTGCTCTTTGAGCACCATTTTTTCTCAGAAGATGAAGCCCCCCAATCACTGACGAATCATCTTTTCAGCTTATTTCTCACGTATCTCAGAGTTGGCGTCAAAGTTGGAATAACTTTTCGGATTATTATTCACCTGTTGAGAAGCTTGGCAGAGAAGTACATGAACAATTTTTTTTCTCCCGAGCAGGTGCATTTTTGATCAGTCTGATAGTTCAACTAGAGTGCGCTGTAGGGATCAAGATTTCCAAATTGAACTAATAAATCAACCACTCAAAGAAAAGTTTAGCGAGTAAGTAGGAAATCGTTGTTATTATTATTAAGTAGCTTGCCCAGCACTTTTTGGCTGAAAGCAAAGAAATTTTACACCAGCAAGTTTCTCTCTAATTTTTTTCTGAAAACAAGCAAAATACCTCTGACGTGATTAATATTGCAAAGCCAAGGATTCCTTTGTATTTTTTTGCTTGTTCGTTCAAAACAAAGGCGTATGCATTTCGAACAGCCGCGGAGAAGCGGAAAAACTTTCCTGAGTTTTTTTGCTCCGAAAGCCGCAAAACTGGCCATCGCCAACGTGTGATTTCGAGCTGCAGGTGCCTGTTTTATTTGTTTGGACTTTTTAGATTTATCGCAATTTTTCAAGTGTTTTCAGACTTTCATATTCTTCTCATTTCGTGCGACCTATGGATTCTTTTAGACGCATTATTTATAATCAAAATTCTGCTGCTGTTCTTACATTACCTTGTGGGAACTTCGTAACATTTTCCCTTCATCATCGCATTTCCCAATATTAGTTCTTTTTTTGGTTAATTTTTTTTCGTATAATGAGAATGATGTGTATGGAAATCGTTTTCTACATCAAATCGGAAATCTTGTTCTACAACATTTTATTTTTTTCACTGAAAAAAGTTAAAGAAACGCCCTTTTTTTCAAACATAGCCTGAACCCAAACGGCGCAAAACAATTCTAACAATTCCTAATTTATTGTTAATTTATTATTAAACAACAGTTCATTTTGTGGTTAGGTTAATTAACTTCCTAAGAACGAGGTATTGAAAACATTTATAAAACAAGTTCGAGACTTCGAAGTTCGTCGCTGACCGAAGGCAATTGAAAAGATCTTTATCAAAAAAATTCTTTCAAAATTAGCCAGAAAAAGCAAAAAAATAATACTGATTATCGTTCAAAGAAAGATTTTTTTCTGTGGAAATAAAGCTAAGGTTGAAAAAGAAGCATTTGGCTGGCTGCCAGTTTAACGCCTCAGATTGTTTTGAACGCCGCAATGAGTATTCTTTTTCAGTGTGGGTCAGTCTCTTTCGTCAAAAAAAAAAGAAAAATTTTGGAACTAGTAACTTTTGCTCAAGTCCGTTTCAGCTTCAACTATCTTTCATGGATAACCCCAAACTCCCTTCTTCCCCTCTGTTCGGTCTCTGCCATAACAGCTTCACCCCAACTCTTTGTTCGCTTTTACCTTCGTTTGCCGGTTTTCCTTTCTAATTGTGAAGAAGTCAGCCAGAGGCCCGTGGTCGATGCCGAGCATTCCACGGAGCTCGAGCGACCACGTTGGCGCGACGGCGATCGCCGCACAGCTGCCGCCGTCGCAGCCGCGAACGCCTGGCTCGCGAGGCTCCCGCGACATGTCGCACCGAGGTTCTTCGGCACGAACGTCGACGTCGTCGATGCGCGAGATGCACCTCGTCGGGCAGTGTGCCAACTGCAGTCTTGACTTCCGCTGCACGTGCTGCTACCGCTGCTCCCACTTGTCCCTCGTCTATCTTCCGGTTTGTTTCCATTTCTTCTTCTTTTTCTTCATTTCGAAGAATAAATTCTCCTTCACTTTTTTTTCTTCTCAAAGTTTTTTGAATCGTACACCTAACAAAAAAAAAATGAAAAACTTTGCTCCTCATTTTGAATTCAGTTGTTCCAAATCAACGTGATGGAGCTCAGTTGAGTTTTTAGGATCCATCGGAATTTCGGATTTTATGTAGAAGGTGTTTTTGGCAGTTTTTTTTTACTACGTCTCAGTTAAAAAGTTTTTTCTCACCTGATTTGATGCACGTGACCAATGTTCCCATGTACGACTTCTTGGAACAGACTCGTCCCTCCTTTTTTTTAGTTTTTGTTTTTGCAAAGAAACTCTGTTTTTGCCACTTAAATTTTTACAAAGCGTTTTTTTTTTTTGATGGTCGACCTCAACGAAGCAACGTTGACTGACCTTCATTACGTGCCCTTTTTGAACATAAACAAATTTTAATTTTATTGGCAACTACTAGAAACCGATTTTGGTGTTTTTTTCTACCAATATTATTTAGTGTATTGCCAAGCATTGCTGAATTTGAGAAGAAATGCCAAAAGAGAGCAGATTTCGTTTGTTGACGTTTTCTAATGAGATTTTGGACAACGACGTCAAAAACCTTGTCTGAGATGTTTCTCCCGCTCTGGCCTTTTGAAGTATTTCTTTGATTCTGCAGAATTCGTGCAATACACCCAATTTAAACTGAGACTCGAAGCAATTTTCTGGAAAGGTTAGTTCTGACATTATTCAACTCGCTTAAAAATCTGAAAGATCTGAGAAAATGACTGTTAAACCCTAAAACCGCGAAGTCATAAGATATGAAAGCGAGTGTTCTTTTTTTTTGAGCTATCGATATTTTGATTAAAAATTTCTTTTTTGGTTCATTTTCTCATTCGCCACTTGCTAAATCTACATTAGTTTTCAAAAATCAAAGAATTCGTGAATAATCGTCCATCGCCATGTTTTTGAATAAATGTGCCTGCAGGCAAGAATGCTCAAGACTTCACCCCGAGAATCTTCGTCTTTTGATCATGGCCAAGCCGGAAATAGAATTTTTTCGCTTGGACAAAGCTTGGCGATTGGATGTTCAGAAAACTTCTCGATCTTTACAAGGGGAACGTTGAGTTCTCAGTTTCTGCTCCTTCCTTCGTCAACCTAGAAGCGAGTCACGCCCACATTCTTGTCCGCGCCCTCTCGCACTTCATTTGAATTTTGGTGGCCTTCTCGATTTCCTGCTCCTTCTTCTTCTTTTTTTTTCCACGTCAGATGTACTGCGTGATCCTCAATTTCTGCTGAAAAATTTTCACATATGTTTCTTTTCTTTTTTTCAAATAACTTTTCGAAACTTTTTTTCTGAATCTCAACTGAACACCTTATAGATAAGAATCTGTTTTTGTTTATCAAAGAATTATTATGATAAGATTGATTTATGAGTGAAAGCAGCTACATCTACCAGATCTCCGAATTACTCAAAACCATTCTCTGACGTTGCTTTCAGGCAGACAGAAGTTGTAACAAAAGAGGTATTGCATAATTCTGCGTGTTAATCCAATGGATCTCGGAAAGATTTTGCAAACTGAGTATGTTTTTCGTGTGCCTCGCCAACGTCAGAAGTTCCTCAGCCGACTGAATATGCAAGGTTTTGAGATGAAAGTTTCATGTGCAAAAGTATCTTCCGTTTTTCCTTCGCCTTCTCCGCTTGTAACGCTTCTTGGCGTTTCTCATTTCGTCTTGCTCATGTCGAGCTTTCATTAATCCTCTTGATTGCAATTTTCGGCCTCCACTTTTTTGGTTCATTTCATTTGACCTTTCATTTCAACTGGCTTGTTTTTCGCTGCACATAGAAAGGTGTTCTCAAGTATACTTTTTTTCTAAATGAGCTTTGGTGCGCCTGGTCGACAATTTTCAGCTCATTTATCCTTAGACAGACTTTGGAATTTCTTCAAGTGCCTTTCTCGAGCCTAAACGGCGAAAATAGGATCGAGGCTTAAATGTCATTCACCTAAACGGATCTTTCCTCTCCCGAATCCTTTCATTCGACTCTTCGAATTCTATCTATTTATCGTTTGGCGTTAAGCAATTTGTAAATATAATCTTCAGGCAAAAACCAAGGTTTTTACAAAGGGGCAAGTCGTGAATTTCTGGAACACTAACCTGCCAGGCGTTGATTTAAACCTCCGATTTAATCTCTTTTCACTTCTTTCACGGTTCTATAACCCTGGCTTTTAGTTTTTATTTCTTTTACTCTGTTAGAAGTGGAAGCATTGGAAGAAGACGTCATGTGCACCTGAAAAGTTGTGTTGGTCCGCCTGGCTGCCACGAAACAAAGCTCCTGGTTTTTGCCAATTTTCAGTCGTGTTTCAACCCGGATGGCCGATTTTTCAGCTCATTCAGCAAACTTAAAAGAAGAAACAAGCAAAAACGGGAATTTCCACGTTTTGTTTCAAAGAAGCGTTTAAACATCGTATTTTCTACGAGAATTATCTCTAATTAAAAAAGCACAAAAAGATAAGGATTTGCAGCTATTAGATCATCTGCTAGTGGTATATTTGAAAAAAAAAACTTTTAGATTTCTATATTTATTCTGTTTTATTTTTGCTCCTTTTATGGATTTTTGGCTCACTTCAAGTTCAAGCGCTTTTAGGGCTTTTTTTGATATTTCCTTGTCCACATTTCTTAAAAGCTACTTTTCAACGAGGTCCGTCAGCGGCTTCGACCTTCTTCCTTCACTCAAAATGCGCCTTTGGATTGACTCGAGCCTTTTTTATGCCTTTCATTAAATGATGATAATAAAAAAGAGTCGATTTAAAAAAAAAATTTCGTTAGCTCGAATGAGTTATCGTTTATTTTTAGGTTTTCCATAAATAAACTCTAGTACGGCTTATCCTAATATCATTCGATCCGCTCATTTAGCTTGAACTTATCAAAACTTTCTCGGTGTTTCTAGGACACAAACTTTTTATAGTTGAGAACGATCAAGTTTGATTGGCATCTCTCAAAAATACATTTTTCATTTTCAATTTTGGCTTCATAACTTGAATTTTACTTTTTTCTTTCGAACTCTGGTGAAATTCTCGTATATTTTCGAGGGTCAATTGAAGATTGGCGAGTAGCCTCAGGCATAAATATACATAAATACACTCTGAGCTCTTTCCGATGAGGGAATGTTGCGAAGAAACACACGAAATGAGAAAGAAACGGCCACCCTAACAGAATTTTCGGCCCTTATCATTCGCCTTTTTTTGCTCGTACAAATCTCAGTTTTCTAGCTGCCCACTTTTTCATAATTGCTCTGTTTGCGTGCTCGATTTCCACTTTCTTAGCTTTTTTTCTGCCTCAATTCTCTTTTTACTTTTTTTCAATTACTAAACTCAAGTTCGTTGCTTTATTTTATTGGTCATGTTTAGCTTTTTTTGAAAAATCTGTTTTTGTTTGAGAAATTTGAAAGCCTCTAAGAAGTGATTCATAATATTTTCTTATTCGAGAACTGCAAGCAGAAACGGCGAATAGAGGGGAAAGTACAGCTGCGAAATTGGATCTTCACGTTTTTCTTCTGACAATTTTCCAGATTTTTTCAATTCCTAAGAAAAACTAAGGTTCGAAGGGAAAAGGGAAGGATCGAGTAATGAGGACTTGGAGTTGTGCGGAGTCAATGTTGATGGCGAAAACGGGCTTTGCTCCGTTGCTTTTTGCTTTCATCCGGCCGGCCCTGAAACACACTTGCGGCTTTTCCTCTACTTTGCATTATGTCCATTTAATGAGTTTTGTCTCCTTTCTGATTTTTTTCTTCCTATCAAAAAATTCATAATTTAATTTTCTTGATCGACTTTTGTAAAATGAACTCGACAAATTATGAGGAACGTTGTGGTCCTGAGTTTTCCTGTTTTTGGAGGGCACTTCTCGGCTGATTTGCTCTGTTTTTGTCGTGTTTTGCGTCATTCGTTCGGCTCCGAGTAGTCCTTGCATTCTTTTTTGTTTTCATGTTTTCTTCGTTTCTTGTCAATCCAAGGTCTGTCCGTTTTTTTTTTCTGCAAGCAGAATCGTTAGACCATAGAGAGACCTTTTTTGTTTTTGTTTATTACCTATACGAAAGTAGGCCATTAATAATCGTGAGAACTCGAAAAAACCCCTCAAAACTTTTTGAGACTCGAGCTATTAGGAACAGGTTTTGAATAGACCAGAAAGGAGTTTCTATGAGTAATCTAAGAAATCAGAGCGTTTCTTGACCTTTATGATAACTTTTCATTGTTTGTATAACGTTCGGAAATCTCATTTAAAAATTTGCACGCGTATTCCACGAGCTTTGACCATGGAGCGCAAATTTGGCAGATTTCCTCCGTTTTTCGCAGAAACGAAGCTATCCATCTCTTTTTCTGGAAGTTTGAATTTTTTCCCTATTTATCAACAGAAAATCGCTGAATAAGCCCACAAAAGATGATCAGAATCTTGTTCAGGAACAAAATAAATAAATGCTTTCCAAATGTATTGCGTATTTCGTCTATTTTCAAACTTTTTTTTAGGTTGTCCCCTGTTATGTAACATTTCAATATTAAGTGAAAGGTATATTTTGAAAACGTATGTAGAAAAAACGTATATCAATGTAGCTTTTTTTATAAAACCCAAGATATAGTTTTGGACAGCTCAAAAGCCCTTCTTAACCACGAAATAACTCGAAACCTTTTTGATAAGTTCAGGATGTTGTCTTATGCGTCATTGGACACCTTGGTAAAGTTTCTCGGACGCTTTTCAAAATTACAGTTGCGAATGAAGAGATCAAAAATGAGCCGTTACGATCAAAATGAGAAACCCCTTTGTGACAAAATTCTCTAAGAGGATGTATTTGTTCGAAAACTTTCTTTCAATTCTGCTTAAGCCTAATATTTTGAATTCTGTTAATTTTTTCTTCTTCTGTGTTCTCCGGATGTACCTTTCAAAGCCTGCTCTTTTTTTCAGTATCTTCTTCCATTTTTTGAGTTTCCGCGTCCATCCCTTCACTAACTCTGCTTGTTGATCGTTTCCTCTTTGAATAGCTGCTCTTATTGAATAGAGCCATGCTTCTGACTCGAACAGATCCAAGAAAAGCTGCAGCTCGCCGAGCGGCGGGAGCAAACTCGATAGAGCCTCGGGCGGCCGCGTGCGTCGGATGCCTCTGGCGGGCGTTCGCCTCGCTCCGCTGACGTCACCGACGACGAAGAAGAAGCTCGACGTCGAGGGCCTCATCTGCTCGAGCATGATCAAGCAAAAGTTCGCGAGAGCCTTCGGCTTCGACTCCTCCAAGCAGAACAAAGGCGTTCAGACAAGCGCCGACCAGGCCCACGCTTTGCAGGTCTCCGAAAAGACCGCACACGGCATGAGTCGCATATCGAAAATAATGAAAGAGAACTATTAGCCGGAAGTTTCTGAAAGCGACTTATCAACATAGAATTGGGATTAAGAGAAAATTGAGTTGGAAACTTTTTTGTTTTAAATGACCTTATTTTTTTAATAAAAAAAGTCAAAAAAATGCGTAATAATAAGATAATTAAAAAAACGCAAGACCCAAATAAGTGACCTTTTGCCACTTTAATAAAACGGGAAAAACGGCTATTTTTCCTCGAAGATTGAAAGATTTGGAGCCTCTCGAGGTCTTTTTTTCGAGGAGTTCTCCACCTTTTTGACAGACTATAGTTATCCTTTTGAACTTAAAATCATAGTTTGATAAAAAGACAGAAATCGATGTGATCTGATGAATTTCTTGATAAACATTTTTTCAAATTGCAGCTCGTTGGAGTTGGGTTTACATTTCATCAGTTTGGCTACGATGAAGTATTGAATGTTAGAAAGTTTCATAAATGAAATAATGAATATGACTAGTGACTTCCACTCTTTTACGAGCTTACAGACCTCAGAAGAGATGGTGATAATTAATAAAAACCTAATTTCTATTTTTTTTTTTCTGATCGAACTCGGTGAAAATAGTTTGTTCTCTCGGGAAAAGAAACGACTTCACTGGAGTTGTTGATTCCGTTCCGATTTGGTCGGCTCTTCATTGGTCCAGAATATTTGAGGGCGCCTTTGTCGGTTGCTTTTCTTTCGAGAAGAAAAATGTCATTTTACAAAAAATAAAAGAATGTTGAAGAAAATAATGTTTCTCTTGCAGACGTCGAAGCCACGGGTCTCCAACATCACTTTCTCGACGGTGACCAGCGCCACGGGGCTGCCGACCATTGCCGCCGAACCCAATCGGCCGCGCAGCAGCAGGTTGGTTCTTTTGTTTTGAAATTTCTATCCTTTTTGCGCATTCAAGGTTAGAGGCGGAGTATGGGATCACTAAAGGGTTTGAAACGTGTCATGAAAGTTTGATGAAAATTGTATGGACGAGAAGTTATTCTTCTCTTCGAAAGCGTTACTTGTATGGTCAAATTGTTTTTTGAGAACGTAAGAAAAAAGGATCGATTCAACTTCACTGAGGAAACTTCAAAATAAAAATTTTTTCGTTAATTTGAAATTTCTGGAGATAATCTTTGAAGATTGTCTTCCGCTATACGAAAAATGGAAGGAAAAGTCTATAGATGTCCTTTTTACACGAACGGAAGTCAACTATTTCCAGAGAGTTAGTTTGCTACAAGTCAAATCGAGTATGTCATAGAGTCTTTTTGACTGAGCCGGTCGGTATAAAGAAAAAAAGCTGAAGATTCTTTCCGAATAAAGAACCTAGAACTAACTAGACGCAGACAAGATTGAAGTTTGGATAGAATTTTTCTCGAAAAGTATTCAATATTAACGGAGAGCGGCGGGGGATAAGAAAAAACAAAAGAAAGTGTCCGGTGGGAGAGATGTGCGGAGTCGCTGGAATCGCAGATGGGAATTGGCGGCCGCTGCCAGCTCCAGCCGCTTTTCCTCGACCCACGACGCCTTCATTTGTATGCGCGCAACACGTTTCGACGCCTCACTTCACCTTTCAACGCCATCTTCCAATCGTCGTTCACGACGTTTTGTACTCGAACTTCAATTCGACTTCAATTTCGAGCCACTTCTCCCTACGAAGAACTTTCACTTGACTTACCTAAATTTTCAAAAAAGAAAAAGTCGTCGTCTCTTGTTTTGCGATTGATTTCGGTATTCACGATTTACATATTCATACTTCATTCACCGTTAGCTTGAAGAGATATATCTGATAATCCAAGATTCTAATTAAAAATGTTTAAAGCTAGCGGTAAATGAACCATAAGCAATAAATTGTGTCAGACAACCTTGTAGGCCTGAGAATACTTGAAAAAAATTATGATTTATCTCTTCTTTTTTTCATGAACAGGTAAAGTCGGATAGGCGATAAAAAGCTTGGCTTGAAAAAAAGTGCGTTCCTTTGATGTTCCTCCAGCCTCAATGATATTTTTAAGCGAATTTCGCGAAATCTTCCTTTCATTTCTGTTGCTAAACAGTTTAAAAAAACTGAATATTTCAATATTTCACTGTCTAACATATGTTGAATCATCGGCTAGCTCAAAGTTTTCATTCGAAAAAAGTGATTACGAATCATCCTAACATTTTGAGAGGAAACGTGATAAATACCAGAAAAAAACTAAATAGACTTTGAAGGAAATGAAAAAGCCTCGATTTTTAAAGTCTGTTTTTTTTTGCTTTTTTTCATGTAATTCCTCATCCGGTTGGTTGAGCTTCCGACTTATTCTGTTTGTTTTTTTGTCAAGTAGCTCGCTCGAAATCGAACTCTGCTGTTCAAAAATTTTTCAAATTTCGAAAAATTTCGTGAATTTTTCTTCTAACACACTCAGCCA